AGAAGTAGTGCGCTGTCGTAAGAAGAAAGACAGAATGTGGTTTTAACTGACCGTAAAGGACAATTTAAGATCAACGTTCATAATAGCTTCAGGTTGGGATGATTCTAATTGTAAAATAACATATACTTATACACTAGTTATATTCTACATGTAAAACCATCACTATATGTCCATCCATCCTCAAGTAAAATGAACGATCATTTTGATAATTTTATAAACTAGAGTCATCAAGTAGCATTGCTGATATGTCTGGTATGTCAGTGTGTGAGATGATTCTGTCAGCTTTTACCGGATGTCGAGACATTTTCAGTAGTAATGAATGGAGGGGAAGGAGCAGCAGAGGTCTCATTACAGGAAGCCTGTGCTGTTGGTGTGAAAGAGAAAATCATTACTTTCAATCTAAACATGAGAAAATCAAAGTCCAAATTCCAAATGAATATTAACCTAGTTAACTGTGATTATTATGGCAAACAATCTAGTCATAATCAGTGTAGGCTTGCTCATATAGGTTGGACTGACAATTCTACAATACATTAGTAATTGGTGGATAAATAATTAAAAAAACCCATCAAACACAACATAATGTATGCTAATATGTGTAACATGCACGGTGACCCTGAATTGCAAAACACAACGGCAAATAGGAAAACACAGCGACATTAACTTCTTACGGAAAGGGTAGGGCCTATCTAGCAGAGGACGGACCCTCCTGATTGGACAGACTGTCTGTCTTTTACCAGGAAATGATACAGGGCTCTCAAGTGTCACGCAATGAGCGTAACAGTAACGCAATTTGGTCACGCACTGCCGGCACGCATCCAATTCCTCACGCAATGGAATCGACTCCGGCCCCCGAGCCGCGTCAGCCGTTCCGTCGGCGCTACCCTCCGTCGCCTGCAGCGTCCGCGGCAGTCCCCCCTCCCCCCGTTTTTATTTACTTTTATTTACAACACCTAAATATAATTGAACAACAAAACACGGGTAAAACAATGGTGAAACACTAGTAGGACACTTTTAACACTTTGAAGACACTCGTAAAACATCTCTCTGTGACTTTCTGCTGCGGCTCTCCTGCTGCGCTCACTTCCACCCCTCATCACAAGCTGTCCCACCACTGATGTCTTTATTGCCATAATATCTAGAAAGCGGCATTTCTCAGCTTTCAGAATCTGTTAGAAGTACGTCGATTGTGCAAATAGTTAAGGAGTCACGGTAATTTGAATCCTCCATGTCACTTTCCGTCGCCGGCGAAAGGCTTCGGACTGAGAGGGTTAAAAGACAGACAGTCCGTCTAGAAAGGCCCGACCCTTTACGTAAGAAGTTAATGTCGTTGTGTTTTCCTATTTGCCATTGTGCTTTCTTATTTGTCGTTGGGTTTTCCTATTTGCTCTTGTTTTCTTATTTGCCATAGTGATTTGCACTTCAGGGCCACTGTCAATATGTATGTTTTGCAGTTGTTGAATTACTCCAGAATGTTTTACAGTTAGTTACTCTTAGTCCAATTTTACCCCATCCTTCTATAAAGAAGTTAAAGCATTGTGAACTTTCAAGTGGTCAACAAGCATTCCAGAATAACAGGTTCCTCTACTTATGAGCGAGGCCATTCAACATATTCACACGTGTCTGTAACATTCTGCCATTGCAGACAATGCGGTTTATAAATAGGAGCTGCTCCCTTGTCTGCAACGCTGTGACCCGTCATAGCTTATGTCATACCTGCCACAAGGACCACCAGAGGAAGTATGTGCAACCAGCGTAGATGTTTGACGCCTGGCTTCATCGCTCTGCAGTATAACAAAGACACTCATGTCAACGGTTTCCCCAAAGGTCCATTTTGAAATGAAAACACTGCTCTATTGACACAAATTTGGGTCGATCCCACACACCTCTTCTCGCCACACCTATGTGCATGGACGCTGTAGGCATATCCTGCATTTACGTCATAAAGGCTTTCTATTTACCACGTATAATGGCAAATAACGATTCTAAATCAAACATTAAACACATTCCTGCTCAGAACCACCCCGTTTCATCAGACCGCAGTACAAGTGAACAAACACATTTGTCACGGCTCGGGGAAAGTGCAATGGAGAGTAGTACGTATTGCGCTGTACAGACGCACACTTTCCGTGAACAAACGGTGAATGTTTGCTCAGACCAGAGATTTTCAGAGGTGTTTACATTTTTATGAAGCTCTGCTGTTCTGCTCTGATAAAGACTTTCACTCACAACTCTGAACTCTGGTACCTGCTCAGTGCTTGACTCATAAAATGTGATGAATGTATATGTAATGTAATATGATGCAGTGATGAAAACAGCAGTGAAAGTAAGGCTCGTGTACTGCTTTTCTACCCCAGTGGCTTATTGTGGTCATAAAGAAAAAGACTTTACCTCAGGATTCACATAAATGGAGCAGTAAACAAAACGCTTAAAAACAGATGAAGTTGAGTGGGTGAAAACATTCAGACAAGCGTTGAGGGAGAATAGAGCAAATGAAAGTGCCTCCATCAGTGAGATGGAAGCAGCTGAGGCTGCAGTTATTCCCTAAACCAACGGTGCCTGAGAAGAGGATCTTTATGGCTTTGACTATACAAATCAAGATGTCTGATGATGTCAGTATCCTCCCTGGCTTTACAGCCCCTTCATGGAACCTCAGCAGCATCATGTCACCACAGTGTTTCTGTCTCTCACAGCACTTAATACTGTGTTGGGTTAAAGAACAAGCATTCACTAACAGCCATATATTCACACCTATTTAAACATGAAGCAAGATACTGTGACAAAGACGAAAACAAACAAACAAACAACAACAGATATTTTAAAGATATTAGATCAGGGCTTCGTATAAAAGAATAATAATAATAGTTACTTCAAATTCAAATCAGATTCAGCAGGGATTTCTGAGTGATTCCCACTTAAAGGAAAGGAGACACTAACATCTCACGGTACCTGACAGAGGACGCGGACACGTGCCGACTTGAAGATCCATCCGATTGAACCCCCCAAGCTTTCATCCTTGCGTCTTCATTTTTTCGAAACATAGCTTTCCGTGGCCAAATACTAAAACAAACCAGAAACATCAGGCGTGCATTTTCCTCATTGTTTCTGTGTCAGGCTGTTGTGCCAGTTCCCTTTTGGCTTTCTCGTCCAGGATCTACAGGTGACACATGCGCGTGTGGCACGCCCTTTGAAACGTCAGCAGGTGGATGTGGCATACATTTACTTTACCTCGGCCCGGCAACGATTGTCCACCTCTGGAACAGAGAATTAATTGGCTTTAGACCCGACGAAGAAGGGCCCTCTGTGCCGTCCTATCCTTCCAAATAATGATAATGTCCCAGAAGCTTTTGAAAGGAATTGATTTTTCTTCTTTTTTTCCAGTTTCTTTTGTTTGTCAGGAAAGGCGCGCCTCGGGGAGTGTCCTCAGACGCAGTGCTCTCAGTGTCATTTACAGCGCGCTGTTGGAACACTTACTGTTGCGTCACAATAATCCACGCACTAACACAATGCGTCCATCCAGTTATGCACCTGCTTCACAGGACTGTGGAAAGGGGAGGGGCTTGAGTGCCACACGCCACCGACAACAACGGACCTATTCACAGCCATGTTGTGACTCTTAAGAATGAGGTTTAAAGTTACACCCTGGAAAGGCAACCAACACAAACACAAACACAAACACGGATCAACCTGTTCAACCTGTTAATCTATAAACTCACCATTATGTATTCCCGTCAAAACAGCAGTGATAACCCTACTAGGTACAGCATATTGTGTAGTAATTACCAAACAGATTCCATGCTGTACCGGCTGGACTTACAGGGCAACTGGATGAAGTACGAAACAGAAAAAAAGGATGAGTGCGGTTCTCTATCTGTACACCAGGAGGAGAAAAGGAAGACACCAATAAACTAAAGCCAGGTTTTCGTATTCATATGTGAGAGTGTTGGGAAGCAGTGAGGGCCGAGCAGACCCAAACAGTTTAGTTAAAGATCAATATATATACATATATATATATATGTATATATATATAACGGAGTGCTATGGAAGCAATGTGTGCTCCAGATGTGAGGGTCGTACGGCCCCTCACACCACATTCAAATGAAACATGCTTCTAGTAATAGCGATTGTCATTTTCGTCGACTTTATGTATAAACGTGAAATATGTACACTTCCATTAAAAATGATTCATGCAAATTGACAGTCACGCTCATTCATTTAAGAGTATTGTGATGTTGACAATGAAGAAGCCACAAAAGTAGGAGCACGGTTAAAACAAATACAAGCTACATTAGAATATGTAAAGATAATTTTACAACTGCCAGTAATGACTAATTTACTAAAGATTAATCCATTATGATTATCTTGCTTTAAAAATACTCATTAAATCGTCATAATGTACCGGCTCTGTGTAGCTGTGGGGGCTTCACTCAGCAGTTCCTCACATAAATGAACATGTTTTCTTTCTTAGGTTACAGACAAACCTGCTCCTGGCTGAAAGTGTATTTTAAGGGTGTGTGTGATTCTCACACACACAGATGTGTCTGTGGCTAAACACATTTACATCACATTGATGTTAATGCATGTTTGCCGCCCACGATAAATTCAGTAAAGTACACTTTGTCAGAAAACGTTTAGCAGGACACATGATCATTCATTTATTTTTCAAAACAATGTTAAGTATTTGTACAATTTGATAATCGAGTCTAATCAGTAACTACAATATATTATATATTACAGAATAAAACCTTTTCTCTTATAAAACCAGCAAAAACTCACGCAAACATCTGCAAAAATAAAAACCATTCAATTGTCTCATATTTTCACCAAAAACACAAGTGAACACTCCAGTGTGAAGACACAAGACGTCCATGTCCATCGTCAAACGTGAGTTCATGTCCCATCAGCTTGTTGGTGTTACACTGTTATGGTGAAAATAGCCAATAATGAATACTGTTTATTCTGCTGCACAGTTCCTGCGCTACGCATACAAACTCCAGTAAATGATGTTGAAGAGCAGGTAAGCCATGGGAAAGATGACTCTGGAGTACGAGTCGATCATGTAGCTGTTGCTCATGATGAAGCTCAGGTGTTGCTTCACCGGGTTCTTGCGGCGCAGCCTGGTTCCCTCCGCGGGCCCGGATACGGTGGAGTTTCGAGACTGGCTGTTCCTCTCTGTGTTCGGGGTGCTGGCAACCTCCGTGAAGGACGTCATGTCGATGTCATTGTCATGGAAACAGCCATCGAAGGCCATCGCCTCAGTGGCATCGAAGGTGTTGGGGATCTGTGGCGCCGGAGGCAGAAGAGGAGGAGGTTATTCTCTGGTTCAAAAATGTTATTCTAGGCACAAAAAAAGTGAGTGAGAATGACCTTTGCCCTCTTTAGCTTCTTCATCTCCTCCACTGTGGTGAAATAGTTGACAGCAGCGTACTCGATGACAGACAGGAAGACAAACAAGAAGCTTGCCCACAGGTAGATGTCTACAGCTTTGACGTAAGACACCTGCGGCATAGAGGCTGACACACCAGTGATGATGGTGGACATGGTCAGAACCGTGGTGATGCCTGGATACACAACACATCATGCATTCTATAAGGTCCTCTCACAAGTAACATCCATTGTTTGGATAAACATTGTCACTGAATTGCAATAAAATACCCAAATTTGAGGGGAAAGATGATCTTTGACAAAACGTCAAAGTAATCCTCTAAATATAACTAGACAAAATGACGCACATATTTTGGATGACAACTGTTACACTCATCATTTTAATAAATCTCTCAACATGTATCACAGACACACGGTCTCAGTACCCAGAGAGACACGGGCTGGTACGGCCCTCCTGTCTATCCAGAAAGACACCCAGGACAGCATCACCATCAGCATGGTGGGGAAGTACGTCTGAAGCATGAAGAAGAAGATGTGCCTCCTGAGAAGGAAGTTAATGTAGAGCCGATTGTACCAGCCTGGACGAAAGAGAGATAGGTGAACAGAAAGTACAAACTCAGACGTGAAAATTAATATTACCTGGGGCAGATCGTTCTAGTTAAACAACAGGGTCTTAGCGTGAATGAGTCCACACAACAACATTTACTCTGAGAATATGAAATCACATTTCATCACATAATGCTAATAAAGCATTACACAGAATGAATGGGAAATCACATTTGAATACTGTAAATAAAAAGGCCCATGCTTTCCCTTTGGCTTCCGCTCATGATGCTAAGCTAGGCTAGTGGGAGCTTTATAGTGAGACAGGCATACATAGACATGTAAAGGCCGGTTTCTCAAAGCCGAGGATGCGCCCTTCAGCCGAGTTTTGCACTCCGAGATCCTTCAAAATTCCACTACGGTCTGAGTCCTCTGTTCAGAAGATTTTCAAGAATGCAGGTAATCCTCCGTGCTCATGATGCACCCACCAAGGAAGCAACCGTGACTTTGAGAAACACCCACCGTGTCTGTGAGAGCGACGGAAATAAGCATGAAAACGCTCAGACTGTGTCTTTAAAAAGGGACAATTCAGGAAGTTTAGACTTTACTGATACTTTGTCACAGAGTTAATCAGAGTTGATTCATTGAGGTGGAAGAGCCCTGAAAAGGGACGTTATCATGTTCCACGCGATAGTTCAAGGCTTCGGTCATGGTTGTTCTCACTGACCAGGCTACCAGAAGGTGTGAAGGTAAATCAAATGTAGTCCTGCACACGGGAACCTCACGTACCAGTGCTGCTGTAGAAGGCGAGACCGAAGGAAGGCTGGAAATCTTCAACAAAAAACTGAGAGAGCACAATCTCGTCGGTCCTCAACGAATCGTTCCCGTTCTTCCAGTAGAGCATTAGGTCGTTTTCATTGTAAGCATCTTCAGGAGAGAGGAGAAAAGGGACACGTTGCCTCTCTGGAGACTCATGGATGATTTTCTCAGAGCAGAGGGGAGAGCGCACAGAAAGGGGCGTCCCGGCTCTCCTCTGAGATCACGATCCGTGGCTCCGGCCATGTAACAATTTAAGACAGACAGAGATGAAGAGATAAGCGGGCCAGAGAGACAAGAACACAGAGAAAGTAATCCCATCTATTGACAGTTTGGACCAAATTCCAGTTAAGAATAGAATGAAAAACAGAATCCCAAAGTAAATCCTGCACTAGAAGCAAAAGCAGACATTTATAAATGGTCAGAGATTGACTTTATTGAGGATTATGGTTTTTTTATTCCTTGCAAAAAGAAGATGGCCACGGCCACTGTGTGTGGAAGTATGAAAATGCACTTAGAGCTGTGCAGTGTGCGTGTGTGTGTGTATCTGGACATAGGTTAAATATGTAAGCTCTGCAGTATCAGCGGCGGTGCATTTAAACCACAAATCAGTGCATCACAGGTTGTGTAACATCTTTCCCAGGAAAACTACTAAGCCCATTAAGTGAAGCACATTCTGGTGCACTTTTTGCCACAAAATAAACACGCTTAAAAAGAGGACCGCAGTTTGCTACTTACAGCTCTCCAGCTCCAGGGAGCAATTCTGTGTGTCCAGAGGGAAACTGCTGAAGTCCATGGAGCAAAGCGCCGTCACAGTGATCCTGAAACACAGCTTACAGTTAAAGAAACACCCGCATGAGTCAGGCGATTCAGCGCAAGCAGTAAGCAGTAATCAAGCCGCTTACATTAATCTTAATCTTAGACGACCAGCCAGTAAGATGTCAAAAGAGGAGCTACTGATTATCAACAACTGAAAAAGAAACCCCTTTTTCTTTTACCTAACGCTGTAGAGGATATTGCCGTCAGGAAAAACCCTAAGCATGATGTTCTCCATGGTCGTGTCATGGATGAAAGAGCGCTTCGAGTGGACAAAGAACACATCAGGAACCCAAATCTTTTTCACCAGACGTGCGTCGAAGGTGCGACTCTTGTTGCTGCTGGAGGGGAAGGCCAGGCGGTCGTCCTGCCAGTAGTGCCTCAGGTACAAAGTCATGGTGAAGTCCTGGAAAAAATACAAAAAGAAACGCAACAACGACCTCAAACACGGCAGCTTTATAACGTGGGTGGACTATCTGCAGGAAACGCGGAGGCGCGTACCATGTTCACTTCAGATATGCTGTCGATGCTCTCCACCTGGACGTCGATGCCGACAGGAATAGCCGAACCTGCAAAAGATCAAAGGTTATGCTGGATCGGCTTTGAGGAACAATAGGATCAGACCCATCATGCATCATACATCTGCACATCTGCCAGAGATTATTAATGTGTAAATCCCATTACCGGGCTATAGGACGGGAACTACGTCGTTGGATGGAAACCGGTCCCCTGACGTCATGCTGGCAGAGGTTAGAGTTGCTATTATATCTTTTTCTAATAACAATCAGTGTCGCTTCAACGTCACCTGGTGAGTTACACGCAGCAGACAGTTCTTACGTAACACCTCTGGCCTCATCTCATCCCGGGAATTACAGAACTTTTCTTTTTGTGGAGAAGCTTTAAGTAACAAAACCATATTGTTAAACATTTGGGTATTTCAGAGAATCTACAAATATATGCTTTAAGAATATATATTCAAATCTGCAACTACGTGACATTATGACACACTGCATTGGCCAAGGAGTATAAAAGGTGTGCACAAGCCACAACGGCAAGGCTAAATGATAATGAATAAAGAAGAAATTATAACTAATTTATGTATGTTTTGTATAAATGTGGGTATTTGGCATTTTATCTCTGTTGGTTTGGTGAACCACGTCGTTATTAGCTACTGGTTATTTATGAATACCCTTTATTAACTGTCCTAAACGCATTAAACATTACGATTACACAGACGTGGTAAAAATAAAACAGCCAATCAGCTCTTAGATCCGGTGAAAGGCTTTTCCCATCATGCCCTGTGTTCTGTAGCCTGTGGCCCTGCATGGGTACAACTATCGCTTGTGTAATCGTTACATCTCCAAAAACATTCGTTCTCATCCGTTTTCGCTCTTTATCTCTTTATCTGCCAAACTTCCAACTGGGGCTCGTCCCGGCATGAGCACCGACAAAAGGAATCACCGACACTCACGATTCTACCAGTGGACATTTTAATTCACTGCAGTGAAGCCGCTCTGGGAGAAAATGTACAAACGAGATCACAGCCAAGAGCCTGCGATGTTAACGAAGAGGTTCATCTTGGACTGAACCGCAGGACGAGCAGCAACAAACCCTCATGTCTGTTAAATAAACCAAATACCACCACATCACACTATTACATCTATGCATGTTGTCTATTTGGTCCTTGTTTAATCAAAAGGCTTCAGAATACTCGTCACGCATGATGTGTACTAAACATCCCGTCCTGGCGGTGCCATTATCTAATGAAGGAAAGCACTTAAAACCATCAGTCTACAATTACAGTGTAGTGAAATGGGAGGGATTATAACTGACAGGTAGGCCTGTTGATTTCTTCTTCACGCTACAGGATTGCAAACGTAGACTTGAGGGATACGAGGAGGAACGCAGTATGAAACAATCCCCAAAAGTGGGATTCTGTTACCAGGGTCCACTCTTCTACTCCGTTAACTGTCATTTAAAACAAAACGTGATGTTTGACGCCGGCATTAAAAGGGTTTGACAAAGCGTTAACAACAGAAAGTGGAGCTCATAGAGGTCGTACACCTACAAAAAGAAAACCATGTTGTACTCACACAGGAGCGTAGAAAATAAAGGGTTTTACAAAACATTTGATCCAACACACACACATTGCTCCTCGTGGTTTGCAAAGATGAAATGTACATATACAGAAGGTCTCAATTGGCCACAGGATTAATACCCCGTAATGGCTGCCTGTTGAGGTCATTACTTTTGTACAACAATGCATATTTAAATATTTTTAAAAAACTCACATGTTAAAAGAATGTTGCGACCTCTAAGACAAAATCAACAAACTGAGAAAACATCCACAGAAAGAATTAAGAAAACGTCTGAACTATTCGGTGATTCTGCAACCATTTGAAAGGGAACCGTTCATTTTAAATCCGAAGGAAATTAGAAAAAGGGAAAGATTGATTTGTGCTTTGAGTATATACACATATATATATATATATATATATATATATATATATATATATATACAGACAAAAATTAAACATTTCAGTTTGAGTGTTTGGAATATCCTCAAACATTGGGATTTTATTTTTACAGAATTAAGTACGCAGTTCAGATTATTTCATGTGTTCTACTGCCTGCAGTCATTGGCTCACACGTCAGACAATCTAGGTCACTGAGGGGTTTTTTGGAAGCGTAATACCAAACGACAGCACAGTGACCTATATTAACCTCACTTACATACCGGGAAAGCACATGTTTATTAAAACGACCAAAAAGAAGCAAAAGGAAGCACAAGCATATTACATAGAAATACCGTGACGGATGAATTGGGTTTGTGACTTACCTCCGAATCCTGGCCGCATTGCAAAGTCGTGGTCTTCAATCCGAAGCAGCTGCTCAGATTTAATAAGCAGAGACTTGGTGCTGTCCATCTTTTTCATCTTAAGATCCACTCGTCTGAGAAGCAAAGAGACCAAATAACAGCTCAACCTAGAAGCTCATCTCCATCTCCATGCTCCTCTTACAAACATAGACTAGCACTTGTAGTAGAACTAACATCGGGCCGAGGGAATTAGTGATGGTTAATTGGACTTTAGCACTGTCATGACAACCAACGGTCCTGGGGACATTAAAGTTCTTTCATTGATCTAACCGAGTAGAAAATGGGTCGGACGCCTCTTTTGTCTCCAGCTCTAAAAGTCCTGACTGTATTTACTGTCCTCCTAGAAATCCTCAACTGTCCCAATTCCTGAGCATTGCACTTTAATGATGTGTTGAACAATTGCTGGACATCATTTGATGGAACAGATTACACAAGAGATCTTGATGCACAGATCACCTGAACCTACCTTTCCATGTTCTAGCTACAAAAATCTCCGAAATCAAAAAAGCAACAGCAGAAGCTGCTCCAAATTTACAACAAAGTACCATCCGAGAATTCTGACGTTGGCTCACCCTCCATGCTTCAGCTTGGTGTTCTCTCCGTACTGCTCCTTGTGCCTCCTCTTGTTCGCATAGTGGCTGCTGACGGGCCACAACCAGGCCAGGCACACCAGTCTGAAGGCCAGGAGGGCCACTCTCATGGTTAGGCCGGGGCTCTGGAAAGACCAGAGGAACCAAAACGTTCCTCCCACTGCGTCAGTGTCTCGCCGGGAGAATGGCCACAGCTGTCCTCGTCCTCTACTGGCACGTCCATGTCCCAGCGGCACTCATTGTGCACCACGCACGCACGCACGCACCCGGCTACTTGTGCATCATCCAGATGTTTTCATGTCCTCTGACATGGTAAACCTCAGTCGGTGCTTAGCTCCAAGTGCAAAGGCATCGTGCTGGCTGAGTTTGCTTCTCTGCGTTCCGTCCCTCTGCTCACGTCCCGGGACAACGAGGCGTTTGCTCCGAGTCCCCGCCGTCCCCACCCTCTGATTTACGTAAAACCAAATATCAATTTATTCCTATAATGACAAAGGAATACCATTAATTCCTCTCTAATCTTCTTATCTTCGGTTGGTGAAATCTTTCAGTAACCTACAAACTGGAGGCAGCGGAGGGAGGGGGAGAGGGATGATACAACCGGGCAGTTTCATCATCATCATCATCATCATCATCATCATCATCATGCCGAGCAGATAAAAATAAAAAGCCCCCAGCTTACTTTTTATACATTGCAGGCTATTCCCTCAAGTTGCTAATTATAGTGGTGGGATTATTACACAACGAACATACAGTTAGTTACCCTGTGTCACTCATGACAACAAAGGGGGAACCACCAAGGTAGATTTATGAATTTATAAATAAATGAAAAAATGTGCTGGGTTAAGAGAATTGTGTTAATTGCATTAAATCTATGAATAAACAAAAGGCTTAATGAGAGAGAGAGAAACTTCAGAGCCAATAAAGAAATCAAAGCACAGACGCTGCTGTAGGGACGTGCTATTTAATCTGGGATTACAGCTGATTGAGGACAGACATGAGCAATGCCATCTTGAAGAATCATGCACGTGGGCCTTGGCTCTCTTGCACATGTGACCAGCAGCTGCACGGTCACGTGTGGCAGTGATGTCCCCTCGGTGTCCTCTAGAGGTCAGCGTCCACCAGAATGTGCATGGAAATGGGAGGTGCCTTTGCGTTCACGGAGAGCGTAATTTATGCGGCATACCATGTGTCTGAACATTATAGCGTTGTCGCAGGCCAGGCGAGCACTACTGAAATTGAGATCACTAATACCTTCACGTCCGTCCATTTTCGTGCAGGGTCACGTGTGATTTTAACTTTAAGGTGTGACTTCGGTTAATTCTAGCCGGCGATGTATTGAAGCTCAATAAATCAAGATGGAGTTGTAGGTTGCTAAATGTGGCAGTATGCAGTGATTGGTCTTAATAACTTTCAGCTGGGTCTGGATCACAGCCAATCGCCGCATGACATGAAGGCGGCTTCAGAGCACCTGGCGTCTTTCACGCTGCGCCGCAGCAACTGTATTCGCTCCCACGTTGTCCGCCCAGTGCTCATTTAAGTTCCTTTTGTGTCCCAGACGCTCACTGGTATGGCTGCGTACTAATCTCCACCTGATGCACTCAATGTCCACGCTGGTAATCCTCGTGGTAGCGTCGATCCCTCCGACCCACGCTGATTGTCTGAAGCGTCCTGACCGGTATGTAGCGCAGCGGCTTTAGTTCCCTCCTCCAGCCACAGTGAGGCTCTAATGTCTGTTTTCCTCTGCAGGGCAAAGGATCCTTGAGCATCAGCTCTGCACCCGCTAACCTGCCAGAGACCACTGCTGCTTTGCCTTTTGGCCAAACGGCTTTGCTTTACCGTGTTAAACTAACCCTGTTCGGGTTTGATTTGCTTTGCCTTTTGGCCAAGTTGCTTGCCTTGTCTTGGTTAAAGTAACTTTCTTTGCCTTTTGGCCAAACCGCTTTGCTTTACCGTGTTAAACTAACCCTGTTCGGGTTTGATTTGCTTTGCCTTTTGGCCAAGTTGCTTGCCTTGTCTTGGTTAAAGTAACTTTCTTTGCCTTTTGGCCAAACCGCTTTGCTTTACCGTGTTAAACTAACCCTGTTCGGGTTTGATTTGCTTTGCCTTTTGGCCAAGTTGCTTGCCTTGTCTTGGTTAAAGTAACTTTCTTTGCCTTTTGGCTAAACTGCTTTTCTTTGTTGGTTAAAGTAACCCCGTTTGGGTCTGCCCTGCTTTTAGCTGTATTTAACCTGTTTTGGCCTCCTAACTGGGTCAAGACACATTTTAACTGTACGGGAGACCGGCCTTACTCATTTGTTTGGATCCTTTTATTTGTAGTTTTCTTTATTTTGTGATTTTGTTTAAGCAGTTTGTCGGTGTTTTATTCGTATTTTTGGTTAAATGTAATTATTTTTTCAGTTTTGGTTTAGTTTTTTATTTGAAACCTGTTGCTCTCGTCTTCTCCCCCCCGCCCCCCCCCCTCCCTTCAGGTGCTGAGTCTGCGGTGGCGGATTGGTGTCCCAGGTGGTGGTGTCCGTTATGTTTAGCATGTTTGAGTTGCTTCACTTAGTTTCACCGTCCATCAAGTCTCTGCCCTGATTGGTTCCCCCGTTGCTTGTTCCAGAGTGAAGAGGTTTTTACACCGTTAATTTAATAAAATTACATTGTGTTTTAAATTAAGTCTCATTTGCGACGAACCTGAGTGCCTCCCCTTAGTTTTGTTTGGAAGATTTAAAACAATTCCCTGGCTGAAATTCCCAGGGTGACGTTGTTTGGTGAACTTAAAATATTGAATTGCCTTCAACCATCCATCACGCCTCGTGTCGCTACAGAAACGTTCAAACTTTAGCAAGTTCATTAGGTAACGGTGTCATTTATGTAAACTAGATTTCTGTAGGTTTTTACTGAAAGGTTGTTTGCACTTTGTCCAGATACCAAAACCTGTCTTTTTATTACATTAACAGGATAAACACATCTTTTTAGATGAACCTAACTATGTTCATTTCTTATCAACTTGAAGTCTTTTTCTTGATGTGCACTAATTTCTATAACATTAGTTTGACAGAGTTTAGTGTTGGCAAACTATTTCAGTAGAGGTGTTGTGCGATGAAGCGTTCAGCAGGCGGCTGGTTAAAGTTTCACCCAACGCGATAATTAGTCACGTTTTAATTAGTGTTGGAAAGGGTGTAAAGTGGAATCACACACTTCAATGCACACCACCGTGCTTTCGCACATATGCATAAAAAATACTGTTACGGGATTCGGCACCGGGCGGCAGACATGGCGGATACACACGCTCTCCTGATCCTGTTGCTAATTTTTTGGGAGAATTTGTTGCTGACAAACTCAAAAGGTATTGTAATTATTTGTCACACTTTCTCGCTTTTCACAGACGGGTGATTTATTCACATGCAAATGGAACTTATGAGATGCATTAAAATGCTCCTTTTGAAACTTGTAAGAAATAGACAAACTTTTTCATTGACTAGTGTCGTTACCAATGCACTGTAAGAGTAATCAATATGTCAGGGATGCATTTAAAGCCATTTAAAGCTTTAAAGTCCTTGGTCCTTAAATTTGGTTATGTGCTGAACGACTGCTTTAGAAGAAAAATTTGGTTGATTTTTCCAAAGCAGCAGTAAACGGTGTCAGTGAGTCGTCCAGCTGTGACAGCTGCACACGTTGAGAATGTCGCTGACAAACGAATCTATTTTAGTGGAATAAGCTCAGATGTTTGTCATACATTAAAACACGGGACCGAGGTTCCTCCCGTGTGAATTTTCACATCAGACACAAATGTTTTTGTCACTGCAGCAGATGCGTCTTTGATCTCAAATTTTATATATATATATATATATATATATATATATATCTACTGACAGCACGGTCAGTGCAGCAGCAGCAGTTCTTAATCTGGATATTATGTTCTCAGATTTCACATATACAGTAAAAGTTGATGTTCTAAAGGGTGTCTGAAGTCTGTTCAGACCACATACTCTTGATCATCGCAGACCCAAAACATCACCGGTGTGGCTGGAAATGGTTAGAAATTGGCCTGAAAAGATTGCGTAACCATTTAAGAAATCTGGGAACTGATGGTTTTTGCAGTGTTCTGTTGGTGTTTCCGTCTCTGTAAAGCGTCTTTGGGTTGATAAGTGTTATAAAAAAAAAACTAAAGTATTATGACAAAGTATGAAACATGCAACATGCATGTTTCAAAATATAGGTGTTGACTAATACATTCAACAGTAATGATAATAGTACCTGAACAGGTGGAGAGACACAACAATACGTACATTTTCATCATTACAATTTTCTATTCTCTAATGAAAGCACAAACAGTGCTGTGCTCTTGAACTCTGGCTCAAGCTCTTCCATCTCAAAGTCCTGTTACCAGATGGCAACGTCACCTGCATCATCCCCGACGACTGCATCCTGCCCTGCAGCTTCCGGCCCACAGGCACCGTGGTGATCCACTGGTACAAGCAGCAGATCCCCGTTCACAGCTACTACTACAACAAGGACCAGTTTGGACTCCAGAACAAGCACTTCAGTGGAAGGACCGGCTTGTTCAACTCCCACATCCCCGACGGCAATGCCTCCCTGCTGCTCAGGAGGGTCAAAGTTCAAGACAAGGGCCGGTACAAGTGTTACACGAGCACGCGGAAGGGCAACCAGGAGATCTTTATCAACCTGGAGGTGAAAGGTCAGTGCAACATAACGGCATTGCATTTGAAGCATACCATTTTTTTACCCCACCATTACATGTTTAGTCTAAAACCGACGAATTCCGTCCTGATGAAGTTTTAAGTGGTCAAGCGTCTCCTTTCATAAATTACGCTCAAGGACGTGACAACGAGGTGGAATATTCTGCACTCTGTTTTCCACTGCTGGGCAGCCGAAAGGCTCCTGAACGCTTTCTTCCTGCAGCAGACAGTTGCTATTTATAGTTTATCGTCATGTTATCATACGGAGAAGTGTCTGTTATTCAGTTTGTTGTCAAGAGTTTTGCTCATATGATTGTTCTGCCACAATGAAAGAAGGCTAAATAATAAGATGTGTGCATTAATGAAGAGCTTTAAATACTTACACGGGACCAATGCCAAAAGATATCCACTCAATTTGGTGTGTGGAAGCGTAACCTGGACACCAAGTCAAGCCGTTTTTCCCTAAAACACATTATCTGCTTTTCCTTTAGCTCTCATCCAGTCGGTGATCATGGAGATGAGTGATGAGCAGGTGACCTGCTCCTCTCATAACATCTACCCCGTCCCTCAGGTGACATGGGCCACGGATCCCCCCTGTGACCAGGAAGCTTTGGAAAATTCAACCATTAAAACCACAGACCACAAGGGTCTGCTCACTGTCGAAAGCACGCTGAGGATTCTGGGTAATCTCTCCAACTACACCTACATCTGCTCTTTCATAGCGGCTGACAAGACCCAGGTGTGGACTGCTTCTCGGAAAAACCAAGGTGCACTTTTTGGTTGTAACATGTTGTAGTTTCGACAGACGGGATGATTTCAAATGGGTGGACACAATGTGTGCGTGATATCTTTCAGAGGACATAACACAGGAGGAAGGCCGTGCACTGTCCGTCCCCTGCATCGCCCCACAAAGTCTCCACAACTTCTCCCTCATCTGGACCTTCACCGTGGCCTCCGAGCCCGCAGTTATCTTGAGATATGAAACAAAAACCAGACACACCTTTAACCTGTGGGAGGGACAAGCTGAACTGGACCAGAACCTGCTTCTCCTGGGCGACGGATCTCTCCTGCTTCACAAGCCCGACATTGAGGAGCATTCCGGGACGTATACGTGCATCCTATCAGGCCTGCAGAGCAGACACATCGTGCAAACCAAAGTAAACATCACCGTTGCATCAATAAGTGAGTATCAGAGTGTTTTGTTGTGCCGACTCCAAATCGTGACGGATGTTAGAAACATCTCGCTGAAAGAAAATGTGGCATGTTTGCTTTGCAGGTGTGGACGAGCAGAGGGGTCAGAGGTCATGGTGGAGCACGGCTGCTTCTGCAGCTTTTTTCCTGTTTACCATCACTGTAGCTCTCCCACGGTGTGCAAGGGAAAGAGGTAAGTAAGATATTCACACCTTAAGATATTTAAGTCTTTGTGATTTTAAAGGGATGAACGGTAAATGCACGCAGTTGTAGCTGAGACATCCTTTATGATTCGAAATTAAAATAATTTAGTCGTCCGAATGACATCATAAAATTGAAAAAGCACAAAACGTCACCACTTCGCTGGGATTGTTAGAATTTATAATTAAGCTGCAACTGGAAGCAGGGCAGGTCTTATTTGGAGTTTGTTTCTGATTGCATAATCAAAATGTACAGAAAAGATTCAGAGGTGATGGTGAGTGTCTTGTAGAAACTGCAAACTGGAAGAAAATGTTATTTGAAATGGGTGCGGCCTTCATTGAAGAGTGTGTTGGACCAAATATTCCCAAAATATTAGTGTTTTGAGCCCAGTTAGCAGTGAAAATGTTAAGTGCTTTTTAAAAGGCCACGTAGTCGCACTGTTGGCGCCAAATTTCAATAAACTGACGAAGCATTGCAATAAAACCAACAATTAAACAAATCTGGGGAAGCAATGACATTCCAAAGGCAACAGCTCAGCTTAGGTTCAAAATCCACACAATGACAATTGAACAAAAGCATGACGTAACAACACGTGCAACATCTGTGTGTCACGGCGCGTTCAATTTCTCGCTTTTGATTTTCTCTTGCTGTCACAGCGCCGGAGACCAGAAGTGCCTCGCACAGATTCAACGGGGCAGGTTTGGTTGAAGTCGGCCTTCGCAAACATCCAAACACGGCCGCTTCATCCGCAATTGGACGACGCGGAGCGGAATGCAACGGACTACAGCTGCAGCGTGTCGCCCGGCAGGAAGTGGCCGACACCACGCCAAACGCGGTGGAGGGATCCAGCGAGGCTTTGCCACCAGGTCGTGGGATGGAACATGAAGGAACTCCACCTGTGGAGGGGAAGCACGCGCTGCTGTCCAGTAGTCGAGAGGGGGATGGGTTTGGGAACATTGAGCAAATATCAGGAACATCAAGAGAATAAAATCTTCTAGCCATAAATGAGGGCAGAACGGTGTATAAACTACCTCTAACAAACAGACCCTTCCAGGTCCAAAGGGATTCTGTGACATGTATGAAGAGCACGTGCTTTGTCCTCTTTTAGCATCAGTTTAGTGGTAAACAGTGAACAATTGTTACATTTAAGCTTGTTTTTCTCCCTTCAAAATAAAATAAACGTTCTGTTCATTACTCATAATTGGCAATCTTTCTATCTGAAGGTTAACATTAAGGCTCATGATGAAACAGAGGTAACAAAATATGCTGCTTTTCAGAACGCACAAATATGTTTTTTCCTCCCACTAACTTCAGCTGTTATCTTTTGGAAAGCAGTTGACCCAAACCCTCAAACGTCCTGTTTTGCGGTTTCAAGTGTACCTAACAAGCCGACTTTCAAATTAAATCAAATTTTGCAATTGAGATAAAGCCAGCAGATAGCTGGGACGTGGGTTACGTTTGCTAAAGGCCGACATCCTGTTCATTTTCTTCATGGAAATAAACTGTGGATACAACCATTAAAAACTGTGACTCCACAAACAGGCTTTTGGCATTTTGTCATGGGTGGGCACAGGAACTGTGTGTGGTGGATGTTTGAGATTAATTGATGATTCTTTTTTTTTTTAAAGTTTAGATCGGACAAAACAAAGTGCGGCATGAGTGGATGAGGTAAAAGTTTGAACGTGCCCAACATCTCCGCATCCTAAAACTCTGGCTTCTCGTGATCGAGTGAGACGCCTGACGTCTGAGCTGTGACTCAGACCTTCCGACAATTACCAGATCGGATCGCACATCCACTCGCACAATCTGACACCGCTCTTTTTTTCCCCCCTTCTCCCTCCTCCCTTATTTTTCCGCTGCCCTCAGTCCAAATCCCCTGATTCAGTCTGCACACGGTTTCATTGCAGTTAGAAAAAACGCACACGCATGAAGCCGTGTGCGGATGATAGTGGTGTAGTCGCTCTAGAAAACTACTTTGGACACAAAGCGAAGTAACATTCCAGCTTCATGACAATACAATACACTTAATGTACACCAGTTTTCAAATGAGAGCCTCATTCATGTGTTTCCCTATTTTAGTGAAATTCTTTGAGTGATTTTATGACAAAGACCCCGGCACGGCGTCTGGAAGTAATCATCTCGTCAAGGCCGCACGCCGCAGCCCCCTCCCAGTGATGTAATTGTGAGTTTTTTTATTTTCCTGTGATGGTTCGAGATTTTCAGTGGGATTCTGCGGGGTTTTCCAAAGTCATTTTTTCATTCATCCTGATCTCTAAACCTACTCCCTCATTCTCTGCGTTCTATTGCAACGCGCATGCATCAGATGGATGAGGACCCGAGTGTTGGTCTTGGTCCGTGTGTCTCTGTGGGGAACGTCTCTGCCTGCTCAGTGAGGAGGGGGAGTGAGCTTGGCTTTGTTTCAAACACAGCAATGGGGCCTCCTGCCTACACATACCGCTGAAACAACAAATGAGGCATTTGCTTTGTACAACTTTGAGCAGTAATGCCTGCTTTGGCTTTTCTTCTATGCAAGAACACACATTGTGAGAAGACTCCTCTGTGTGAGAACTGAAGACTAGTTTCTCTGAGAACCAACTGGCTGGACGCTGTTTGTGGGGAGAGTTCAGTCCGTCAAGGCTTGAAGAAGATTCAGAACTTTCACGTGACAGTTCCAGATTAGCAGTAAGCCACTCAAATCCACGGTTTCATGCTGGAATGTATATATTTAATACCATAATGTTGCAGCTGATGGTTGACTGGGAGGTCAGAGAAAAACAATCTGTACTGGAAGGGATTAAACATACTAATTCATTTGAAGACACTTCTCTCATCTCGCCTTTTAACAAAGAAGCAATTCTATTTCTAACCGGAGAGAGGCAGCAGCGGCAGGGTCTCTCTCTCTCTCTGAGTCTGCTCTAGAAGTTGAGGTGGGAGGGGAGAGGGTCGGCTGTCTGATCCTTTGTCATATGGAGACGGTACTCTTATACCTCAAACGGAGAGAGGGAGCACATTTCAGCTGCAAAGGACATGCAAATAAAAAGGTCTCGGGCTCAACTATGTGAACTGGACATAAATGAAAGGTCAGTCGCTTTTCTTTTAACTGCTTCAATCTGCTCCTGAATGTCCTTATCGATACGAGCAGTGATGCTCTGTTTTGTGTAGTTTTTGAGCACTTTTGAGCAGCTGCCTGCACATTGTGCTGTGAAAATATGAATGAAATGTTTTTGTTACTCAATGGAAGTGCCGCTAACAAGTGCTAAAGGGAATGTGAAAAAAGTCAGGGGAATGGAATGGAGTTTTCACTGTTATCTCTCTTTGTTGAAAAAGAAATATGTGTTTCACGCGTAATGTTAATATTGGTGGGAAATGACACAACTTGAGCAGAAGAAAAGTGGAGAACAGAGATGCTTATCATTTCAAACGGTTGAGTGGATCAACAATTATGTGTCTGTTTGTTCCCTTGATGTCTGATGTTCAACTGATTTAATGTAAAAACAGTGCAGTTTAGAGCAAAAACGATTAATTGATAAGTTGATTTAAAACAAACATTTCTGATTTCACTATTTCTCTTTTTGTATTCTTTCAAAAAACTCTGGCTTCTTAATCCCTATTTCATTTAAGTAATATAGACATAATTATTATTACTTAAGAAAATAATGAGATAAGATAAGATAAGATATCTAAAAACAAATATATATTTTTAACTTTGATGAAAGTAAACAATTGTCGTCTGGGAGATGACAATGAGTGAGACTTGAAATGCTACAACGGTTTGAGCCTTTTTCTTGAGAAAGTATTTGACTCTGATCTTTTTACATCTCCGTTCTTACGAAGTGGCTGTAGTCTGAGCGAGGCAGTAAAATCTCTCGCTCCTGGCGTGTGGCTTTGGCTTTTTCTTTTCCCCCTTTTTTTTCCAGGAGCTCTGGAGAATGAACTCATGCTGATTGATTGTGTGACTGTGTAAAAGGACACCCTACTTCCTGTAGGCCCTCTCTCCAGACAGCAGGAGCAGAAAATCCTGGATCAGCCGTCTCTGTCTTTCTCTTCTGTGTGTGTGTGTGTGTGTGTCCTGGAAACTGCATCTGACTTTTAAAATCCCTCTGTTGTATCACTGGAACCAGTAATATAATAAGACTTCCATGAGATATGATCTTCAGTGTGGCGACGTAAAGATCTATTTTAGCTTTGTTTATCTTGGCTGCTCAATATCTTCACCTTTTTCTTTTTGAGGCTAATTTATTGCTGTTTTCATCACGCTCATCAAGATAAATAAAAGATTTTTGTAAGTCATCCACAAAGATCATTATCTAATATAAAATGGTATAGAAAAGTGAAAATTAAGTAAATTTGAAGCTGTTCATTTATAACATGCAAGTATTTAGTAAATATTTGGCTGCTGACGGATTTGAGGACTGGTCATATGCGCTTCAGGCTTAAACTCAGATGGAGGTGCAGAGCGCTGGTTTTTATTGGGAACACGGAGCCAGACGTGAAAAAAAAGTTGCTCCGGATCGCTTTTCCTACTTAGTCTGGAGGAAAGTTTTTTTTTCTTCCCGTTTTAAATATGCACATCTCAAATATCTGCTTGAATTGAAGTATTGTTGTAGTTGTCGGAGCCTACGCTGAGCGAGCACAGGGAATGGATTCAACTTCCTGTGATGTTCCTTGAATGCATTTTGTTTCTGGATTATTAAAAGATGCTCTGCATGATGTTGCAGGAGTACCGCTCCAAGGAGACAAAGTTGACCTGCTTCAGCATGTCTGTATTTTGAATTGGTTAATCCGGTTTTTTTTGACAACGTGCAAAAAGAAGCTGCTATTTTCCTTCTGCTGCTTCATATTTGTTTAATTTTGATCCTCTCCTTTTTTCTTCTTCTTGGGGAACAAAGCACGTAGGGCCCCGCCGACTCCTGCATCCTCCGACTGAATCAAAGGAGGTCAGCGTGATGAACGGCATGCTTCCTCAGAGGAGAGCTGTGGCCACATCTGGCTACAGCTCAGGTGAGACACAACTTTCCAGATGTGTTTTGGTTTTCTTGTTCTATTTTATTGAAATTGAGCACTTTCATCTCGTCATTCAGACGTGAGTCTGACAGTAATCCTGCAGTTTTGGATCCTGCAGAGATACAAAACACGTGAACTCATTTAAATCTGTGTTCAACGAACAATTTCACCTCAATGACAAACCATCATCCGAAGTTTAGGGCTCCGTGAAGAAATATGATCGAGTTATCTGGATACCCTTCATTGAGATGGAATAGCCCTTTTTTGCACCAATCTAAGAGCTACTATACGCTTTTGACATTTTCCTCCTCTGTGAACAGGGTGTTTGCTTAAGAAAAATGAAACGTGCATTAGCCATGTGCAAAGGAGTTTTTAAGACAAAGGAGAACAGCAAGTCAACAGGCTTCAACATAAAAGAAACTAATGATGCAGCATCCAGCCAGACGTGATGACTCAGGCCACTGTCCACACGGATTTTTGGGTTGGGGGGGCGGGTGGCGATCTGTCTCGCAGTCGAGGCTATGATGCACTTGCTTGCTTGTCTTGGTCCACAAGCATTCTTCCATTTTTAGAAGTAGCCGAACCACAGATTGAGCCTGTGTTTGTATTGGGCTCAGAACTGTATGAGTGTACATTCTTAACCCCCACCCCCTCCAACGCCCCCTTACTCAGCATTTGAGTGATAGCCGAGCTGGTGCTTATTCAATGGGCTGCATTAAACCAGACTCTGACACAGTCCATAAAGGGAAAGGCTTTCATGCTCTGTCAACTGTCTCCCTTCCCGACAGATTGCGTGAAGGTTGAGCACGGCGGCGGCGGCTCAGTCGGTGGGTCCCTGCTGAGGGGCTCTCGCTCCAAGGCGGAGCTACAGGACCTGATGGAGATGCTGCAGCGCAGGAAGAGCGCTCTGGAGGCCAGCTTGAGGGCGGCTGAGTGCAGCCGCAGATACCTCAGCGTGCCCTCGCCCGCCGGATCGCAGTCCGGCAGGCCTCTCTCCATCGCCGGCAATGCTGAGCGGCCGCCGTCGGCCTCCAGGACTCCGTCCTACGCGACCAGCAGCAGCGTGCCTCCATCCCCTCGTCAAGGGGAACGCCAGCTGAGCCCCAGCGGCCTGCCTCGTCACTCCCACTCTCGCCACCTGTCACAAGACAGTCTGCTCCTCTCCAACGCAGCGGACGGCGGCCCTCTGTTCTCCTCATACGGGCAGACCCTCGCTCGCTCCCCCAGGGTCAAGACCGGAGCAGCGAGCGTGCCGTCCAGCCCTCGCATGAGCCGCAGGCCGCACTCTCAGTGCAAAGCCGCAGGAGACTCCCGGCAGAGGAAGTACTCGACGGGCTCCCTCAACAGCCTGGGGATGCACAGTCGTTCTCTGCCACGGCTTCACAACGCCGCAGAGCCCCCGGCGCTGTCGCTGCTGCCGCGTCCCTCGGCGGGTCCCCACAGGGGCTCGGCGGGGCAGCGGCGTAGTCTCTCCTCCCTGGAGCAGCCACCGGACGTGACGGTGCCAGCCGGCATGCCAGGCACTGCCAGGAGGGCCAGCCTGGCCTCTCTGTGCTCTCTGGGCGCGGAGGCGGACGGGACAGGCTTCGATCCGGGCTTCGGAGAGAGGCGGTTGTCCTTTGGGAAGGGCGGACTGGGTCCGGGACAAAGGGTGGGCAGCATCAGCTCTTTGAACGGCAAAGAGGAGCTGAGAGACTATCACCAGCACCAGAGAGACGAACGACTCAGGGAGCAGAAAGTGCAGAGATTGGTGAGTTTCTCCTTGGGCCTGATTTTTCCACTTTTCCACCACTTTTCCCGCTACTTTAACAGCTTTGCCTGTTGCCTTGTCTACAGGAGTGCCAGCGTCTGGAGACCATCTTGAACCTGTGCACCGAGTTTGGCCATGTGGAGAAAGAGCCGGCGGGCTCAGCCGTTTGTGATCTGCAGAAGATCAATAAGGAGCTGGAGAAGCTGCAGGTGTCGGACGACGAGTCGGTGTTCTCCGACTCTCCCGGCCGCGCCGCCTTCCAACTGGCCGAGGAGCAGCAGGTCAGCCAGCGTCAGCAGGGCGCCTACAGAGACGCCAGGTCCCACTCGCCCGCCGTCAGCCTCAACAGCAGCGCCCCCTCGCCGTCCAGCCACCACAGAGCCAAAGTAAGGTCACCCGGGGGTCATGCTTATCGACAGGGCTTCACACTGACGCACTCAGGGCAGGAGGAGGAGATTGATGAAGTATAAGGAAGTGGAGATGTCAAGACATTTCCAAAGTCTATTTATTTAATCAGCTGTAAGAAATTAACTTCAGGGACTATTTTAAAGTCCTGATAGGAAACTGTGTGATACAGAAAACCTGATTATTAGTGTTTCACTTATTTAATTTTTGGATGGAGCAGTCGGCTTTGCTAATCCTGGTGTTTGTTTTTTTATTTTTTCTGAAAACAGATTAGAAAGATAGAAATGGGGTTGAGGGAGACAACGTTGAGAATAAAGGATAAAGGAAAAAGACAGGTGTTCATAGGCTGTATATAGTCGGTGTAAAACATGTCTTTGTATTGCTGTTGGACAGAAGCCTCTGATAGCAGCTAATTAGCATGTGTGAAAATAGAATTATGACATCTCCTCCGCTTTGGTTTGAGGTGCTGGTTTTTGACTCACTTTCAAACTGTAGGGGCTCACTGGACACTAGAACTGGACACAGCTTTTGTTATTAAACACGTGTGCGTTTCCTAATACGCCGATCATGAAGTTAAAACGTCTGCTCAGAGTCCGATTTTAAACCTGCATGAAGTAAAGATTCTTACCAGGCGAGATGAACTGGATTGTGTTTTTTTAGTGAAGAAAAACATCTGTCCCATGGGTGTCTTTCCTTCTTGTTTCTGTTCCTCCCATCTTTTCTTTGCCTTCTAAGTGACGCCCTGCTATGGAATACGTGTTACGTGAGTTTGGAGAGGCGAAATTGCAGCCGAGACTAATGGGACAAACCCCAGTGGCGGAATGCAGTGCGTCAGACTGCTGATAGCTTGTTTATCTCTGAACACAAAATCTGGTGCAGATTACAAAGTTTCCATATAAACCAAATGTGTTGATTATCTGTGTGTGTAAGAAAGAGAGAGAGAGAGAGAGAGAGAAATGTTTTGTTGTTCTACTTTATACAGCCAGCAGTGTTGAAGAGGTTAACTTGGTCAAACACAAACCAAATGAAATCATTATATGATGTTAGTGTTAGATGTAAGTTAGTGTGCAGGCCCTGAATGACCCGTGGTAGCTGGTTTATTGTGCATCTTCCACCCTATTTTCTAACCCAACCTCCCTAAGTCAGCACGCTTTCCTCAGAGTGATGGCATGTACTCTTACGTTTCACAGTTAACGGTGTACAGCTGGTACATTTCCTGTTTATTTTCTAACACAAACAGGAAAACCATGGTTGCACAAGATCTCCTGTATAATATTTACCACTCAGGGTTGTAGGAGAGTGAGCGGATTACCAGAGTGAGTCCACTTTGATTGTGTTTTATTGTTGACTTGTGCAGGCGGGAGGACAAGGCACGCTGGCACAACAACCGCTGTTGCTGTTGTAAAAGCATGCAGTTATCACAGCACACTAAATGTAATGTAACGAATGAACATGTTTAATTTACAAATATAAATAGAAAGAATGTATCAAATACTGCAATTTCTGCTCCACTGTCAGAGTCCTGGTGCCGCTAATTAACCGACTCTGTAAAAGTGCAGCTTTCTTCCACTCGAGAGCAGTAACAACTTAACGGTTTGGTCTGGTTTTAATGAAGAAGTCCCAGTTTTGTTTCTGCACTCAACTTGAGGGAACAGGAAATGACTTTATCCCGAGGAGAATTAGTGTGTGCGTGGGTGTGTGCGTGCACGCACATCTGTGTGGGTGTGTGTGTCAGTTGAAGAATGCTTGTGTATATGCATGGTAAAGGCATGCGTTTTTCCAGATGTTCTTAACTTTTATGCTGCGGCTAAATGGATTTAAAGATAAGAATGTAGTGAAAACATCAAAACAGGTCATCAATCTACATTTTATTTGGTGAAAGACAAACATAGCTTGAGTTTGCATTAATTAGATTTCCATGTTGAGACCTTCACTTCTGCGTCGTGTCAATTGTGACAGAGGTTTACAGACTCCTAAGTATCCTTTCTTTGACCGTGTGCATTCCTCTGAGGAGTGAGTGCAGAGGAGCTCCAGAGCCTCCCGGGACACTCACCACACGAGGCCGCGACCCCAAAAACAATCATCCCAAAAGAAAGAATACCTGAAAATACTCTTCGCTGAACCCACATATGACTCTAAATGGAGGATTTTCGGTTCTGTTGGTAGAAGATGAGATACGTGGGAGTACAGAGTGTCGTGCACCGATAGAGATTTCCATTACACCGAGTAGAAAAGATCCCTGCCCCTGTTGTCAGCGATCCAGCTTTGGATGAGTTTAAACAGCAGCTGCTAATTCATAATAAAAAGGGTTGGAGAATAGTTTTAAAAAACATGTTGTACTGTTTGAATATAAAAAAAAGAGTTTCACACTTTTTAAGAAACAAGTGCTTCAAATATAAGAAACTTATGATGGAGATTTTTCAAAACATATGAAGTCTCTGCCAAGCATTTCAATGCATTCCTGATGTCACCGCAGGTTTTGGAGAGCGCGCAGCTGAAACAGGAAGTAACGCATATAGAGGAGGAGAGGATTCAAGTTGTGAACAACATAGAGGAGTTGGAGCAGAAGATCAAAGACCTGGACAACCAGATGGAGGAGTCCGTCCGAGAGGTAGAGCGCAGTACACAAGCTGACTCTGGAACAGCTTGCTGGTGTCACTTCTCATCTAGTTTGCCATAATGTGCACTAGTTTATAACTCGTGCTCGTCCCAGTAAAGCGGACAAATTGAGATGCAGTCTGTCTTTTGTCAGCCTCGTGCTGTCTGATTTATCTATCGAATCAAGCCGCTTTAACTTTAAGCATCCAATATCTTTTCTGTTTCCCTGCAGATGGAGGTGGAGTGCGCTCTGCTGGAGGGGGAACAGGAGTCAGAGATGACCCAGCTGCAGAGGGAAAAGGAGCTTCTGGACCAACTCAATAAAAAGATACATAGTATCCAGACGACGAGCCCCCCTGAGAAACATCAGGTAAAAATACAGAACGTGATCAAGCCACAGGGGGACACAGTAGGTGAACCGAGGCACTAAAGCAAGAGCAAAGAGTGAACAGTTCAGTTCGACCACAGCTTCCTCCATCAAGGGTCCAGTTACTTGTCCTTTAAAATTAAACAAACAAATTATGTTTCCAAGAGGAAATGCTTATAACACCAGATCTGGGGGGGGGGGGTCATCTCAAATGGGACATTCTGTGCAGCAGAACTACTTCTGTGTCACCCAGAATTAGCGCTTTTTCGCAGCAGAAAAATACCTTTTATTATTTAAAAGAAGGTATTTTTTATTTTATTCACATTTTGTTCTATTTGCATCTTATTGTTATCCTGACTTTGACCGTTGTAAACCTGGAAAACCACCTTTACTTTCTTTTTCACACTCACAACTTTAGTTTTTTCCCTGGTTTCCCCTTACACACATCTGGGAAGGGCCCCAAATAGTTAACATGTGTAAAAAGAACTGTTGGCTCAACTGGCTCCAATTTGGCAGAGTACTAAACAACCTGAATCCCCGGGAGGACACAAGACTTTAACACTTTCACAATAAGTGAAATGCTCAGACATTTGAACATTTAGTTAATGTTATAAAAACACCAGAACTGGTTCCATTTCCATAAGACATGCACAATTTATCTAACGTTAAAGTTAAGTCCTTGTGCCCAAAATAGGCCGGTAGTGAAACAGTGCCTTCTCATTCATTTTATTTGACTGTTATTTACCGCAGTGGGGTATTGTGTGCGCCTCCGTGCTGTTTCTCAGGACACTGAGGAGCAGACTAAAAGTTTGGAGGATTTGGAGTTTCAGAAGCTGGAGAGAAAAATGAATCAGGATGAAGAAAAAGAGAATCAGAGCAAAGAGCTACTGCGAGAGATCGCCGAGGGTCAGCGTACTGCAGTCACACGCAAGGTACGCAGACAGGGCGTCTGTGAGCGTGCATGTAGCGCGTGTTGCATGTTTAACATCCGAGCTAATGCTGGCACCGCATCCCTCTTAAGTGTCTAACATCACAGTATTAGAAACATGATGATGACGAGAGAACAAGTCTTTAACAGGCACACAGAAAGATCCCTGTTTTTATTGGGAGTGACGTCCTTTCAAGATCTACTTTTAGTTTGTTATAAAATGCAAAAAAAGTGCATTTGCTCGATCTGACCTTAATCTACCAAATCAAATACTTTTTGTTATTGTATTTGATTGAAAGCTAAATTAAAATCAGTTTAAACATTTTGTGGTGATCGTTTTAAATATTGGCTTTTTTTTCAATTACTACATTGTGGTTTGTTGTCGTTAATCTTACTACAGGTTGTGCATGAAAATAAAGCTGCGAAATTGTGAGATATGCAGCATAAAGCATGAACTAATTACAAGAAACAGCCAACAATGGTAAGCATGAAAGACTATTTGCGTTGTGATAAAGAAATAATTAATTTTTTTTCAATTATGGGCAGAATAGGGGACAGTAAAAGGCTGAAGATGTTAAGTTAAAGAAGCTGTAGATAGAAAAAACAAGTAATGTATATTTCCAAAATTAGAATTTGCTCCTGTTCTTTCTGCTTCTGCTTCGTAATATAACACATGTGCAGTTACTGCTAATGTGACAGCATCACTTATTTCCTGATGTTGTTGGATAACATATGTTGATATTGTGCTGTTTTCTTTTTACAGGAAAGAATCATGGCGCTGAAGAAACAGTCCTCACAGATTACTTTACAGGCTCAACAAGAAAGAGACAACTTCCAGAGAGAGAAAAACAACTTGCTCGTCATGCTACAGAAGGTAAAAAAAAAAAAAACTTTAATTGAAATGTTTGAATGTCTGATTGAATTTGCTTAATTTTTTGCCAAATGCCTGCAGGAAAGAGAGAAGCTGGCGTCTTTGGAAGGAAAGTATGCAGAGTTGTCTGAGGGGCAGTCCTTCACTAACAACCCCGTAGCCATGAAAGAGGTGAGTGTGAGTTACTTTATACTTCCACCAGCAGTGCTCCTCCGTCCCACAGCGAACGACCAACGTTCCCATGTCTCTGATCAGATGTCCTGTTATTTTTATCCTTTCCTGTCCTTTGGGATTCGTGTGATTTCTTTCGTCACTGCAGCACTCTCTGAAGGAAAGGAGGAGAAGCAACAAAGAGAACTCTTGTCACCCGAGTGACAGCCAGCCTTATAAGAGGAGCCAGCAGCTCCTCACCTCTTATGGCAGATCCCTGGGACGCACGCTTCCTCCCAAGGTCATCATTACCTCATGGAATACATCATCTGAGCAGCTAGTTGTCTGAAAGACATATTAATATTCCTCTCATTTAAAGCAGACTGTGATGAGGTAAAATCTTAGTAGAAAGGTGCACAGATCTCTTCCGGGTGTGACTGCATATGAGCCCACCTGTACTATCCCATTGAATGAAAACGACTCACAACCAACCCACCAACACCAATGTGCTGCAAGGCGTCACGAATCACCCTTCAGTCAAACTGCAACCAATTGGCTTGAAGTCATCGTTTAAGACATTGCATGAATTCGATTCAGATAAATAGGGGATAATGAAACCCAGGTTTCTCAAAATGCTGCTCGTTGTGATCCTGGACTGCAGAAAAGGGGGATTTCACGGCCCTCGTTACTTGGGCCCAGTCCAACGGTTTGTCTCTGGAGAATGATCTGCCCAAACAGGAATTCTCTGCTCCACTTTGGAGACACCCACCCAGCTCATGCATTTTGCAGCTATATGAGGGGAGTGGAGCGTGCAGTCTGATCCTGAACGGCCTGTATGTGCTGATGTTTCCTCCGCAGGCCCACTTGCCTCTGTCCCAAAGCTCCAGCTGTGGCAGCGTCATCCCACAAGGCTTCAGCTTCTCCCCCCGCGACCCGAGCGTCCGCCGCCCGACCAAGAGTGAGTCAGACTGCAGGGCTGTCGCGTTTCGTCTGCATCAATTCTGCATTGTGCGGCCAGCTTTGAACCTCGGGCGTTTTGCATGTAGGGCGAGAAATTGAACTGATGCAATAATCGGTGTCACAGCTCAAAGGGAGCCGTGTGTCGTCCACATCTGATACCAAAGACAGAACTACTGTACTTCTTTGTGGAGCTTTGGAGGGGGAGGGGGGGGGACTTGCATCAGGGTAAATTGACCTGGGTTTTATTCAAGTTATCATCCCATGATGCTGTGTTTCCACTCTCTCACGGTAACATTTACGTCCGTCGCAGGCAACGGCCACTCGCACGCGAATGAAGACCGACAAAGAAGGAGCGACTTCTTCAACCGGATGATCTCCGAGCCCAGCGTGTTCTTGGACTCCTTCACCTACCCGGACCACAGCCAGGCCTCAGACACCGTCAGCGTGGACAGCTCCGACAGCCTGGAGACCAGCTACTCCGCCTGCTCGCCGGACAACATCTCCAGGTCAGAGAGAAAGCACGCTGGAGCGCACGTGTGTGAGTCAGGAAGGAGAAGAGTTGTCTATTTAGAGAGGAAGTTGGAGCGTGGAGCCCGCAAAATACGATCAGGAGACCTTTTGAATTGTTGGTCGTTACGATCTTTTCATCACCTGTATTTTTTCTGTTGTTTCAGCTTTAGGTATGCAGCATGTCACACTAACCGGAGTGCGTACTCTCCTCATTTAACAACTTGTTTCTTCCTTTTTTCCTTCAGCGCCAGTACGTCCAATATGGCGAAGATCGAGGAGATGGAGCGTTTACTCCGAGAGGCCCACGCTGAGAAGCTAAGACTCCTCGAGCATCGGGTAATGGGCCCAAGCCAAACTAAACTTCATGTGCATATGCGTGCGGTTCTTTGATGGTGGTTGTTATTTACACCTCGGGGCTTTTGCAGGAGCGTGAGATGGAGATGCGCCGGCACGCTCTGGAGGAGGAGCGACAAAGACGCGAGGAACTGGAAAAACGACTGCAGGAGGAGACAAGCAGGAGACAGAAACTGGTGGAGAGAGAAGTGAAGCTCAGGGAGAAACAAAGATCTCAGGTGACGAGAAGAGGTCCACAAATACTGTGGGAGTTTTTTTTGTTCTTCTCCATCAATCATCATCAGTGTTTGAATTACTTTGTCCGTAGTCGCGGCTGTTGACTCGCTACCTCCCCGTAAGGAAAGATGACTTTGATCTTCACGGCCACATTGAGGCGGCCGGACACAGCCCAGATGCCTGCTTCCATCTGGCCATCACTGACAAAACCTGTCGAGGCTTCCTGGTCAAAATGGGAGGCAAGATTAAGACCTGGAAGAAACGCTGGTTTGTCTTCGACCAGAATCGCAGGACGCTGACTTACTACGCAGGTGAGCAAATGCGTCTCTTTGTTCTCTGTTGAAAAATGTGCAGTTTAAAATGTGAGACAATGTTTCTACTACAGTGATGTCACTTTTGAGCTATGCAGGGATACTTTGGGAGCCGGGACGGAGCTTTGATCAAACTGTTTTGGGTTCTGGTTTATGTTCTCCTCTGCAGACAAACATGAAACCAAGGTGAAAGGAGTCATCTACTTCCAAGCCATAGAGGAGGTGTACTACGACCATTTAAAGAACGCACACAAAGTAAGTCAGTTCGTGCAGTGAATCTTAGTTTCCTTAGGCCTCATTTTTATTGGGTAATGTTGTAATCCGTTCATCCTCTGCTTTTCCTCTCTCCCTCCCGCACATGCATCATCTAAACAACCCAAGAGCCCCAACCCCTCGCTGACCTTCAGCGTGAAGACCCACGATCGGGTGTACTACATGGTGGCTCCGTCGCCCGAGGCCATGCGTATCTGGATGGACGTCATGGTAACGGGCGCCGAAGGACACATGCACTTCATGGTGTAACGCATCCCAACCGATCAGGGTCCACACCCTGCGGTTTCATTACCCATCCCGGCGCTCTGCTCGTGCCGATGTAACAGCGAACACGGGTCGCGTCGCGCCGACATCATCAGGTCAACAAAAAACTTCTGCTCAGACTTGTAGTATTTTTAGTCTACAACTGAGGCTCAAAGGCACACTTTATAATGTAATTATGTATGAAAGTGATATAAAGGGTTCCAAATGATATGTCCCACTTCTTCCCTCGTCTCTTCTCCTCGTTGGACGTCCAACTGCATCAGTGGGTCACAAAACTTCTTGTCAATCTTTTCTGAGGCGAGATCATCCCATTTTTATTTGTGTTTGCAAGAATGACCATTTCCTTCCCATATGTCTACTATTATTTCTATATTGTCATTATTTTAAGTAATATTTTACATTTTGAACTCAAGCATTTTCATGCTGCCGTACTACAGGCATTTGCTGGTCTTGTCTGACTTTTTAAAGCACATGACCACCATTTATATTACTTCAAACCACAGATATATCCTTGTGAAACTTTAATTCCAGTGAGTGCTAATTTAGCCTTTTCTTCACACATGCAAACTTCAATCATGTTGAGAGATAACGGCATGGTCATTTTTCGGTCTTGCTCTAAATTGTTGGTAGTTTGGAAATATTCTTCTCATGAATTGAATCAATCTGCCCAAATCCCAATGGTACTGTGTGTCATGCCGCAGGCCGGATTGGATGAGGCCATGTGGTGCAGCAGTGACGCAGTCCGTACTGCATCACCCTCATATCGCTCCTCAGCGTTTCATTTTGTTTATTCACCAGCAGAGGGCCTCAGTGCTGAGCTATTGCAGTGTAATGACGTAATGTGCTGGGCAGTAGGTCAATCAATAATTATGCTTATATATCAAATGAACAATAAATCACACAAAACAAATCAATATCAAAATAATATCTCGGGTTTTAATATCTCGGGTCTACATTTACATCTATTTCTAAAGCATTTCACATTTGTTAATTTGTATATAGAGAGCTATAGATATAAATAGCAACCTCAGACTCCATGCTACTTTTTTTTAAATTGACTTTCAGGTTTCAATATGAACAAATAATGTTGATTATGAATCATATTAGTGGAGATGTACTTTTTGAGTCATGAAGCGGGGGGGGGGGGGGGGGGGGGGGGGGGGTAGTGCTGTGCAGAGGTTTTACTCTGTACATGAGTAGCATATCTTTATTTTTACACTGTATAAATGTATCGTCATGGTAATCATGGGCCTAATTATATCCTATTTTAAAACTTTTACCATTTATATTAGCCGTGATCAGAGCCGATTCATGTATTAATGTGGCATTCTTCTGATATCTCTGCAGCGACCCCTTCTTTAGAAAAAGGTCTCAGATGTTATGGAAATGTTACTTGCAGCGTTGCGCAGCCTTTTGTCAACAAATTTCTCTACATTAAATACTCTTGTAGCCTTTATACCCATATGTGTGTAGTGTGTGTATCTTTGGTTTCACTAAATCAGTTAAAAGTCAGCGTTGTTGTATATCTTTGCAGATTGCAAAAACGTATTATTGATGTACATTTATGTCAACATTATGGTTAATCTTTATTATCATAATTCAAAGTGTTATTTCCATTCAAATGGGGCATAAAGCAATATCTGGTCTTATTAGCATGTATACTGTGTGCTCATTAAACCACCAAAGTTTTTTAACTCCTCCTCTCGACACTTGCTGCATCTCATTGGTTGACCTAGTGAGGTTGGCATGGAAACACAGAATGAAGCATGCTAAATTAGGTTCGAAAGAGGCGCATCTCTCTGCAGAGGCAGAAGCAGACACAAAAACACATGCGGTCCATAGAAAACCAGGGTGGCCTCATGGCTACTGTAATTAGTATAACATATTTGGGGCAAAGGGTGCGGGGGAGGAGGGGCCAGAATTAAAGACACAAAAAGCAACCTATAAATAGAAGTACTCCGAGACGGCTTATTGAAAATATTGCTCAAAAGTGCATTCCAACATTTTCCCTTGTTGTGCTCCACTCAAGGCTGTAGTCACCCTCACACTTATAAGCATGAAAGACACTTGAAAATCATGTGAATAGATGTTGACAAAGGGAGCATTCACTAATCATGCTTTCTTGGTATTTCTCTTCAAACAAGCAGTTTCATGTAATGTATTCAATCTATAACACTGAGGCACCACCTTAAAAACCAAACCTCATACTAAATATACTTCTGTTTACGCAAATGTTTTAGTCCCAAATTGAGGTTTTTCCTATGAGGGAAGTATGTGTTGTGTTTGAGCTTCAGGGGGAAAGTGTCCTTTTATCAGGAAGATGGTTTTACCCTCCATCGGCACCTGATGGGGCGAAATTGTCTGTGGCAAAAGATGGTCCTCTTTTCCCGGCTCGCAGCCTCGGGCTCCCTGAAGAACACAAAGGTCTTTTTGTGTCACCTCCGCCCTGCTCTTTTATTTAAAAGAAATTCACCCTTTGTCCATCGCCTTATTTCTAACACTAGACTCCTTATAAGAGCACCACATGACTCAGATCAGTGTCCTGTCCGTAACCTGAGGTTTTACTCCCACCACTAGAAGCTGTTAGTATTGCTTTTCAACATGTTATTTAGACATCTTTGACGACAAATAACTATCTTCATGTTGTTCTCTTCTGCAATGATATCAAACTGATGCGCAACGTCCTAATGAAAGTTCCCTCTAAGTCCTTATGCAGCGCATCCGTGCTGTGCATTTCACACTAAGAATAGCAATGACACACATTCCCTAACCCCCGATAATAAGGTATGCATGTTAAGCGATTTCCCTTGCAGCTCATTGGACCCGCCTCTTCTGACATTCATGTGCTCGCTTTTCAGGTCAGTGAGCTTTGAATGTGGATGATGTTGGAATGATGTTTCTGTGAAGATATTCTGAGCCGAGCTGGCGTACGATAGTGAGCCATCAGTTAAGATACAAAATGTCTTTCTCAGTAAATAATTTAAATAGATTATGTAAATCCTTTTACTCATCTTATCTGTCTGAAAACTGCCACATTCTAGAAAAAACACGAACGCTGTAATTCACAATGTAAACGGAGCTCATCTTGCAAATATTCATTTTGTTTTATTGATTAAATAGGAAACAGAACAACATAGATGAGACTATACACAGAGATTCTGCTCTCAACTCAGTCTAAGTGGGATAAGGACGTGCCACCGTGCGAGAGGTCTCATCTCAGCGTCCTCTGTCTCGCTCAAAACGTCCACATTGCCATTCACAACGGCTGCTGTCCACTGTCCGTTTCACTGATATTCCACTCCTCCCTCGAAACTATTCTCTCCCACAGTTCACAGTGAGATCTAATCATGTTACATATGAGCAGGCGGACACACAGCCGCTGCACGGTCCAACATCACCAGCGTTAAAATCAATGGCACGTTTTTCTGCTACTTACATCCAAAGATAGGTGTGGAATGTAAATTTGGTTGTTGCATTAATTCGTAGAGCTCCTGCTGTTCTTCTCCGGACACACATACAAAGTAAAGAGACTTGCTGCAAAAGAAGGACCAAAAGATTTGACGGTTACTACAAAAAGGGGGAGTAACAAAAGCTACTGCGAAGTACTGTAGAAAAGATTCCAAGAGTTGGTCCAAAAAAGCACCCCTTAAAAAGGCACTCGCCCATGTTGTGTGTGTGTGTGACTGTGATCTGAGAAGACCCTTTTTCTTGCTTATCCTTAGTCACCGATGCTGCTATGTGTTCAGGTGCAAACCCGAACCTTTCCTGAGTGCACGTCCAGTTGCCTCAGCACCAAAGAGCCGGGGTTGTTGCTTCGGCTCCACGTGGAGATGTTTTGTGCTTGAGTGCTGAAGGCCTTCTTGCCTTTGTTACCGTTGCTTGTGGTGGCAGTGAAGCCAAGAAGATAACAGTCCAGAAAAAAGGGTGATTATTGAGTTATATTTGAGAGAAAAAAAAAGTTGCAAAGTTACAAAGACATAATCTCCGTCATTGAATGAATGAAGCCTGTTATTCATTTTCTCATCTGAGCGATGCCACCTGCGGCTGCTACAGCTTTGTTCCCGGCCCTGCGGACGGGAACTTTGGACACGGGGATCTTGGTGCGAGACGGCTCTTTAGCTTGAGGGACGTGGGACGCAGTGTGAGACTGCGTGCCGTGCTTCACGGGGATCTTCGAGTCACGCGGCAAACTGGTGAGAAGTTTCGTCTGAGGAGGCTGCTGACTCTCCTCCTGGCTTTGTCTCGAGGTGGGCACATCAACTTCAAAATCAGCGATTTTATCTTTGCTCCCTGCATCATGTGAGTGGAAACGGGGCCTCTCTTCTTCCAGCACGGGAGTAGGCGGGTCGCGACGCGCTGCGCCGTCAACATGCTGACTGTCCCGGACAGGCGGCTTCCCCCCTCTGCCCCCCCCAACTACAGGTATCTTGCTCAGTCCTGACGCCTTCACTAGCGGAATCCGGCTTTCTCTGGAGAGGCTTGTTCGGGACTCGTTATGCAGTTCTTCCGTTTTCGACAGCGTGGTCTGGGCCCCCGGGACACACGTGCTACTTGGACTGATCAGTTGCTCGTCGACTGATGCCTGTCCACTTTCCCTCGCCTCAGCAGTGGCCGGGGCCGGACTCGACCAAGCTGCAGGGGGAGACGGTGTGGAAGGAGGAGAAGTGACGGGGCAAAGGGCGGGCGACGTTGCAGAAGGGGATTTAGATTGAGAAACTGTGTTCTGAGCGGGAGGGTCTTTAGAGGCAGAAACTGGGTTACGAACAGGGGCGGGAAGGTCAGTAGATGTAGACAGTGGGAGGTGAGCAGGGGCAGGAGGGTTTTTAGATATAGACGCTGGAATTGGAGCAATAAGAGGAGGGGGCTTAGTTACAGAAATAGGGGTCAGAGCGAGAGCAGGAGGGGCTTCAGAGTGAGGAACTTGCATTTGAGCGGGAGCAGGGGGATCAGTAGACGCATGGATCAGGATCTGAGCAGTGACAGGAGAGACTTGCGCATGAGCAGGTGGGTCTTTGAACACAGAAATTGGGGTTTTAGCAGAAGCAGGAGGTTCTTTCGATTGAGGGACTGCAATCTGAGCCGGAGCAGGAGTTGCTGGGAATGCTGTAGGAACAACAGCATGAGCAATAGGGGCCGGGGGCGATATGGGAGCAGGGGGCGTCTTATCCGAAGAGACCGTTGCAGGAATATGTTTAGTCATGGGAGGAATGGTATCTAATAAGACAGAAGATTGAGATGCAAGGCAGGCTTGGGTTCTAGATGTAGCAGATGGGGTAGAGGATGGATACTTATTTTGAGCAATTACAAGGGAGGGGGGGTTCTTATTCAACTCCGTTGGACTAGAGGTGGGCGTAGGTTTGGAGTGGGCCGCAGACACTGAGCCTGAGGTTGTTATTGGAGTAGGAACCGTTGTCCCCTTGGAGGGGGGAGCCGGTGCAGGAAAGAGGGGTTTGGTTGTAACTGCAGAGGGAGGTGATACTGTCACTTGGGTTTTAGGTTCTCCTGCAGCTGAAGTTAGGGAAGGTTTGTAGGACGTGGAAATTTGCAGGTTCAAACTGCTAGCTGAATCTAATTTAGCAGATGGAGGTTGAGTAAACGCAACAGGGGTGGGGGGGCTATGGGTAACTGGTGGAGGCTTAGCCGATGCTGGGGCCGGAGTAGCCACATGGACAGGTTTACTTACGGAGGTAATGACTTGAGGAGGTGCGGTAACCTCCGATTCCCGTTTGCTAACCGAACACGTGAGAGTTGGACTAATGGAAGGTGCCTTGACTACATTGGGTGGAGCTGTGGGAGCAGTGTAGGTGGAGCTCAGTGTGGATTTAATTGGCACCGAAGGGAGCGACATAATTGGAGACGAAAAGCTCGTTAATGTGAAAGGGGTAGTTGAGGGTTTTGTTGTGACGGCCGCAGGGGTCGATTTAGTCATAGCGCTCGGAGAAGCCTCGCCTCGAGTATCCGAGCTCAGTTTGACGGAGTGAGCGGTCAAAGTGGAAGATTTGGTGAAAGTCGTGACGATGGAGCTCGGCTTAGCAACGGGAGAAGAGGTTGTGGTCGTCCTCGTCAGAGGTGTGACGGATTGGGTCGAGGCCGTTGTGGGGACGGCTACAGGTGAAGGCTTTGCTGAAGCGGAGGTCACTGGAGACGAGATGGTGGGTTTGGAGAAGACCGACGTGGAGGATGCTGTGAACTCGGCCGCCACAGCGTTGACGGGACTGCTGGCTTTCCCCCACTCTGCCTCCACGTCGGCCATGATGTCTCCACCCCCTGTTATAGAGTCGAAGGTGAGGAGCGAGGAGATGTCTGCCAGCAGGCAGCTCAGGCTGTTATCACCGGGTACCAGGGGTGGTTCGGATGTGGGCAAAGGCGGCACATGCTCATTAGTTCTACTCACTCTGCCCGCCGGCCCCTTGGGAGTCAGGGTCTCTGATGGGGACGTGCATGCACTGTCCTGCGGTGTTAAGCTCATGTCGGGCTCACAGCTCTCCGTCTCGGGGCTGTCCAGGGAGCGATGCTGGGGTTTCGGGGTCAGGACGAGGTCCTCTTTGATGATTTCCACACTGTTGGCCCGTGAGGACATGAGAAGTGGGCTCGGAGGGGCTTCCTCCTCCTCTGTATCTTTTGATCGGAACTTAACGTTGCCAAAGAGACCCTTCAGCCCACGGCGTTGCCGACCCGCGGGCTGGGAGACGGTGCGGACCCTGCGGCCCCCCGTCCCTCTCCGGCCACCCCTCAGCAGCGACAGGAAGCTGAGGGACTTGGCCGAGCTGGCTGAAGAAATGGAGGCGCGAGCGGCAGCAGCCGCCAGAACGCCATCTTCACAGAGTGTCTCTTCCTCTTCCTGCTCCCTTTCTCCTTGACTCTCCTCCTGCCCGTTTTCCCTCTCCTGCTCCTGCTCCGAGTCCAATCCATCGACAGTGCTGCTCCTTGTGACAGGTGACTTGTTGTTTCCATCCCCTTTGCTTCGAAGAGAAAAGATGTTACCTGGCTTGCGTTTGCCAAACAGCTTGAATCCCTTTCTGATTTTTCCCCTCGACTGGGATTCACCAGGCGGGGGGTCCGTGCTCTCCGTTTGTACATCCATCTTCTCGTTTCCCCCCTTTCTCTGTATCCTCTGGTTTCCTGCTGCAGTTATTATTCCCCAGCCAGCGGAGTCAGCATTTACATCCAGACCTTCTCCCTCGATTGGCGTCCGCAGCTTCACCTCTTTGACTCTTGTTGCGTTTCTTTACGGGTTGTCTGTATCCCTCGCTCTGTCTATCTTCCCCATCCAGCCCTTTCTCCTCTAGTTCTCCCATGGAAGCCCCTCCCCTTCGCCTCGGGTTTTTCCTTTTTTTTTTTCTCGCCTGGCTGCTCTCCCTGGTTGCCATAGCAACTGAGGGGCTAAGCAGCTTTCGTCAGCAATGCGGAGCCAGAGGCTGTCATCAACCCAACCTTCCTCTCCCTCTGTCTGATGACTCTGTTTACACAACAGCAGAGACAAATACTCCATTAATAGGACCACATTTTGAGTTCTGGATGATCTGGCTTTACGTAAACATCTCATCCCATCCAGATTAACGGAATGTACCTTCATGCGTAGCATATTAATCTCTTAATGGAGCAGATTTCACACCTAGTGTGACGCAGCAAGCTACAATAGCTCACAACAGTCTATTAAAAATGTATAACATTTTGCACTTCTATGAATAGTTATTAGGACAAAGTGCAAACCTTTCATCACATTCCTGTTTGGGAGATGAACAGCATGCTGACGTGTTCCTCATTACAGTGCTTTACTTTTCTATGAGACTATGATGTTATTACTTCATAAAAGGCAGACTTTTAGAGACATTAGAGAACATATAAATATAAAACATAAATATAAGACATCCTGTGAAGGTTGGAATTAAAAGTTGTCAATCTTTCATTACGCGTGATTATGTAACAACCTTGACGGAGTCAACAACGGTCTTGAAGACAAAGAAGCCTTTGAGAATGATTAGATAATTGTAAATAAATGGATAGATTTAGGAAGAGTATACCAATTAGCTAAAAATGTCAATGTGTGTGGTTTTACCAATAATGTTATGTGTACATTTTCATTCAAGCAACATTTAGATTACAGCATTCACTAAAAGGTGATACATTCTGAAAACCATTATTTATTTTGTGACAAAACATTGTTCAGAATCTTATTTCTTTGTGTAAATACCAAATACAGATTACTTAAAAAGTTATTCTAAATTCAATTCTTATAAATCATGTTCATCCTGTTGTAAGTTTGCTTGGCACAAGCATTTATGAACGACTTTGTTCCTTCCATTGAAATATAGGACACTTAAAAAAACAAATTTGTTGCATTTTTTTTTTTTAAATGTAAAAGGTTTTGTTGAACTGAAAACAAATGATCCATATAAATGAGGTGAGTTGGACTTGTGAGACTTGTCGGGGTTGATCAAGCATGTCCTCTTGTGGCTGCTAAAGAAACAACATGTGTTTTACTGTCTGGCTAGAAATAAAGCTGTTGTCTCATCCGTGTGTAACTCCTGATGAGACAGACATGAGTCTGAGTAAGTGGGTCAGCAGTCTTTGAACACATCTGGCGGTTTTCCACACACCGTCTAGACACAATATGGCGTTGAGGAGATCAAAGAATAACAATTCATTTTTCCCGCAATCTATTTTAGAAATGCACAAATATTTCCCTCTGCATGCGTCATGTCTCATTTATTTTTTGCTTGAAGCTTCAGTTTAATACAAGCAGCACTGGAGACTGCAATGAGAACATGAATGCAAAGCAAAGCATTACTGTGCTTCTATTATTGCCCACTTTAGTAATACATCCACTCGCTTGGTCAAAGTAACCTTTATTGGATGACCACAGCCTTTTTTTCTCTCAAACACTCTCACACACATACACACACAAACATTAAACAGGTGTTTCTATCAACTGTTTTCAGGGTTAATTTTGAAATGTTGTTTTTCCACACATGCGTGTATAAACTGTACAGCGTGCTGTTCTGCATTCACTCTTCCTCTCCTCCATCATAGTTTCAAGCTGAAATGTCTCTACTGCTTCCAAAAGAAATATTAAAACGAAAAAGAAATGTTATCACTGTGGAAAATATGGATATTTGCTTTTTTGAAATTAAATGAAAATGTTAATATTCAAATCATTGAAAAAAATGTAAACAATTCAAGAGCCAACATTTGTTTCCAGAACCAATGTCTTATATTTTCGGGATAACCCTCACTATTGTGACTGAAAGTAACAATCTTGGTCTTCTGCAGGATGACTTTCCCTCTTTCATCCCTGTCTTCTATTTTAGACGTCATGCTCCACGTGAGCAGCCTGCAGGGCGACTTCAGCGTTGTTCTCGTTGTCATCGACATCAGAGGGAAGTTTGTCATACGTTCGACGGTATAAAGATTGATTAATCAGAGTGATGATGAACATCTCCATGATCATCATCTGCTGACTTAGCACTGCAGCGCAGAGAGAGAGAGAGAGAGAGAGAGAGAGAGAGAGAGAGAGAGAGAGAGAGAGAGAGAGAGAGAGAGAGAGAGAGAGAGAGAGAGAGAGAGAGAGAGAGAGAGAGAGAGAGAGAGAGAGAGAGAGAGAGAGAGAGAGAAATCAAATTGAGGTTTCAGATGGATTTTTTCACACTGGGGCTGCTGACATTTCGGAAATGTTTTCTTACTGGAGCCACGAGCCTGAGAAGAGAAGGGGGGGGCGCAGGCGATGGTCCCATCCAGGGCCAGGATGTTAATGATCGATGTCTGCAGCTGACTCAGGACAAGTATTAGCTGAGGAGAAAACCAATGCTTGATCAATTATATTCTCTACATACGGCGTGCACACAGTTAACCTGCACAAAACAAATGCATCTACAGCCAACGGGACGGTGTCAGACAGGATGAACCCACCAGAGGGCATGTTTCCACCAGGCTCTCACTCGCTCATTTATCTGCCATTGCACTTTGTACATTGTACTAGTGAAAGTTTACAAAGGAAGACAAGCCGTATTGTCACTTGAGGTTGCAACATAAGATTTTGGTTGCATTGACTCACCTGGTAGAGGGCGTACTTGGGTACAATTTTAATGTCACGCAGGAAGCTGTTGGTGTTCATGAAGATAATGGCGACAGGCCAAAGGGAGATGATGGTGAGAACGCCAATGAATGGGTTAATCCAAATGGCTGTACCAGTGATCTCTAGCTAAAAAGAAAAAAGATATTTAAATTGTCCGTCATGTTGGTTGAACTTTGGGTGCGTCAGTGAAGCGCTTCAAAGATTTACATCTGAGAGGTCAAAGTTGCCGTTTGTCCACAGCACTATGCAGAGGATGGAGAGCACCGTCTTCAGGATTGCATACTGGAGAACCCCCAACTTCAGGAAGAAAAACCATCGCCTGAACGATTAGAAACGTACACCAGGATTAGACTCATTCAACACAGAAAGAATATAAATGTATGTACAGTAAATACTAGTGGGATTAGAAAACTATAAAAGTGTGCAGTGAATAACAGGCTTCAGCCGCTAGAACCCGAGGAGGCATACAGAGGCCGTGCGTGAACAAACAGGTATGGGTACCGTGACATGGGCACGCGGGGTAAACAGAGGCAGCAGCAGCAGCACGGCCCGGTGGAAACTTTGAAGGGTTTACCGGAGAACCGCTTCAGGAAAGCACCGGTGCCCCCAAACTCCTGGACAATCAGAACCACGACCTTGTACACCACCACTGCAAAATAACTGCACAGAGAAGGAGAAGAGATTCAAGCCACGTTATTGAGAGCGGGTAGTAAATCTGAACGTGCTCCCATTAAGTAATGAGCTCCGCTGTCGCAGTGCGTGTTGTTCTTGCACAGCAAGGGAGCCAAATAACAAAAGATTGCAATCATAAAAAGTCGATGGCAGAGAAGATAACAGGTCACTGCTAAGTGAGAGCTACCGGGCACAGATACAAGATGAAAGACTGGAAAAAGACATTCATAGTTAGAAAAGGAAGATTCAGATAGGAGTCAACGTCAACAACTACATCTCCATATAATCAGATTCAGATTTTTGGGAACATCGTTGAAAGGAACATGTGAACATCTACTGGAGTTGAGAGACAGCGTACCAGTTAGACGTCATGTCAGTGAACATGACGGCCCTCGGGATCCACATCCCAAAACAAGCCATGGTGGAGATAACCTGAAACAGAGACGCGCGTGAATTTATATCTGGTCTTTTCTTCTCGTCTGTGAGGCCTTTTTTCACAGACAAAAGCTTAAAAACAATTAACGTGGTGGATATTGGATTGATTTATCATCACGTCAACACATGCCGGAATGCTTACTGGTGCTGCACCACTTATCCACATGAGGGTCGTCTTCTTGGGGTTGGGCAGGTTCCTATATAAATAGGCGCACTGCTCGAGGTACAGCAGCAGGGAGATGCAGGACATGAGCGTGAGCATGGAGTACAGGCACAATCCTAACACGTCCAGCTCTGATATGGAACAGAGAGCGTTATTTCACAGATATATATGTGACACTGTATATGGAATAAATACAAGCGGCAGATAACGGATTTTATTTGGTTGAACATGATATTGTTACATTTCATAAAGTGGGCAATGAGAACTCTGTATCATGTGGTTGATCCAAGAAACACAGATGCACGTGTGATGCTGCTGAGTAAGCGGTTAAATGTTATTAGCTTGATAACACAACATTATCGGGTCACTTACGCTTTATCACGTCCATGGCCAGCGGGGGCTCCTGTAAACATGCCGGATCAATGGTGCTGTTCAGGGTTTCCTCCATGGCAGGCAGAGTTCACTGGAGTTGAAACAGAAAGAAGTCTTTGACGCCTCGTTGAAATCACCCTCGGCGGAACCGGACCAGTTGAAGAATGACACGATGAACGGTCCGCGTTTGCTTCGCTGCGTCTGACGGGAGGATTGAAGGAGCAGATTCAGCAGCAGGTGTACTTTACCCCAGAGGTGACTTTGAAGGAGGGAAGGTAAGATGACATCTCACAAGTTTACGAGAACACCTCCGTAAGTTACAGTCACTCATTCATTCACAGGCTCAAGTCCCAGTAATTAAAATAAACACAAAGGTCAATGTTAACGTTAAAAGGGTGAGACCCATTTAATGTGGCGGGAGACATGAACTTTGACAGGGAGTGTTGTTTCCTTCCCATGAAATAAATGTTACAATAAGGTCAAAGGATTTCCTTTAGTTCAAGCGGTGTTAAATGTATGGGTTTTATATTTTATTAATATATTATTAGATTTCAGTGCAACATACATTACATGACATTCTTTACATTTGTTATTATTGTGTCTGTTTTCTCCCCAAATCTACCCGTTGCAACTACTGAGCTATGTTGAATTATTACTATGAATAATGGATTGCGAGCATCACTCAAATGTAGGCAGCACATGTTTTTGTGGACATGGGGGTTAATTATTCAGGTTGGACCTCAAAGAAACCTTGTTTTTGAAATATTTTTGAAAATATAATTATAATTATTAAATTTCAGTTGGAGAGGCAAAATAAATTGCATGATTACTGTTGCAGACAGCGTCCCCTCTCACCTCTAAATTAAAGTAAAACATGTATGTCTTCAATCTCATAGGGATGTTTGTAAGAGTGGGACACTAAACATAAATGGAAAACCAATTAAAATTTTGCAAATGAGAAACAATATGTTATCAGGAAGCCATTAATCTTTCAGATGGTTTACTTTCTAGAGCAGAAGATATGAGCAGGAGTGAGAGGTGAGCGGCACGGAGTTCATTCACCTCCCTTCTGGCTCGATGCCCAATGGTGTGTTGCTCGCTCATTGTGTTGCTGTGGCACAAAAGGTCAAGAAGCAAGAAGTGCTTGTGCTGAACAGGTCAGGAATGTACTTTTACTCCACAAGGCCAGAGAGACTGCACCAGGTCAGCGGCACAGCAGTGCTTTGCGCTAAATGCTAATATCACTGTGTTTGGTATAAGCATAATGTTTAGCATTATTAATGTTAGCATGCTAACCATTGAATATTAAAGACAAAGTTCAGCTGAGATAATAATGTCATAAAAGTATTTATTTATTCTCATTCATTTAGTCATAACCAGCCATATTGGAATTATTTTAATATTTACTTGATGATGGAGAAGGACGCAAATATGAGGATTTACCAAAATGGCCGTTCATCCCGAGGGGGAAGATTTGTTCATACAATTAAGAGTTATCCTTTAAAATACGCATTTTACCAGTGTGTAAAACAAAGAATGACATATTTGTTTCTTAAACATTTATTGTTATAGAACAATGAAGGACGCCTTGTGGGAACAGTTTTGTCTCAATGAAAAATAGTTCTTTACGGGCCAAACTTCATCGCCAGCTCCAGCTGCTCAGGACACATTAAGCCAAGTTCAGTAAGTGAAGTTATTCATTAAACTGCTGTGAGAATTTGTAACCATCTACATCATTATTGTCTACTGCCAGGAGCACAGGGATGAGCTTGTGTGATGACAGCAACGTACTTCATTACTGCTCTATAAAGTCCTTCTTATCTTCACTCATTCAGGCACAAGGACACATGATCAAATGTCCTTGGGTTTCATTTTGTAATCTTACTTTCCAACCTCTAACTTGACTTTATTTAAAAAAATAAATAAAGATATTTAAATTACCGGCATTAAAAAAGATTAAGTGAAAACAAAACAAAAAAACACTGGTGCAAAGAGCTGCGTGAAAGCGAAAATATTCTGTTGAGCAGCAAAATATGCAACAAAATAATAAATAATTTAAATAAATTCCTCAAAATGAAAGACTACTAACTTATAAAAGCATAAAACATAAATAAATATATTGCAATAGAAACGGCCATCTCATTGACAAATATACATTCCTAAGTATTGGATAGGTCTTTCAAATAGTTTGAAATGTGTAACCAGATTTGTTTCCACAGTATAAAATTGGAAAAGTAAAACAATGAATCGCTCAAAAGTGTAAACAGAAAACCCTTTAAAAATGTTCTAACATGTAAACAAAATCATAACTGACTGCTGCTCAAAATAACGACACTGTGCTTGGAGTTTAAAACAGATCAGACATGGTTCACTTTGTCGGAGTTAAACACATCTCGCTTAGTGGCTCCCATTGCTCTCGTTTAAATATTAAAGCTGGAATAATACTGACAACGGCTGTTAATCTAGTAGGAATGTATGATGTAATTAAAAATAAAAACAGCTAATGCAGACATGATTCGACATGATGAAGAATAGAAAGTCCGATCTCTTCAGATGTAATAACAATAAAAACATTTTTACTGTCCAAGACTCAAAACCAAACATGTGAATCACCTCACACAGGTGCGATCTACGAGGCCGCTGCACAGTCCCTGTTGACATGACGACAGCACGGTCGCGGCACCGTTTTAAAGCACAATGGATGAAGGACGGTCCATCTAAAGTACGTAGAAAACAAGCTTCTTGAGGCTCTCCTCTCAAACTCAAAATGAGGGTGGAGGACGGCTCCTGTAGGTGCTGGTGCTCCCGGTTTAAGGCATCGTAGTCCACCGGTGGGCCTGCAGCAACAGACAAAGTCACAATAAACACAGGAGGGCAAACCAGCAGAACTCAGACAGCATTCCCGACCCGTTCTCACGTGTACCTGCTACGGCCCACTCTCCATCGTCACCGAGACCGTCTGGCCTGCGTCTAAAAGACACAAGGGCGCTTTTAGGAACTGTTGAACGATTGGTTGACAATATTCCTGCTGATTTGTATGTTAATTTATATTGGTCACATAGAGGCGTCAGTATTAAATAGGGACTTGTTTCATATCCAGATAAAAAGTTCTGCGTAGTTACGCGAACATAATTTAACAAACAAAAGAAATGTCAAAAAAGTATTCTACCGTTTTTCTCTTTGCTGTCGTCCGGTGTGTGTTGAATATTGTTACCAAGCACACAAGGGTCAGCCTTTCCATCAGCAGGGCTGCAATTGAAGTTACATCACAGTTTAAAACCCAGGAAAGCGATTGAATATTTGAAAGGAAAACATAAACTATCACTGGCCTTTTGCCATTGTGCTGGAGGACACTGTTTGCTTGTTCAGGATCTATGTGGACCAATCTAGTAACAAAGGAAAGTCCATCTCCTAGACTAAGAAAAAAAAAAAGGAGAAAGAGAAAAAACAGAATAAGTAAACATTTCAGCATTGGATGGATTCGGGGTGAATTTAACGTTTAGATTTGTACGGCATTTTTTCATTTAAACACTAATTATATTAATTATGTTTATACAATTTAAGCAGAGGGTAGACATAGAGTGGTACTGCCTATTCACATGCATCATTGCTGCAGCAGGTTTATGTTGAAAATAAAAACTGACCTTGAGAAAACAGGAAATATCCAGTACTTTGCTTCGTCTCCAAACACCTCAGCCACATTTCGCTTGAAGCCCAGAGAAAACCCGCTTTTGTCTTGACCGTTTATGAAGACAGGAGCCCGAAAAGCTTCTGAAATGGATGGAAAATTACATTCAGTCAGTGGTGACCCTAAAAATGATTAAAGGAAAAAGCATTAAATTAAGTATTAATTTACCTATAGTGGTTCTGTTCTTTCCCACAAGCCACAGATGGTAGCTGAGAAGTGACAGGATGCTGACAAAGAACAAGGCAGCCACGAAAAACAAAAACAAGATGTGGAATTTGGCGTGCGTGTCAGGAAGCTGTTTCTTCAGAGGAGAAAAAAAGGGAACAAAAGCTTGAGGGTTTTTTTTTTCTTATAGAATATTTCCTGCCCCCATGTCAAGTATCAAACTCTCCTGTGAAACAAGCGGATAGTGTGTCTGTGTGCCTGGACTAAAACTATCTATCTGAAGAGTTTTCCCTTTAAAAACACTTAGTTAGGGCTGGCTCGGGTCAGCCTGGACCAGCCCCTAGATATCCTGCTACAAGCCTAGACGGACTTCCTAGGAAACAGCGAGCTCCTGTCCCCTCCAAAGTCTTTTAAAAAAAAATTCTGCAGTGAAAAATAAAACATTTTATTATTACTGTAGTTAGTTATTTTGTGGCCTTGTGTTAGTACCAGTTAGTATCTTCGTAAAAGTATTAGCTATAACACAATACACGCCTTCACTGTTGGACTACATGAGAAGTGCCATTGTCTCTCGCCGAGCAGCATGCTAAAGAGAATCTCCTGATAAGTGATCACATGACACACTTGCGCAACACAATGACAAACAGTAAACAGGTCAATATCTTACAATGCAGTAGTCACATGCCTCGCCACGGCCTGACAGCACTAGGTCTTTTCCTTTAATTAAATGTTTCACAATGTTGTCATTGGGGAAATGTAACTTATCTAAATAAATAGTTTTTAAATGGTTACATTATAAAGTTTTAAAAGAAAAAGTTCATGTTTTTTTAAAGCCGCAGCCGCTGAATGCTAACCTGGCAGCAAGATAACACGGGAATTACAGGGTGACATATCACACAAAAATCCATCTTATCAGGCAGTAAGTAATGGGTTTGTCTCCGCTAAGCTACTTGCAGCTACGGGCGTGACTGTGAATGAGTAAGTGATGACAATCCCAGTTCTGAACAACAATGGCAGCTCCTGGAGAGGTTAATGTAGATGCTACAATAGCATCAGCTATATCAGCACTAGAGTGCGTTTCTTCAATAAAAGCAGCACAGAAAACAACACTAAAAAGGGTTTTTTGAGAGCTTTTTTAAGCTTCCCCCTTTAACAGTTCCCAACGATGTCTTCTCAAATGGCCTCTGAGAAACAAACCTTCCAGGAGGTAAAAAGGCCTTCAAAAGATGCTAAAACCACACTTAATGAACAGCAGGAAATAAATAAAGGAGCTTTCTGTACTCACCGTCCAAAATTTGATGAAATACTTGATGACTGTAGCACAAATGACTACACAGTACAGCGAGGCATACGCCAAGAACAGCACAAAGTACTTGTAGTTTGAGAATCCAACACAGTTGTTCACCCTGAATGGAAACACGAAACATAAAAGCTCTACATTTTCTATCAAAGAAAACTGACCATTTGTTGACGGACCAAAGCATCATGATGGAGCAACAGAAAAGAAATGTTGAATGACAAAAGCCTACCAGGGACAGTGATGGTCCATTTTCAGCACACACCTTGAAGAATGAAAACATAGATCCATTAGTACCAACTATAAGATATTAGACCTTTTGATGACAAGTGACAAAGGAGAATGTCAGAAAATACATAGCGCCTAATATTCTAAAAAGAAATCATACGTTCCCTTTTAACATTTTATTTACTTATGTCTCAACGGCATTGGAGGCGTAAATGTTAGCAGCAGACAAAAATCTATTTGAAATGATTGTGAAAATAAAGTTTGAGTCAGTTTAAGTACATTTCCTAATTCAGTGTGAATATTTGAACTGTAGAGTGTCTGCACTTTGATAAACACTCACATCTCGCAGGTAGAGCAGTGATGGCAGCGGTCAGGCTTGATAATCTGGCAGTGGTCGCAGTACCGGATAGCTGTTTAGAGAAAATGAAAATCAGAATTAAGTTACAGTTGTAACACTATTACCGCCCTATGAAAGGCAGCAACATCACGTTATCGGAGTTTGCAATATTCAAACTAAATATTAGGTTTGTTTTTATGCATTAAAGTTTACTATAATCCATCCTTATAAATATGGTTCACCTTCATCATCTATATATGAAGAATTCTATAAGGCGACTAAATGTTGTTAGTGCTATATAGTTGGCAGTAGGCAATGGCATGTGTCGCTGGTGGAGATGAGTTAAATGAAGCCTCCTGATACATGCAACTCCGGAAGCACAAGACTGACAAACTTCATCTGCATTGTCAGGCAAACATCGTAATGTACTTTCTGGTAAAAAAAAAATATATATATATATATAGTGATTGTTGGACTGATACCCTTAAAAGGAGAAGACACAGTGTGGCAACCTATTACTGCAAATTCATTTGAGGCAATCGTGACAGCAGTACAACTGTTACATAACCCGTTTTCCCCGGTGGTCTGCGTCAAAGCTGCTGAGGGGAATTAAAATAGGAAGCAAACAACAGTCCGTTTAGCAGCGGAAGAGAAAGCCTCACCTCCTCCTGCCGTGCGCGTAAACACGGGTAAATCCCTCGCTACTTTCTTAAGAATCTCTTGCTGCGTCTCGGCTCGCTCCTCTCTCTCGTACAGTTCCTTCTCCGCTCTGGGCAGACCGAACTATCGGGGGAAGAGAAAGGACCGGAGTAACACACAACAATTAACATGCTGTAATGGACCATTTGTATATCTACCACGTCCTAAGCATGACAACAGGTTGTGTTCATAGTGTTTGTTTGTTTTCTTGGCTTACTGCTTTTGAGGCTGCGGCTGGTCTGGAGCAAATAGTTTTCCAGTAGGACCATACAAACATGGTGAGGAAAATGTGAAAGATGACCAAATAGCTGACTGTTGATAGAAGGACAAGAGTTAGAATCCCATTGACCGAGGCCTCCCCGACTTTATCTCTGCTATGAATTATTTGCGTGATGATCACCTACTTCGTTCTGCATTATTCGGGATTGTATCTACAGCAAAACACAGAAATATCTATTAAAAAGGAGCAGTAAGGGAGGAACTAAGAGTGCACGGCTACACACCACCTACCCTCCAACACACACACACACACACACACACACACGGCCCCTTTCTCACGCCATGAGGCAGCAGCCTGGCACTGCCAGCTGTGATAACAGAGAGCTTTGTCTAACCAGCAGGGACGTCCCTGTCCTGTGCACAGCCACCGAGTTACAGACATAACTACAGTACGGCCGATGACATCATCATCATCATCAGCCCCAGGATGAAATGGAACCACTGTGAGGGCGCTTGGCACCGCGGCATCACGTGTTGGAAATGCATGTCAACATTCACACAGGCTGCTATCATACCTTCTTGTTAAAGCTTGAATGGTCACATTTGTTCAGGAGGTAAAAAGGTATACGGAATATAGCTTCGCTGAACAAGGAGTGTTTTTACAGATGTATGGATTTCCTATTTCCAGTGTTTTTTAGATCTGCGACCATTTGAAATAATAAATGTACCGTCAATGCAATTGGTAAAATCTCCATTTGTAGTCATTTGAATGAATACAAGAAACATAAGAAAGCATAAGAATCTGGAAATTGTCATTTGAATACAAGTGTGAACCCGTGAAAACGAGCTGGCCTTCCCCATTCATTTACAACACAGTGTAAATGTACTTTAAAAGAGGGGGGGAAAAAGAGCACGTTTTCGTTATGTCTTTCATTCCATATAACGGACTTTACCGAACATTAACCGGTGCATTAATCACCAGTTATTCATCGATGATGAACGTTCTTTCTGATCTAACGCAAAAAGTTCACCCGTCACAATACCGGTCAGAGGACAGCTTCCGTGTGAATAGTTACATCTGAAACAAACAGTTAAACGTACTCTTGCACGGAGGTTGAAACGCATGTAAACAGCATGCCGCCGGAGGGGGGGACTTTAAATCTCACTTCTACGTTAACGCAGCTCATCAAAGTTGGCGACCGTAAAACTGACCAAAACAGGGAGATATCCGCCAGGTGAACGCTGAATACTTATTTTGAGAAAGGTATCGTACTCACAGACACAGAGCTCCACAACATAAGCGTAATAAGACCAACCGACAACGAGGTTTATAAACAGTACAGGTATCCAGTTAAGCGCCCGTTGACAGCACCTCAGTACATGAGAGGGCGCCATCTTTAATCCGTGCAGGACTCCAGCTGGCGGTGACGTCACGGCCATGGGCTTTATACACCGCGGCGCATGCGCAGACGTGTTTGCGCGTGAAACGTTATGTGATTGTAAAAACTGGGCTGATCAGTTGTGCTCCAGTCTTCACAGACGTCAGAGGGAAGTGTTGTGTGGCAACATAATCGACCACGATTATGAACAGAACTTTGCCACATTGTTCCCTCTTATGCTGATGCTGCAATCTTTAACAAACAGTTTCTTACACACCCAGCAGTTTTATTTTTCCCTTTCAGTAGCCGAAATCGGCGGATCAGACAGCTAAATAATGAGCTTTAGAATGTTGTAAAGCCAATAAACCAGTTGAAAGCATTTCCCTTTCATTGGTCGGTTTCAACGAACAGCCTCCACAGACACAATATCCACCAGATTAATGACCAAAACAGATTCATGACAGGTTTTATTGCACATTGCTCGTGGAGGCAGCTTTGCGAGAGGAGCGTGTGGCCCTTTTCCTCGAGGAGGGGGAGGAAGGAGGGGAGAGAGAGGAGGGGGATGCAGAGGCGGGTGAGGAGTCAGGAGAAACAGAGCGTATTCGGGTGGGACTGCTGCCCGGGGAGCCTCGGGGTGATGAGTAAGGTGACAGGGCCTGGATCATGCGGCCACTGCGCTCCTGGATCGCATGCTGAAGAAAGACAGGGACAGAAGAACCGTTTGATGTCATGTAATGTCGTGTTTTGTGGTCTTTTAGAACGGTTATTCCCAACATCACCCAGAGCGCCTTTTATCACTGCCATGTTTTTACATTTCGTTATGCCCAGGTCAATTTGTTTTTTGTGTAAGCAGCGTTGGGTACCAATGCCTTTATTAGTTGCATTGCACAAAGGCCATAAGTGAAGTGACCAGATGTTTGTGTTGAAGAAAACATCTCAATATGATGATTATAAAGAATCTGAAATTACTTTCATTTTTTTGTTTTTTAGGTTAATTTATGAATTTGCAATGGAGATAGAGACACCATCAAAAAAATGTGAAAGAATGTAAAAGTGCACTTGCCCAGGTCCCATCAGGTCCAAAAAGCTTCAGGAAGTTGCAAATGAATTCTCGCGACTTTTCTTCCCACTTGTGGATGAGGTCTTGGCTCTTCTCTTCCACTTTGTAGACAAAGTGTTTGGACTTTTCCTCCACTGTACGGACCGTCTCTTTCATCTTGTCCACCTGTTCCTGGAGCAGGTATTTCTTCTCCTGTCAGTAAAAGATAAGGCATGTGTCCATCAGTACATTTGTGAGTTTGCTCTGTATTGTTTCGGGGGTTTTTTAAACGTTAATGTCAGCTTTTTTAATTCAGTTACAGTTTCACTAACATTAATGAACCCAACATTCAGCTCTCGTGCCGTGTAGCCTCTTTGCAGGTTGCGCCGCACATAGATGTCATAATCTCGGACGATACGAGTGATCAGATCAGACGTGGAGATGCCTTCTGTCCTCTGGGTGGCCACGAACATCCCTGTCGTTAAAATATAAATTACTATCATCAATTCCAGTGTTATGAGAAATAACAAGCAGTAATAATTCATTTTTTGTTTCCCCTATCGTTGTATTTATTTGCACAATTTAATAACACAAACATAGCAAAGACAAAACAAATCCACGGTGCAGGAATTTATCCTTGTGTTACTCCCATAATTTAGGCTGACTTTTTCAAGCTTCCACCCAAAATTTTTTAAATTTTAAAATATTATAGGGAACGTGAAATTAGATATGATTACCAAAAATACCCCAAAAATGTCTTCACCTGCTTCCTTGATGTGTTTGTACACGTCGTCTGATCCAGCAGAGGTGTACGGGATGTCGTCATGGGCCACAAAGTCAATCTGTGTGTGTAACATGCGTTGGGATCAACCCGCATACCTCTTTGCGGTCGCTGTGTGACATTGTGAGAGGCTGAGTGGCCTGTGACTGCGTGCCCTTTGACCTTATGTTTCTTGAGGAACTCTGTGGAAAGGGACCAGGGAGCGTCCCGCACCACCTCGTCCACGTAGCGACAGTGCGTCAGGGCGTCGTAGCGCTCATCCTCGGTCATCACCGTGTAGCCCTTAAACTTGAGGGTGAGTTCGTCGCTGCAGACTAAAAGACACACAGTTACAGTTGGTGTAAGAGTTAAGGATACATCTTTAATCACTCAACTGGATAGATTTAGATCCTTTACCTCCTACTATCAGGAAGGTGTTTGGGAAGACAGTTTTGGCCTGCATCAGGGCGCGAGCATGTCCCGAATGGAAAAGGTCAAAGATACCATCGGCATAGACTCTCACCGGACGATGAGCTACAAGACAAGACACATAAAAACATATAAAAACGCAACCTCGCTTTTGTAACACCGTTTTGAGCAATTTACTGATGTAGCAATCGTGAACCTGACGCCAGGAAACGATGAGCAATAAAATACCTTCATCCTTTTAATATGTTGCTGTCTCTGACACATTCCAGATAAAGGTCATAATAAAACCAAACCCTAATGAGCAGAATGACTGGCAGCAAAACCATATTGAACTGAGGCTTTAATCCCCTTTTGCAGCTAATATCAGCTGATTCCGATATGCAGCCACTCATTTCCCAACTAGTCTTCCCTTATTCATTGCTGCCGGTAGCTCGGGACAACAGGAGGATCGACTCATTGTTGCATGACAATAATTAGCAATGGGTTAGTCGAGCGTGACCTGGTGTGCCTCTTCGCGCCTGGGCGATGGTTAACTTTTCATGTGGGATCTCTGATTCATAACCTGTAGACTTGGCAAAAGCAGCTGGCTCCCTCAGAGCCTGAATACAGAGAGAGAGAGAGAGAGAGAGAGAGAGAGAGAGAGAGAGAGAGAGAGAGAGAGAGAGAGAGAGAGAGAGGGAGAGAAAAACATATGTTTTAACAAATGCTGTATTTTTTTATTTGCAGTTTGCCGTTTGCCAAGGTTCCTCCAGGGGGGGGGAAACGTGCAAGAAAACAATTTGAAACAAGCCCTTTGATTTTGACACTGCTGGTTAGATGTATTTAAATAAAACAATTTAATTTAATTTAATCTGATTTGACAAAGACATTGATCACTGGCAGATAAGCTTTGATGATATCTTCCAGACGTATGCTAATAATCACTTTTAAGTGTCTCCATATGCCATGGACTTTGATGTGTTTACATTCAGTATACTCAGCTACCTTTATCTGCTGTGTTGTAAGGCACTTTGAACTGCAAATGCTGGCGAGTTTAAATTTAGTCATCACCCTACGGAATAATCATTTTTACCTTCCATGCTTTGTAAATATTTGCCTCTTATAGTCACTATATTTAGCCCTTGTTGTCTATTTTACACCTTTAAATACAAAGCACACATACATGCAGGTTTTCACAAACACACATTTTCTATATCAATGTGCATCATATGCAATCTACGAATTGCATTTACATTAACAGCGATGAAAACTGATCATATGAAATCATAATATAATACTTTAAGTTTAAAGAATGACTTTACCTTCAAAGAAAATCATACTAAACAAGTGCTAACCTGATACAATTTGAAAATAATCATCTACTATATTGAAGGAATAAACACGAGTCAACGTGTCCAAACATTGAACACATCCAGAATATTTTTAAGTTCTCATTTGATTATAATTTCAAGTGTGTAAATAGGCCACATTTGCTATCGAGGGAACAGGACCTACCCTGTGTGGGCCTCGGCTTTGCCTCTGTGGGCCGTTCTGCTGCTGGACGTTGCTCCCCCGGCCTCGTCTCTTCCCAGCCATCCCGGATGTTCTGCTTCCTTGACTTTGTGCAATGTCACCAATGCAAACACCTGCCGCTCCTCCCTGCTGGCCTCAAGTACAGCGCACGCGAGGCGACTTCTCAGCGTGTGTGTGTGTTTGCGTGTGCTTCAAGTATATGCTCCACATCGGCCTGCTGGACCCTGATGACGGGAGAACGTGGAGAGCAAAGTTCAGGCCACTCTGGAGAAGGTATTCCGAAAGACAGATTGCACCTGACATCAGTACTGAGCTTCTAAGGGCCCCGCATGCACCGGGACAGTGTGTGCAAGGGGACACTGTGAGTACACTGTATAAACAGCCCAGAGGGAGGTGAACGTGAAGAGTGTTTAAGTTGTGAAACGTTTCTCACATTTCCTTCCTCCGTACAGAATCAGGATTCCCGATTCCTGTAAAGAGGTGGTGTTGAAGGGGTGTTCGAAAAACTGGCCTCCCTTTAGACATATTCCTTTCCACAAGATCTCAAACCAATATATTAATTGTTATATTAAATATGATCCCTGATTTGGAAATGAGTACCAAATGAGTGAACTCTGACCTATGATGATTTTGATGAAGACCGTTGTCCTCAATGTACGACCAAAGACCAATTTAACTATTGAAATTAGGAACGACGAAATAAATATTTCAATCAACTGACACCCCAAAAAACACAAAACCATCCAACATATGATACACACTCATATACTTCACATATATGCACTTGTACATTGTTTCAATATCCATTTAAACGTATGCAACCAGGAAACAAACGATTTAGCAGGAGAGGTGGGAAGCTAAAAGAAGCTTAATGAATTATTAAGCAGAGGAATGTGGTAAACTCCCATCAATTGTTGCGCAACTTCTTGTTACAGTCAGTTGGGTTTCTCCTGTCTGCAAAGTAAAGCCTGTGTCTGACATGTAGCCTACTTTTAAAACATGTTCTCCTTCCGGTGAAACATTCTTGGACATGCCCAAAATGTCTCTTACTTGATTCACTTGGATTTCTTGCTCAGAGAACCGGATACTTGTTTTTTTTACGCATATGGATGATCAAGAGAAACAGTCTCAGAACCGGTTTCGTTTCAGTGCAGTGAGTTCCCAGGAATGCTGCCACCTGTGAACACAATGACCCGGGCGCAGGGGTGCGGCTATATGCTGGTGAGCCTCCTCTCGCTTATATGCGGATGGGAAATAACAAATGAGTCGAAATGTTCAGGACCTCCAACCACAATAGGGAATATTATCCCGCGGCAAAGGTGAGCCTCCGTCACGCGTCACGATGTGAACTGATCACTCAGGGAACGCGACGTTTCTGTTGAAGTCAAATAAGATTCCTGCGGAGTTTGGTTTCGCTTGCAATCATAAAATCATTGGCTGAGATAACTTGCTGTGGGTGGAGCTTAAACGTCAGATTTTGCAGTTGTTTGACTCGATCACACCACTGGACGGTAAGTAGATGATCAACTAATCTCTTACCTTTGCGTTCGTGACATTTTCTTGCCGGACCAATACAATATAAAACTAATTACAGCCTGTGGTTCCAACCCGTCCCACGTGTTCGGGCATGTATTCTACCTGTGTCGATACCTGTTGCGCATTTTCTGTTCTTATTTCTACGTGCCATGTAATGTCTGTCTGGGTTTTTTTTACGGTCTGACTGATAACTCTGCCTACAGATCATTTACAAAGTATGTTCCTGTGGCAATATCTGACTCTCCTGCTCCTGCCGATAACCGTTCAAATATGCAAAGGTAAAGACCAAAGAGGACACTTTGAAATGAAAAAGAACAGATGCACCAACGCGCGGTCGCCTCCGTCGATCCCAGCGAGTGTTTCTGTTGAGAAGATTGTTTAAATATGTCTTATTTGTAGACGTTAGAAATAACTAAATTATGTCCGAGGTTTACGATGAAAGGACGTCCAACAGTTTGATTCACTTTTGAAAAAAACAAATCCAATAGAAAAATGCTCGCTGGGACGCCTGTTTACATTCACCCGAGCGTTCCATATCAATGCGCACCCAACAGGTAGATGTTAGTTGTCACTTCAAGGTGGCAGGTGGCAAACATGCAGACAAACGAAGTGAACTGCTTCGACATCTGCTGCAAAGAGAAACCGTGGATCTGAAGACCATGAGGAGATACGAATGAAACAGTTGTAAAAACGGTTGTAAAAACCCGCAGGCGACAAAACAAAACATTATTGATCCATTATTGCAAACAGGCAAACATACGGGACTATTTACTCTAAAATAGGATACACAACGTGTACAGTTTACATTTATGTGTGTTTGTTTTGTGTTTGTAGACCATTTTTCTAAATCGTTGGAAATTTGGAACTTAATTTGTGGCTCCGAGTCACTTGAATCTGGATACTCTATATGCCCAAAATCGGCTCCATCTCCACATGGTGATCTGCACATCGCAGCATTGATTTAGGCTTTACGCTTCCTCCATTTTGAAGTCTTAAAACGTTCTGGTTCCTTTGTCTCGTGCTGCCGCCGGTCGAAGATCTGCGATGTATTTAAAAGTGATGTTTCAAACTCCCCAAACTGATTATGTCCTTAAAGCATGAAAATCTTAATGATACAATCTTCTCTCTTTCAACTTTGTTACAACCGAACACATCATCAACAAATTGGCCTTTGATGTTGATTGATGTTGGAACCACATTTCAGCCGGTTGAAAAGACGTTGAAATCAGATCGTGGACATTCAGGCCTCATTTCAACCAGATTCTAGTGCTCACTCGTATAAGTGTATTCCACTAAGAAACATTTGAGGAACTAGAATTTCCTGGGAAAACAGACACCTCTGAGTAAGTTGTGGTCATTTAAAGACACACGTCCCTCAGCTGATGTACGTGATTTGATGTGCGTGATTGAAGTACGTGGGAAGCCACATCTATTGTGCAACAGCTGATAAGAACTGCTGATGGCTATTTTTAAACATGCAGGACGTGACATACTTATTGACTAAAGTGCTCATTTTTGCTTTCGATTTTCAAATGTTCAAAAAAAATGTAAGCAAAAAAAAGAAACAGAAACAATCTTAATCGTTCACACACACACAATCCATCCATTTGATCATTTTTTTGGCTGGTTTGTTAGCGTAGCAACGTCTCAACCACTCACCACCTTCCATGTGATTGGTTGGGGATGACCTTGCGCTATTCTAAGCTCCATGACGAGATGTGTCACCAATTCTCTTGAAATGTCAGCATTTTTGTTTGTTCATTTATCCACCAACCCTAGAAAGCCACATTACAAGTGTGTCCGTTCCACTCCTAAATCTCAGTGTTGCTTCCCAGTTGAACTTGTTTATGACGAGTGTGCGTGTGTGTGTGTGTCTTGTGGGCGAGGCTGCGTTTTAACGTGTGTTAACATGCGTTTCGTTTTTAACCACCATGACGCCATGTGTCATAGATGTCACCTAATGAAGCCAGGAACTTTGGATGATAAGTCCCAAAAAACATAAAAGGCATCGGAATAAAATGACTGAATGTCTCGCGCATTCCTTTCGTCACCCCTAAACAAATGCATCTCCCTGTGCCCCCTCCGTGTTTCTCACTCTCACTTCCAGCTCAGAGATGCGAAGAATTCACAGATCTAGATCTCAGTCACGCCATCATCGGAACCAGCCTGAAGCTCCGATTGCTGCTGTACACCAGGCACAACGCCACCTGTGGCACACTGGTGTCCCACTCCGACCTGTCCAAACATCCCCAGTTTAACGTGTCCAGACCGACAACTTTTGTCATTCATGGGTTCCGGCCGACTGGATCTCCACCGGCGTGGATCCAGAATCTCACGAAGCTGCTGCTGGCCAGGGCAGACCACAACGTCATCATGGTGGACTGGAACCACGGAGCCGCCAATGTCAATTACTTCAAGGCCGTGGAGAACACGCGGAAGGCGGCCGAAAACCTCACGGCTTTTGTGGAAATGATGAAGGTATTCGAACATTCTCTGCGCCCGCCGATGTGTGTCGCGTGTCACCCGACTAATGGCCCGAACCGTCCGCAGGAACGCGGCGCCTCCCTGGGCTCCGTCCACATGATCGGAGTCAGCCTCGGGGCTCACCTGTCGGGCTTCGTGGGCGCCAACATGAACGGGTCAATTGGAAGAATTACAGGTAAGAGTGCGTGCTTTCAAACACACGGAACATTCCTCAAAGAAACCAATTAATGCTGGTCCCTTTTATCTCACTGAAATGTCTCGTCAGGTGATCACGACAGGTAGAGTAGGTACGATTTACGACGAGGGGTTTTATGTTAATCAGTCAATTCCTACAACGCTAATATGACAAGCACCTAAGAACAGTGGCAGAGTCGGAGCTGAGAAGAAGGTTTGAGTCACCATGAATAAATCCACACACTTTTAATGAATCCACCAGTCATCCCAGTGTAGAGTCGGCCGCTTTCTAGATCCCATCAGCTAATGTTGGGTTTCAGAATAAACTCGAAAGCTCTGCTGAGATCTACTGATGTTTGCAGCTCTGGATCCAGCCGGGCCTCAGTTCACTGGGTCTTCTCCAGAGAACCGCCTGGACCCCTCAGACGCACAGTTTGTAGATGTCCTGCACACAGATATGGACGGTCAGTTGAACTGGAACACTGTATCAAAATATTTTTTGAATTTGTTATGCAAGTTTCTACTGTCGTTAATGTTCTTACTTTCACAGCCCTGGGCTTCAGAGAACCTCTGGGTCACATTGATTTCTATCCTAATGGTGGGGCGGACCAACCCGGCTGTCCAAAGACCGTCTTTTCTGGTACGGTCTGTAAAATGATGGACAAGCTCAATAATAAATACACACACACACACACACAGGGATGTGTATCATAAGAAATGGAACTCTGTCTGACCCCGGTTGCAGGAGGAGCCTATTTTAAATGCGACCACCAGAGATCAGTGTGGCTCCTCCTGGACTCTTTGAATAGGACTTGTGCCAGCAGGGTCTATCCCTGCTCCTCCTACAAGGACTTTCTGAGCGGCGACTGCTTGAGCTGTGACCGCTTTGGTGCTGCCGGATGTCCCGTCTTTGGTTGGTGCTTTGAATTACCTCCCATAGTGGCGAACAACGCCCGACGAAAGATGGAACGACGCTGTTGTTTGAATAATTAAAGGGGACGTGAATGGATCTGGACCTGATTCAGCCGTTTATCTCAAATCCAGGTTACGATGTGACCGAGTGGAAAGATGTCCTGCTGAGGCTGGGCCAAACAAAAACCTTCTTCACCACAAATGCAAAATCTCCTTTCTGCAGTAAGTGCGACTTGCTTCAGTGTGTCCAGTGTAACACACACACACACACACACACACACACACTCCTATATTTACTACAACTCTTCTTAACAGTGGACATTCCAATCAGTTCAGACATAATCAAAATGAACTTGACATTTCTTTTGTATTAAAGGGATAGTGTAGGTATTTTAGGCATTGATAAGAGCCCCTCTTATCAATGCTTCCTTATTAAAAAAAGATGTTAAAAACATAATTGAGATTCATAATTTGGAATAAATATTGTTTTCTAAAGCAGCAACAGTTATGTTTAACATATTTCATCATCATTTTTGAAAGGAAGTTCATATATTTGTGTACATAAAATATAATAAAATGGTTGACATTTTGTTAAATAACGACTGTGCGTCTCTTAGTGACCGGCTACAGGGTGGAGGTGATGGTTTGGAACAAGGAATTGCGTTTTGGATACATCACAATTAAGCTTCACGGTAAAGGCGAAGAGGCGGTGGCGACCATCGACCAGTGAGTCTTGACTTTTTATTTAGCATTTATTCTGTGGAAAACTCCAGTATGACTCATCATTGCCCGCCTGTTATCAGTGTGTGTCTCTCTCTCTCTCAGCAATGTGTCTTTTTGTCCCACCAGCAAAGCAGCAGAGTTCAAGAAGTACTCAGAGACCAGGTTGTTGGCGCAGTTTGACAGAGACATTCAGTCAGTGAAAAAAGTGTCCCTGAAATTCTCCACTGGGAATCCGTTGAAGGCGAAACAAAAGCTCAGTGTTCTCCGAATCCGTCTCACGCATCTGGAACGCAAGGAGAGGTGTGCGCCCCGAGGTTTCCTCAAAATGTGTGATGTCTTTCCAAAATGTCAAGTTATATTTACGTTTGTTTGTTTTTTCACCATAGACCCCTGTGTAGATATGACGTCGTCCTGCAGCAGAACGACGAGGTCACCTTCAAGCCGATTCCCTGTGAAGACTCCAACTTCTGAGAAAAACTAATTGGACACTGTGTCAAAAAGCTTTGTTGTGAAAAGTGTCTAATTAGTGCCATAAAACAATACCGTTGATCTTGTACTATAAAAAGTACTGCACTTATGTTCAGTAGAACCCTTCACGTGTACCCTCACCAGTTACTAATATTTATTTGTGCAATTTTATACTAATAAAATGTCATGTCAATATCTGGAGACCTTTTAAATGAGTTCACCAACCAATCATGCATACAGACAACTGATGAATTCACTGTTTGGTCAAAACATTTTTTATACGATCAAAAGGCGAATTCACATTTTTAGTAAGTAAAATGCTCTTAAAATAAGAGCGGTTTTGTTACATTATCATAGACTAGCGATCGCTGATCAAATCGATATGTGCCCCTCTCTCCGTTTTCCACACAGTCGGATGACGGACAAAGGATTGAAAGCGCGTTCTGCAGTCCGATGCGTACTCGTGCCAACAGCCGTGGGAACAAAACACATTCTCCTCTTTACGAAAAACCTCAAGACGACTCAAACGGCATTTCTCCCCATTACAGGATGGGCACCCTTCAGATGCTGCAGTTATTAATTAAGAATCCACCTACAAACATTACAAAACTATTTGACATCATTGAAACGTTCAGCCCTTTAGGCCGACCCCAAAAAATGTAGCAAGGTGGATTTTTCTAAAAAAAATATAGTTCATCAGTGTGCAGCAGGACTTTCAACGTGTCGTTGATAAGGAAGAAGCTCTCCACTGCCCTCATTTAGACATGTGCTTCTTCATACGTTGAACCTCCATCTAAAACGAAACAATTATCAAACAATGAGCGTAATGCTGAAAAGTTGTCACCTTAAAGCTTGCAACAGCTACAGGGCTTTATTATATATTATTAAAAATTACAAAAGCATGGAAGAAACAAAATGATATTCTCTAGAACTCCTTTGTTTCCCCTTGCAATACCTGCAAAGTCAGGCGGATCTTTTTCTCCTCGTCGAGCTCACTCATCAGCAGTTTGATTTCCTTGCTGGAGCAAAAGAATTTATTTTCAAATTAGTGCAGTTAGGCAGAGGTGCAGTGAACACGGCGGGCAGGAAGACACAGATCACGTTCAATAAGCCGTACTTGTGCTGACTCTTCATCCGCCCAAACTGGTCCCTCAGGTCTCTCAGCTCCGTCTGCAGCTGTTCCAGGTGGGGGGGGTCCCTGCTTGGCCCGGGGCCGGAGTCGGGGCCGGAGTCCCTGCTTGGCCCGGGGCCGGGATCCCTGCTTGCCCCGGGGCCGGAGTCAGGGTCGGGGCCGGGATCCCTCCTTGCCCCGGAGTCGGGGCCGGGACGGGCCGTCTGGTGGAGCACAGCGGAGAGAGCCTTTGGTGACAGGGAGGTGAAGGCCTGCATGGACCCGGCTGCCTGCGGAGGATGAGCCAACGTTACCGGCTGACGACAGCAAAACAACAAATGTGAAAAAATGTAAAACATATGTTTTAGTAAGCGTAAAGATGTTAACTTGTTCTTTTACCCTGGCATGCCGCGCGGGCCCATTTCGGCGTGTTTCCTGAGAGTTTTCTTGAGTTGTTAAGGAATCTGGTTCCTTACTCTGGTTTTCTTTCCTTCCCTCCTCCATCGCGAGTGTTTCCTGTAAGTTAAGTCCAGTTTGAGACATCCGATGAGTAAGAGACATCTAAACGCTACTTCCCCCAATCTAAGTACATAAAAAGTCAGCAAATATGTTTGCAAAGCAAAGGACGAGAACTTTTTAACCTAATGTTGTTTTTTTAAAGTAAGAAGTCACGGCAGAAATCTTTCACCGTTGTAAGAGAAAGCTAAAAAGAAAGAAAGTTAAATTTATCCCAAGGACAAATAGGACACAAACGCACCACAGCACGCGCTTCCCTCCAGTGAGCCAAGTAAATCTTAAGAACTCTACAAGTAAAAACGCATACTTCCCAGGGCCGATTGACAACTGAATCAACCTCTTCAGTGTCTTTGAGGGAAACACAGAGCGAGTGTTAAATCACACCTTGCAGAAGCCAGAACCCGTTGGAATCCCTGTGGAGAACATTGGCCATTTCCACAGCAGCGAAACCCACATCGCCGTGGTTCCTACGGCCTGCGTCGACATGCAGCACTCAAGCATGGTAGTGGTTCAAAGTATGCTGCAACACATAGTTGTAACAATAATAGTTGCGGGGCTTACCGGGAACGAGGGCTGAGCTACAGCTGCCCATCGTGACACAGGGGAACACAAGTGTAGGGAGTGAAAGACAGAAAACCCCTGCAGTCTTTAAGTTTACATCTACGAATGAAAGTCAGAGGAGCAGAAAACAACAGACGCTCAGTCTCACGTCACGGCGAGATGAAATGAACGAGATCAACTAACTGCTGATCTTCAGTTGGTGGACCAACCTGAGATTTAGCAAAGTGTGGAGAACCGCATGTGCGGGGAACACTAGAGGCAGCGGTTTCTTCTCACGCAACAGCAGAGGGGGAAACCAATTAGCGACGCACGCCGGGGGCCGATGCAAATTAAAGAGCGCAGTCCCAGATAAAAACAACCAGGTTATTGTCGGTGATCCGGGAGAACACTCTCACCTTGTTTGGCTGGAGACACGCGGTAGCATCTGAGGGAAGGTTCCATTGTAACCCAGTGGTCTGCGTGGTATGTTGTGATGGGGACATGGGGGGGCTGAGGGGGTGGGGGGGGCTGGGGCCTGCTGTCAGCGCTAAGTTTAGCTCCTCTCTGCTCACAAATATCACTGGGGCAGAGCAGGAGGGCGTCGCAGGCTGAAGGGCGAGGGGAGGTGGCGTGTTTAAAAAGAGGGACATGCAGGAGCGCGATTATGCAAGACGTTTTTAACCGGAAACCTTTCGACACGGCTTCCCAAAGAGTGTTAAGAGGTTAACGCTTCGGTTTTTACGCAAGAAACGATTAACAGAGAACAAATATTTATTTGACTGTCAGTTAAGTGTAGTGGATTTTTATGGGGAATTTTTTTTTTTTTTTTTTTTTAACTTAAGTTGGAGAAAAACAGATTACTTCTTTTAACCATTTGATGACGTTTTAAACACCCAACAATTAATTGAAAGAATGAATGTTTCAATCCCATCGTCAGTGTGTCTGCTGGGAGTAAAACTGTCGAAGCAATTATTTAAAAAAATAATTTCACTATTAGGATCATGCTCAGAAACATGATGCTTAAAAACTGTCCATTTTCAAAATCTGAAAGCAATGAAAAACCTCAAAAAGAGCTTGTTAAATATGTTTTTATTTCAAGTTCGAACATGTGATTATACAAGTTTTACAAGCAGTCGCTAAGTGTCATTAAACAAGCGGCGTCTAATCAAGACCCCCATTACTCAAACAGGACATGTCAGGTGATTAATCTTCAGAAACAGTTCATTTTAGATTGTAAAGTAAACGTTTCCTGGATTTCACAAAACTGATTCCTGCTGGTCAACCAAAAAAAACGTATTGAAAAGAACAGTGCGAACGTAACAGGCGTGATTATACACAAGAAAAGAGATGGGACGCCATGGCATATGTTACAAAAGAAATATTGCAATACCTTAAAGATGCAAATGAAAAAAGTACCAGAAAACAAATACAAGCGACAATACTTCTACAATATACAGGCAGGTGGTGCAGTGAGACGGTCTGGTGCAGTCCACACGGCAGAGACGATGTTGATGGTGGTTAACTTTCGCCAGTATCATGTCTGCAAGCTGTGAGCGTCAACGGAGGTCGTCACCAGCGCTGCTGGTTGGGCCCTCGGTTGTACGGCACGCGCTGACGCATCACCCTCATGGTGCGGTACTTGGACATGATGCAGTGGCTCTTTCTGAACACTGGCCTCTGATTTGGGAAGGGACGCGTCACTAGGCTCTCCTTATGAAGACAAATTTGAAAAACAAGGTTAGTCATTTGGAAAGCAGAGTCGCTTCACATTCCCGAAAAGAGGCGAGTGAGCTCAGAGGAGCGCGCGCCATACCATGAGCGGCCGTCTAATATTTCCTGACATTTCGGGGCCCGTCTTCCTTGGGCCACCAGTGAACCGCGGCCTCTGTCAAACAAAATGATATAATACCTTATTACCCTCCTACATTGTACAGCTACAAAAGTTGAGTTCAACTCCGAAACAGCAATGAAACAACGCCGCTTAAAATAACGTAATGTTTGAAAACATTTCATTAACTCATATTTGCTTTTGCAAAACTGACAATGACTACACTTTTTAAATGTGCAAGTATCTCACTCAATAAAAAGATTTATCTTTGACCGGATTTAATGCCGTCGTTCTTTGTGAATTATGTTATGGGGCTCAATAAGGGCTCACCTGCATGGGTCCTTGTCCTGGTCTCCTGAAGGGCCTCCCGGGTCTGTAGCTCTCCTGCACCATATTGAAGGGCCTGCGAAGATGTAAAGGAACATCAGAAACAGGACCACTGCACTTCTTAGTGAACTATGAGCTTGTTTCCATCACTCAGGAAAAAAAACAATTGTATGCAATGTACCTGAACATCCTCTTGTCCATGTAGCCTGGTCTCCGGTCTTCAGGCGACGATCTGGAATCAGTAGTCTTCGAGAGTCGGCTGTTCGGTGTGGCATCTGGATCTGGACTGCGGTCTGGAAAAAACAACTTCAAATTAAGTTTTTGAATTGATCTATTGCAGAGGTCTTCAACGTTTTTCAAGCCAAGGTCCCCCAAACTGATGGCGAGGTGGAGCAGGGACCCCCTATTCTACGGAGATTGGTCCGCCATCTTTTATTTTTGAGCTTCACGCTCTTTAGACGCGAGCATAAACGCGATCTGATTGGCTGGTGCCTGCACTGTCGTATTCGCATGAAAGGAGCTGTGAGTGAACCGGTGCCCAGCTTGAGAGCTGCTGAGGGAAGCTGAATTTGTGTCGCGCACTGACAGATAACGTCTTCTCCATCAATTCATCCATTCGCTTCAATATGTTGGATTCATGTTAATGTGTATTTAAAGACCATAAATTGATTCAGATTCTGAATACATTTACATTTGTGGGGAAAAAATTGTTTAAAACAATTATCTTATCAACCAAAGATTTTGCGACCCCCCGCAGTACCTTTGCGGACCCCTTGGGGGTCACGGACCACCTGTTGAAGACCTCTGTTCTATTGTAAATTTCCTCCCCCCCATTATGTCCTTCTACAGTTTCTTGTTATGCACCAATTACGCAATTCCTTGCAGACAAATAGTGTACAGTGTTGATGAACGGTTTACTGGGGGAACAGAAACAACGTACCGTTCTTTGGGCTGCGCTCTTTGGCAGGCGAGCAGTCCTTGGAGGAGCTCGGCCCGGGAGGCCAGTGGGACAACACCACGAGGTCCCGCTTCTCTATTGGAGAAGACGACCTGAGGAGAGGCGGCGAAAGGACGTGTTAATGACGCCAGCATTCCCATAGCAGCAGCACGTGAGGCCCATGCCGCTGTGGCCTGAAGACATTCACATCACAACAGCAGAGCTATCAGTGGTTAAAAGATCAGCTCAATTCTTCGATGTAATGCAATTTAAACCAGTAATGAACAGCACTGTTTGGCAGGCAGATAAATAATCATAAAACCACACATCATATGGGTACTTACAAAAAAAACCATGGAATGTCCATGCTTCTTTACTCTCCTATTTTTGTACCCTGAATCAATCTGAGCCCTCATCAGTTACTCAGTGATCGTTAGAGCAGGCAAATCCTGGGCGACAACCTTTTAGATATCGGCCTAGATCACATCACCATATCTTCTATCATCCCTCTCAGAAGCACACCGCTTTGTTTTCCTCAACCTCGCCATCGGGGTCGTTCCTAGTTAGTCGCCGTCGCCCTTTGCCATCCAAACAGGTCTCGCGAGATTTGAGTCCCAAAGAGCCGGCGTCATCTGTGTGCGGGCGGGTCGGGGATCCGGTCAGCTTAGTGGCTCCTTTGTCGTGGCTGCGCGCTGGTTTTCAGAGATGATCCGGCCACGTTTATCGGCCCATGAACGAGTCCAGGCTTCGAGGTGACTGACGAGAGGCTTTGCAGAGCCCATAAGACTTTGAGTTCCTTTGCATCTCCTATTCGTCCTACGTTTGGGGGAATGCTTGAGGAAATGGCAGGGTTGTAATAAAAGGGGGTTCTGTTGGAAAAATCTTGGTGCAGCAATGTCGGGTTAGCCCCGGGGGTTAAGAGCAGAGAATTGACCAAGAACGTTGTTTGTCCCTCATCGTCGATGTCTTCACATCGTGGGGGGCGATTGGGGCGTTGTGACGGTTTGTGGGAGAGATTTTGGCCGCAGACGGAATACGATGTGATGTGCACCTCTGAATATTACATTTCAGTGTCCTCAGCACTGTTCGATTACTTTGAATCTGTTCCCTCTGGTCCGTTTTTACATTAGCGTCGCTCTTAGAAGAGCTTGATGAGTCGTGGTTCTCTTCTTCTCAGAGGCTTGATAGTATCTTTTCAGCCATTTCAAATGAGCCAATTGAGGTCTGTTCTACTGCAGCCATGCAGTCGCTGACATTACATATGTATCACTACAGGATCCAATTACCGGTGCATGTCATCAACACTTTTACGCGCTGACACGATTGCCTTGAAGTTCTCATGACTTCAGAGACAAGACATTCCAGTACTTAGGAGTGAGCGTTGCAGTGACGCTACTTTTAGTTGGACATGCCGGTTCAAACGTCAGGTGCTACGGAGCGGCGTCTTCCCCTCTTCTGTGCAACACAAAGATCTGGCCGTACTCTAGAGCGCAGATGTAGATACACATTTGATAAAAATTCCTGATTGTGTGTTCTGTATTAAGCAAAAATATTTGTCAGAAGTGGGGGGGTATTAAGTCGCTTATTAAACGCTTCATTTTCTGTAACTCGGTGATTCATTAATCAGTAAAATGAAGGCAGGTGCACCGGTGGCTAGTTTTGTCCTTCCATAGAGATCCCTCTCCATTGGTCTCTGCTTTTTGTAGTCATCGACAATCATCTCGTCTAGTCATCTTGATATTGCAATTACACTTGGTAAGTAAAACAAAGTATGAAGTGCTCGGAGCAATTACGCTTTCCACATCCCATCATCAAAATGCCATTGGACTTGGAGGGCTCATGTTTTTGTCGTTAGTGGGCTGATTGGGCACCACTTAACATTGAGCATTCGTTACAAGCGCCCCCGTTTCCACGGCCCGTGGTTGGCCGACATGTCGACAGTGTTGCCGTGGTTTGAGTGAGGAGATTCCTTTCGGTGTCCGCGTTTTCCACTTTACACTACGTGTCCTGACTTCAGCTTCAACAAACCGAGGAATCCTTCAACAGCTCAGATCGCCTATTTTTCCACACTCTTCGTCGAGGGTGTTAAACATTTTGTCTGGTTTTAAACCACGTTGGCTTTATCGGTGTGGTGCGTAACTTAGCCCCTTCTCTTCAGCCCACTTTGGAGGACACATTCAACACATTTTGAAACACGGGGCAGCACGACAGGGAGGCATCGGAAAACCTTTGCTGTTTTTTCTCATCACCCGAATCAGTGTTGCGCATACAGCTCATCCCGATATCTCCATTCTCCACAGCTGGGACCCCCTTCACATAGAGACATTCTTTCTTGACTTCCTAATCACCACCAAGCCCCTGCGAACAGTGCTAGAAGGGAAATACCGTACCTGTGTGGCTTCACGGGCCGGCGAGACTCCACCTGTTCTTTGCCTGAGTCAGAGTCCCTTGACGACTTGCTGGTATTGCTTTCATCCCCGGGGGGCGACTGTTGGGGTCTGCCTCTCCTCGGCTCCACCTTTTTCAGGGGGACCGCATTTGACTGGAAACGCTTTTTCCTGATAGCAAGGACAGAGCTGGCATTGTCCCGCGACGAGGGGTCGTCCGGGTCAGGCCCGGGTCTCACCGTCGGCGGTATTCTGAGCCGCATGAGAGACTCAGCTCGCACCTGACTGCTCTTAACCAGGTAACTTCTATCCCTAAGAGACACAGGTTTACCACCAAACGGCCGGGGCATACTGAGCAGCTGGGGCCTCTCTCTCCTCGGCTGTTTTTGAACGCCGTGCTCCGGCGCCAGGTCCGACGAGGGCGGGCTGATGTCTGATATCCTCCTCTTGCGGGGTCCCGCCACTTGCCTCTCCTGAGGGTTCCTGTGGTACGAGGACGATGGCGACGGACCCCCTTTCCATGAGGGGGATCTGAAAGGGGGTGGGTGGGGGGCATTCTGTGCCCTCTCCCTACTGTGGGATCTGCTGCCCTGCCTCTCCACCGGACCGCGCTGACGCCTGGAGTCTTGCTCGGATGACCACCTGCACATCCATCAAACAATAGAGAAATCATTACAACGATAGATCCATTGCCATGTTTAGTGGGAGGCTTTTAACCGTTATCTTAATTCAGCCCCTTCATAGTGCCATGACAGAGTGAAACAGGTAGGAGAAGTACATTTTCAAAGGGCAATTACGACGCAACACTCCTCTCAATGGCAGGTGAAACCACATTTACGTCAGACCCCCATTATTTCCCTCTAATAAGCATGAGTCGGGGGCAGAGTAGAGGTAATCATTACGACCCCAGTGACTGGGCCAGCTTCAGGCCTCCGCTTTAAGAATTTTACCCAGCTGGGGCTGTTGCTTCACTCCTGTACCTCTCTGGACATGAGCCTCTCCCATGCATCTCTCCATTGTGAGGGTGAGAGAACCCTCCGGCCTCGTTCCAGCGCTTCATGCCGTGACCCGAGTGCTCATAGGGCCTTTCTCTGGGGCTGAAATTCCCACGAGGGTCTCGATTCCGCTGCTCCTGATGTTGAAAACCTGACTGCCTTTTGTGGCCCCTGAAAGACCCCTGGTAAGCTGGTGCAGAGCCTGGCCTCCTATCAGGCGGCTGGCCGCGGAAATGTCTCGGGGAGGGTGATCTGTGACCCGAGGGGTGGCCGTGGAAAGGCGGGCCCCTTTGATTCTGGGATCCTTGTGCGGGACTGCGAGAGGATGAATGATGCTGGCTGTGAGGGGAGCGATTCTGCCTGAATGGAGACCTCCTCTGGTTGTGGTGTGGTTCCATTTTGGGAGGGTACGATTGAAAGGAATCCTGATTCTGGGCCCTCCAGTGATTGAAACGTGGCTCCCTTTGCTCCCCCATCAGGGGGACTCTTTTGACGACGGGGGGGCGTCCTCTGCCTCTGGAATCTCTCCAGTGAAAAGGGGCCTTTGCCGGGAACCCTTGGACATCTCTTCGACCTTTGGAGTGGGGGCTGTAATTCCTATCATTGGGTCCAATGCTGTGACCATCTCCATAAGGTCTAATAGGACACAAGGAAAAAAACACTTTGATTACAAAACATTACTTTAAACAAGGATTTACCAATCGTGAGCATAACAAAGTGGAGCGTCACTTGTAATAACTCAGACATTACCTGGACTTCAAACGAGGTGGTCCAAAATGTGGTCGAACCATCTTTGGATGAGGGTGATTAATCTATGAACAAAAAAAACATTGTGTCTTAACCGGTTTTAAGCAGCTATAATGTTATATTCCTATAACCCAGCTTGGTCTAGACTCCAAAGTACTTATTTTCACATTTTAAAGCTGAAATACCACATGTATATTAACTTAAATGAACAAAATTGCAACTCGAACGAGAAAATGTAAACGCAAACCGTTCAAAGTTTAAATTGCTAAAAACAACAGCTTCTCCGGGATTAATCTTATCGGAGCATCTGCAGACTTAAACAGAAACTTCTCAATTGTCATCAATTGTTTTCATGGATAATATGCATACGCGATGACGTAACTCAATTGGACGTGAAATCCACAGTAGAGACCAAAATAAAAATGCAGACTTTACATGTCATTTAGCTCAGTGGTCCCCAACCACCGGGCCGCGGACCGATACCGGTCCGTTTGGTACCGGGCCGCACCACAGAAAGCTTATATATTTTTTTCTGAAAATTGACCGGATTTTCTCCTAATTATGTGCGCTCGTCCCTCTGACATATTCCCCACGCGTCACCAGGCGTTTTTCTTCACGTTTACAATTGTCCTCTTACCGTGCACGGCAGTTTCGCCCACCAGCAAACAGAGCGCACGACTACTACACCCCCCCCTCGTCGGACCTTCTCGCCCGGTCCGCGAAATATTGTCTGACATGAAAACGGTCCGTGAGGTAAAAAAGGTTGGGGACCACTGATTTAGCTGACACGACACGTTTCTACACGCTCACATTGTGCGAGTGTCCGACACCAACGTGACCTGACGTTACAGTTTCAACCTGGACGCGTGTCCTCGTAAGAAGCGAGATACGAGCTTAGTGGAACGTTTATACTTACATTTGAATTCCAACCAATGACGATATCAAAAGTTAACAAGACGGTGACCAAAACAGAGGAGCGCGGAGCTCCGAGTTGGTTTCGCTGGACTCTGTGCGCGTGGCCACAGCTGGTTATTAACGTTCAGTCTATGAACTCGGGGACGCTGGGGCGTCTGGGAAAGGTGGCTTCCATCTTTTTTGGGAACTGGCTAACGTTAGCTAACTGGCGCACAACATAACACGAGACAGTCATTGCGTTCTTTAATTTGGTGGGGAAAAAGCAAGGCCATATTACAGTAACTTAGTTAGCATGACGTTGGTAAAGTAACATTTCGACATGTCGGTCTTGTTTAGATTTAGCAACGAAACCCAAATACGCGCAGGTCGAGCTAACGTTAGGCTGTTTGTTCGGCTCACCCAGCAGTTAGCGAGGACATCTGAACACGTCAGCGACAAATTGAACAACACTTACCCCAAAAAAACGTTACTTTCCCCGTCACCGCGTGTATCTCGTATTATTATTTTTTTTCGCTGACTACTCACCGAAGTCAAATCGTCGACTGGATGAAGGCTTCTCGTGCGACGCAGGTTCAGCTGCTCCTCATTAGAGCCGCAGCTGCCTCGGCCTTCGTGGAACAGCGTTAGTGACGCAGAGTGCAGCGACCCCCGGCGGCTCGGAGTGGCGGCGCCGCGGTGTCGCGGTGTTATCTGCTGCCTAAAGGCCTTTCTCCTGTGATGTTGTGTCCCCATTTAATATCAGGTTGGCTGAAGTACAAAGGCACGTTTTCTGATGTGATTGTACTTTGGACAAAGACTTATTGACGCTACTGCCAGCCAGTTGAGTTTGAGCAATGTGATTTATTTTCTTTGTTTTATTCTTTTGTTGCGAAGGTTTTGGGTCTCTTTCTTTATCTCACTTCACGTCTGTGCTATTTATGCCATTAATTTATCCTTGTTTTATTTGCTTAATAACGCAAACACACATTAATACACAAAGAAAAACACTGACTTTCCAATTTCACATTTTATTGTTTGGGATAACATTGTTATGACCATGCTAACCATGCACAAAGTCTACAGTAGTTACATAATTTAAAGAATTAAGCTAACTGTGAAGGTTATGAGCAAACTTAAAGTGGTTGTATATACTGTGTCATTTATTTTTACTTTATACCCCTTTTTAAAAAATGCATACGTTAGCTCAACGTTAGCCAATCCCCACTTTCATACGCTGTAGGCGACATACATAAAACGCCACTTACTTTAAAGCTTGTGTTTTTCCAGATGATGTACAGTCTGAACAACACACATTGTAATGCCATTAATAATGACATAATCATATACGCTATTGGTATAATTTCTTATGCAGCATGGAACAGGTGCAACATGTCAAACCAGGGTTCAAGTATTACAGGTCACACACAACAATCCCGTTAGCTTAAACAAAAAAGATTCAGAAGATGGTTTGAACTAAAGAAACAGTATACCTATCGGTCCCTCGTAAAGCATTTCTACTGTAATTAGACACAGAAAATAAATACTGATCAGTCACTTTATGAATCTCTCCAGTTAGAGGAGCCTGCTGGATAATTCCTACACAGGAGCACACAGATGATGGAGGGAGAACAACAAGTTGATTGTTAGGCAAACATTGCTGCCACAGTGCTCTGGAGACTCTCTACTGTATGTCTAATAGATTAATGCACCCATTTGCGCTGTACCTTGGAAAGCCTCAAAATAGCAAGGCACGCCTACAGAAAACATTTTAAATGACATGATGCTGCTCAGATGGCTCTATTTGTATGGAAGTCACTGAAGTTAAACAAGCTTTTATGAATGCAATTAAAGTACACTCACAATAGAATGTGAGTATTCACTCTGGTCTACAGCAAACGTGTGCTATATTTATGTGCCATCATTTGTGTCCATGACTAATTTTCTCAATGTTCAAACACTCAAGTCGACAGCTTTGAAACTTCTCCTCCTCCCTCATGCAGTTAGAAAAGTCCCAGTTTAAAGATTTTAAAGACGGATTAATCATCTCTTAACAATCCCTCAGTCAGACCTCGCTGGGTCAGCAAGAGAAAAGGAGTCGAGCCGAATCAATCATCGATGAACACAGACCACATAACCTCGGAGAAACACTTTTAAAGTATTCAAATTGAGGAATCAGGAGCAATCAAATAGTCATTCCTTTGCTGCCGACACTAGTGGGGCCTGTGGAAAGACAGAGATGATGACACTGCCATCAACACTCTGAGCTTTGTCCCTCCTGTCCTGAGACTGAACTGGGACCCAGGGAGGAATCTGTGCACAGGACATAAGAGTTTCGTACAATACGTTAGCAACGCTGTGTTTTCTAAATGTCTATAATATTCAAAACTCTCTTAGTCTTTTCTGGGTTATGGTTGCGCTCATCCAGCAAACGCAGTTGTTTTGATTAAACAAAATCCTTCACACGTACTTTCAAGTTGTCAGTAGTTGAGAGATTCAAATATAGAATATGTGGTTTCTTTATATTGTAAGACGTTGTTTATAGTTCATTTTAAGTTAATCTCTATGGCTCTATTCCCACTAATGCAGTGACACGCGCCCAAAGGGTGACGTCCCGTGAGTGTACTTGTGTGACAGAGAGAGAAGGAAAAAGAGGTAAAACAAGCGAGAGAGAGAGAGAGACATTATTCACGCACTACTGGATACTAAGTTTATTCGAGGACAGAGACGACCTCCCGACGAGCTTCGAGTCCGCCATGGGACTAACAACACCCTCAATGAGGTTCTTGTTGCAGTCGCCAACGTGGCCATCGGAGGACATTTTGGGGTAGGAGACGCGGCCCGTCAGGTCGATCAGGTCTTCGAGGGCCCGGGCGTTGCTCACGCTGCTGTTCTGGATTTCGTTGACGGGAGAGAACTCTTGGATTGAAACCAGCTCCTCCTTTGAAGCCGGGCTGGAGCATCACAATTAAAAAAAAAAAAAAGAGAAAAAAAAGCGATTACATGCAAAATTTTGTGTCCTCAAAGTATCACTGGTGGAATGCGGCGAGTACCTCCATAATGATGGTGATAATACTAAATCGGGGTTACCTAATGACTCACCTGACCTCCATGGACTGCACCTCATCACATGACTCCATACTCCTCACATTCAGGGGCTCCAGCTTGATGACCGGCGGTGACAGGTGTCCCAGCGGCAGCGGCCCCACGGGGGGTCTATTGACCTCCGAGTCGGACCCTCCTTTAGCAACCGTGGACACATGCAGGCTTTGCTGTTTGCTTACCTCAGCAGTCGGATGGCTTCTCTTCAAGGCACTTCCTTCACCCTCCACCGCCCCATTCATCACGCCGCCCTCCCTTTGGTGGACTTTTTCGCCCGCGGTCGGCTTTTTGTTTGTTTGGTCGGCCGCTCTATCGTGTGCTCTGTGCTGCGTGTTTACGTTCATTTCCATCGCTCTCTCCTGTTGCTGGAGGAGGCAGGCTCTGGCTTTGGCCTCCCCGTTCAGCTCCTCACCGGTTTGTCTGGAGTCCGGCCTCCTGTCGGGAGCGCTGCGCGTCGGCGTCGCCGGGCGAGTGCTGTTTTTAACTTGGAAGCTCTTGTGATTGTCCACCTGTGCCGCTGACTCGTTCTTCAGCGGGGAACTTCCTTGTTTCCTGTTCTCCTGAAACTCAACCCTTTTGATTGTTTGCTCATTCACCTGAGCATTACTTTGAACAGTCTTTACTTCACCTGCAGAGAATGAAAACATCACAGTGGGCTTCACTTTATCTGGCCTGTCCCCTTTAACGGAAACAGGATTTCATTTACTGTCAATATGCCACATATTAACAGTATTACTGGTCAAGTTCATGCTAAATATTGTCTTGAGCCTATTTTGTCACCCCAAACAAGGTGGTATTTAACTGAAGACGCTCCAAATAAAGTGTGCATCACATTTCGCAGAGCAGTCCTTGAATGAATCTTGCAAGGACATTTCAAGAGCGGCTAATTTTACAGTGAGCTCCCTGGACAATGCGCTACAGGAAAAAGGTGCACTATCAGCTCCGAGAGGAACGTCCTTGGCTGCTGCTCCATCTTACACAAAACAGTGTAGAACCCCCACTAATATTTTCCAATGAAAGGCCCAAAGAACAACTGCTGTTTGTCCCTAGAATCATTGCATCAGCAGAAAATGACAAGAAGAAAAAATTGGCGTGCGTCTACTGTTTCACACAAGCCAACTCATAAAAATGTGGATCACTGCTGTGCATGCCCTAAATACGCCAATTAATAAATCACATCACAACCTATACATGCCCTGTTTGCATTTTTACAGCTGCAAGGCACACAGGGAGGGGTAGAGAAAGCGGGGGCGGCAAGCAAACGCAAGTATTGGCAGAGCGACTGAGTAACAAACTAACCTGGTGGTGAGACAGGCTTCGTCTCCGCCTGCTCCTCCTTCTGATTCAATGCAGAACAGAGACGTTGTGTCAATGTTTGTGGTAATCAGGACACAAAACCAAAGTATCACCAGCGAAATAATTTAATAAAGATGATGACAACAGAAAGTCAGAGTCTTAATGAAAAAAAAAACACATGATCAGCAGGTGCTTAAAGGCAGCGGTGCGAGGACGGGAAGGGGGGTGGGGGGGCGTCTCTTACAGTACCTTCAAGTCAGCTTCACCCTTCCTAGTTCTCTTCATGATCTCCTCAATTCTCTGCAAAAACATGTCAACGTTAACTTAACGCGAACCTTTCGGGGGGATACAGAGATTCAAATAGTTCAAATGCGACACGCAGTCAGCATGCAAAGTGCGCTTTGACTGTCCTCAGGATGTTTCTGTTTGAAATGACCTTTTTCCTTAGCTGCCTCTCCTCCTCTTCCTGTTGCGCCTGCAGGTCTCTTCCTTGTCGCTGGCGCTCGGCGTCCCCCTGAGCTTGGACCTGGGCCGTTTCCTTCTGTTAAGCGGAGCATAATTTACGCGACAGGCCAAAGCGCGTCACCTCAGATTCATGAAGCAAATGGCAAAAAGTCCAATAAAGCAAGAGGGCAAACAAAGAAACTGCCTCAAATGCTCTCTCACCTCTTTGTCCATCTGGCTCTGGAGCTGCTTCTCCTGGTCCTCCTTCTTCCGGTTGTCCTCTTCTTGTTTCACCCTGTTGAGATCTTCCTCGCGTTTCCCCCTTTCCTTCAGTTTCAGAGCTTCGGCCTCCTGCTGTTGCCGCTCCTGTGCGAGTTTCTTCTGCCGCTGCTCTTCCCTGTGTCTGAAAAACCGTTCAGAAGATTTAAATCTTCACGGACCAATCGTTGCAGCGTCGCGACCACATCGTTCGTTCCACAAACTCACCGCTCGTCTTCCTCCAGCTCCCGCTTTCTGTCTTCCAGTTCTTTCTGAGCTCGAGCCTGACGCCTTCGCTCTGCCAGTAACTTGGTAGCCTCCTCTGCGTTGATCGTGCCGGCCGCCACTCTCCCCGCGGAGGCACACGCCGCGGATTCTGTCAAACGGAAGAGAGACTTCAAAAAAAAAGAACCTCCAACCACTATGGCACCGCAGCGGAAGGTTACAAGCGCTGCTGTCACTTGAATGAAGTGCACCTTTTTTCTTGTCTCCATCCTGAGGGCCGCTTTGCACCTTCTTCTCGCACAGATCCACGTTGGGCGACATGTGGTTCTTCCTGTCAGGTGAGTGATGTTTTTCGTGTTTGTCACTTCTGAGATGCTTCTCCCAAGGTTTCTCCTTGGGATGGTCTGGATTTGGGGATTTCTGCGCCGACCCCGTTCCTCAGGTCGTGCGAAGATGCATTCGAGCCGTTGACGTCGGTGTTCTTTCTCGCTGCTTTGGGCTGTTCGCCGTGTCGCTCCGGCGTCTTGTCTACCGGTTTCCTGTCATCGGGTGGCGGGTTTGGACGCGGCCGCGTTGGAGAGTGATGGTACCGGTTCGCATTGCTCGGAGAATTGGAACGCGTTTCAGTTGCCAGCCTGCACACAGGTAGACGCTGGGCTTAAGAATGAGGTGTTTCGTGAAAGGTGAAAGATAAAGGTAAAAATGATGCTGCGCGAACACGTGAAGTTCCCTTCCGACAGCAACCTTTGACCTGGCAAATACTCTTACTTTGAGGTCGTAGGGGAAGCCAAGTGCCTGGTGACACTAGCAGGGGATTCAGATCTCCTCAAAGGGGATCCACATCCTGGAGATGCAGTTCTCCTCTCTCTGCACAGACGCTCTTTCTGTAAGCAGTGATGAATTTATTACGTTTATTTATATGTATTTTTTTCACGCATGTATTATGTGTCAAGGTGGAGCACGGCGTGTGTGCGAGGCCGGACCTTGGGCGTGTTGGGAGTGGACTGAGAGCCTCCGTGAAGTCCGGCCCTGTTGTGATCCGCGGGGTTCAGGGAGCCGCGGAAAGGTGACCTGTGAGGGCTGCAGGGCGCTACGTGATGACAAACACCATTCTCGTCAAATCTCGAAAGTCAGACGGGTACTAACACAGCAGCCAGGGGAGGGCCGGTCTAGACAGTGTCGCTTGCGGACTCGCACGCTCATCTTCTGCAGCCAAAGTCAGTTGGCAGGTCGCTTGTATTTGAAGCCAGAATGAATCCATAATAGATACAGACGTCCATGTTTCACTTTGGGATACCTGCAAATTTGCAGGTATTGTTTAGGTCAATGCCCAGTCGGCACCTCAGGCCTGTCGGGCAAACGTTGAGGGGCGCCGTTTTGATCTTATCATTGATTTCCCAGAATTGGATTAGACCCGACTGAGGCCACTGAACGCGTCTTTGTCTTTCAACCGGCATTGCAACCCTCAGACATAATGGGGTGTGTTACTCTTTGTGAATGAATCCGCAGCCGTCACGCTACTGTGCAGTTTGATGCAAGCACACCCATGCAATAACCCAGTGCCCATTTCCCCAAATGACTCAACAATGACAGCAAACGAAAAACCACACACACAGAGCTTTGTCAAACTCACAATCACGAAAGCAAAGCCCCTACACACAGAACCCATCACACAGCACCAGAAGGACTCTTCTTGCCCCCTCTTGTCATCCATCTGTCACCATCTGGAGCGTAATCTACAAAGACTGCAGCCCTCTCGGGGAGATGGCTCCATCCGTGTCTGTTTTACGTCTGTTCTAGGTCATGTGCAATTAATCCCCCAAACCGTCTGCTACAGACACCCGGAGTCAGCAGCACTCAGCGGCTTTCGTTTCGAGAGGTGTGTCACTGAGACTAAATTGAAACGAATACATCTCTGGTTCACGATGCTGGAAATAAAACCTCTAGTGTTTTAAGATCAGAGGGATTTTCAAGTTGTTTCCGATCCGTTGTCTTTTAGCCTGTTTGTAATCACTGAGAGGTTACTAATCCGGGGAAACTAATCTGCAATTTGACTTCGAGGGAATTTTGAAATAGACTCATACTGTTTTCTTAAGCAAACATGTAGTGGGGGAAAGCAAGGCTGAGGGGGACAAACTAACGGAGGAAAACTGCCGTTGCATTTTGTCGTCAGCCTCTTTTTCCGGCATGGGGATCCGCTTGCACGCGTGATGCAGCGTTGACCTCTCAAGAGAGGAAACGATGAGAGTCCCTCGAGAAATTTATGTTAGATACAAATGTTTCTGCTCTTTTTTTGTATTTTGCCTAAAAATGTGGTAACTTTATAATAACAGTAACAGTTAAAGAGTGACAGCGAGATCCTCCTTGTGGCAGTGGCAAGTAAGTGGCCTCAAACTTGAGAACCCTGTATGTTATTTGAGACACGTGAGCCCTCCTACTCCCCTACACGGAACCCGTCGGTCCAAACCTAAAATTATCCTCTGCAATAAGAAGACGGGGGCTCATGTGTCTGAAATAAAATAAAATAAAGTTATTTACAGCAACCTGTCGTGCAAATAACAGTTGTTTCTGGGAAAACGAGCGTGCCGTTGTGACGCCAGCCGCGGACTTGCGACTGATTTACTGGCGATTGCCGCTGCCTGCCACAGAGTTGCCACTCACTTGCCACTGCCACAAGGAGGATCTCGGTCCTACTGCAGTTAAATGCCAGTAAATGCTCCTGCACCGCTAACACCTGCCTGTTAATGTCTCCTAAGTGTTGCAATTCCATTTGGCGACAGTCACCCGACACCCAAAATAAAAGCACAGCACTTTGCATTACTGCATCACATCTCGCTCGCAGCAGCTTCACATGCATCTGCCACACGAAGAACATGTTTCGCCTTCGGTGTAAGTTTCAGCTCGCCGAAAGGCAGACGAACACAAACAGGGTGACTGTTGGTTGAACAGGAGGGGTGGTATATTAGGGAGGGCAAGAGTGGAGGGGAAGGGGGGGCTTAACTTTACCAGATTCGCTGACAGCAGGAAGGGGGGAGGCAATGCCATGGGGAAAGGCGGAGGCAGCAGAGAAAGGGAGTGGGGCATTCTCACTGTCACCTATAGGCAGCGGGCGGAGCAGAGCAGAGCACAGCGTTATGAACAGTTCATCCGGCCCGATTCCTCATCCGGCTGTCGAGACCTGGATGGGAGTTGACATACCAGCAGGGACGTCGCGGTGCACCGCCTTCATCTCGGTCTGACGAGCAGGCTTCGAAAAAATCTCCAACTGCGCACAGAGGATCTCGGCGTGTGATTTTTTTTTTTCATTATTCCAATCGTCCACCAGCGTTCAAGAAGGTGTGATTTAGTGGTACACAGACACCGGTGCGGATATGTAACGCCATCCCGTCTCTCTGGGCAACCGGGGACACATTTCTGCTGCTCGTGCATACTTCAGCAGCCGGGCTATCAGCAATGTTCAGGCCGTCTCTTTGCATACACACACACACATACATTCACACACACGCACGCTGTGCGTCAGGGGTGTTTAACAGAAATTATGTGAAATGCAATCCCTCCGGAACAAACTTGTCTCCCACATCCTGCTGCTTGCCCCTCGTATCCCAAACCACGGCTGCTTGCCGTTGCGTACCTGCTCCCGGGGTGCAGCCTCTGCTCCAGCGCTTGGTCCTCTGCTCCAGCTGAAGGCTGCGCTCCAGAGAGCGTTTCATCAGGGCCTCCAGTCGCTCCTGAACGCAACACAGCGGAGTTGTTCATTTGAAGACCAGCACGAAGACCAGGGATAAGGGATGTAACGTTCCCACACACACACATAACCACACACGAGAGATAGACAGAGATGAGATGTGTTCAGTTAAAGGAGCTGACCCTGTCCTCCTCGAGCTGCTGCCTCCTCTTCTCCTCCACCGCAGCCCTGCGGAGCTCCTCTTTCTGCCTCTGCTCGTCCAGACGCCTCCAGCGTTCCTCCACTGTGCGTTCGTACTGTAGCCGGGCTCTGCGCTCCTTCTCCATGATCAGCTGCTCCCTGGCCACTGAAAGAGACAAGGGCCAATTTGCCTCCGGTGTCATGGGGAACATATCAGAGCAAACGGTCCGGTGTTGCCGCCTGTGGCTTTTTTTTTTACGCTCCGGCTGGTCGTGCAGAGCTCAGAATACAAGCCGGGGAAGACACGAACGTCATGAAACTACACACCAAATCGTTCTTCCCAGAGAGACCTGTGTCATCCTGAGGCCACCGATGGGGCTGCATGATTACACAACCTACTTTTGGGAGCTTTTCTATGTCACCGTCGCATTGTCTCAAGTGACTTAGCGCATCATCTCAAAAAAGCCAGTGAACTTCTACTGTGGGGGGAGAAGAAATGTCATGACAAAAAAACGCTCTGCAGGGCGAAGACATCCGCTGCAGGAACAGCAATTTAAAGGCATTTCTGAAACAAGAAGAAGAAACAGGACACAACTTACCAAGGCCTTTATCCCTCTCCTCGCGTCTCTCTTTGGCCAGTCGCATCCTGTCGTCGGTCTTCATATAACCTTCCACGGCTAAAAGAGGAATGAAATGTTGGAGAGCAGCAAAACAACATTGGAGAGAGCGAGAGCGAGAGACTTACTCTGCATACCTGAATGGTTCCCATTGGTGTGTGACGGTGACGCATGTCCGTTCATTTGGGGCTTCTTCTCTGTGCTGGATGGCGCTGCGATCACCATGGCAGAAAGAGAGAGAGAGAGAGAGAGAGAGAGAGAGAGAGAGAGAGAGAGAGAGAGAAAGGAATGACATCAGCGCTCAGGAGTACCGACCTGCAGAGCAGCTCTGATGCCAGCAGAGGGAAACATTTTGTTCTGCTCTGTCTTATAATGCATCGGGTTGCAAAAAGCCCAGCCAAGGGCAAACCGCAGCAATATGTAGGAGAGGGAAGGAAGCTGGCCTTGATGTGACGGGCGCTCCACACATGCTGAATGCCTCTTTCGGTTATTGTTGCTGATGTAACCGGCTGACAACAGAGCAGCCCCTGTTTGCTGTGCGGGCCTCCAGGCTCATATTCTACAGTGTCTCTAATTGGGCATTAATCCAAATAATTGTGTAGTCAGTGATTTCTATCCGGATGATACCAGTTTGGGGGAGTGCGCATTGTGTGACTGGAGAGGATCACTCACTAGTTTTTCCAGTTCGGGCTGGAGAGCCGTGGCCGTTAGTCGGAGATCTCTTGTCAGGAAGCAGAGTGACGGATGGCGGCGACATCTTTTCGCCTAAAGCACAAAACAAGAAGAACACAAGGAGCATTTGTCAAAATAAGAAGCTGTTATTCTCACAGCAACATCATAACGGTTGGATGAAGAAGATGAAGGAAACCAGAGTGAGATCAGGAATCAGGAAACATTTATTACCAAAATATGTCAGACATATGGGAATTTGACATGGCGACAATGGACAACAAGACATATAAGACAACTTAGTCCAAGAGGAATAAAATAAAGTTTAATAAAATATAAGGCTATGGGTTAGGGGGATATAGAATAAACAATTTAAAAATAAGTGCACAAGCGAACAGATGGCCATGTGAAGGTGACAAGTGAGGGAGAGAGACATCTAGATTGGAGTAAATCTTCATGGGCCGATACCTTTAAGACATGAACACATGTCTTATAAAACAGCATTGTAGTTTAATTTAATTAATACAATAAAATGAATGATACATCTATTGTGTAATACTCTGTCATGTATTTAGAGCTGTCCAGGCGTTATTATTTAACCCATTAACCCTGTTACTGTAAAAATCCAAGCCGAAGAAACACAATAATGATGCTTCCAAAGATATTAGAGGGAAATGAACTGAGGATACAACATAAAATGCCACCATTAGTCCCCTTGCATCTTTTACTTTCTAAATGAAAGAGCTCAGAGGAAAGTATTTATGTCTGGAGGAGAGAGTTACTCCATAATTGTACCAAATCTGATCATCAATCAGCGACATTTCCCCTCTTTCAGGAGGGTATAAATGGTACATTGAGAACCATCTCTTCAACCGATGAAGTCATCACAAAAAGATTTGATGCTTATAACATACAGTATATAATCCTGCATCACAGTCCTCTCCCCAACCAGTTCAACCCTTTTATCCGATTGAGTTGCGTCATTGCCATAAAAACGGAACGAACAGCGTGCTCGGCTTTTAAAGTGACTTAAATCACTAATGTTGACGTCCACTCGTGAGAAAAATGTACGTCAGCGGACAGAATCACGGAAAAGACGCGTCGCGTTTGGCTCGCTTTCGCTGGTGACCAAATTCGTCTGGTTTTGTATTTATTCTAAATGGAATTAAAACGTGCACCTTATAGATCGGCTTCTAGACGACGACCCGTGCGCCACAGCGAATAAGCAACACGGTAAACAGGGATGCCGGATCACGACCGCACAGCCTGCATCACGCACAAAAGCAGTGGATTTGTCAATTGCGTCACGCGTGCGTCTGCTTCAAAATCGCGCAGCAAACGCAACAAACGGATCGATGACACCAAACCTAACACACGTTACGTGTTGCTTACCTGCTAATTCACCGGATAATGTGGCGGTTTTTGCCATGGCGGCTCTCACAGGAACAACACAATCGAATCTCACGAAAAAAACAACAACAACAACAAAAACAAAAAACACTCCGCAGCGATGCCAATGCAGCACGGGTACACGTTTCAGCGATGCACGCGCTATTCACGCAGATGGCCTGAAGGTCATTGTGTGTGCAGGACGCGAGAGTCCCGCGTTGTGAATGCAGGAGGAGAGCGATGCGGGGACCGGAGACGGAGACGGAGACGAGGACGATGATGATGATGCTGATGATGCGCACACAATCGAGTTGCCCCGCTGCACGAGCTATCGGGGAGGGAGGGGGCGGGGGGGGGGGGGTCCTGTATGCACGCGGCTCGAAGCGAATTTAGCATGGTTGCAATGAGTCAGGGGGCAGAGGGTCCCGTTTTACCTCGAAGGGTCAATTATAATAACTCACGTGTGCATCTAAACGCATCTATACAATTATTATTATTATCATCATTATTTTTATTATTGTTGTTGTTGTATTTGTTCTTAGTCCACAGTTGTCTCTACTGTTTGGATTTTTGGAGAGCCATGCATGAAAAACAGCTTATTGATCGAGAACATATTGACGGATAAAGGTCGTTGTTGCACAAACAGGTCTGAACACTAAGCACCCTTCAGCTATCGACATTGGGAACCAGCCGTGGCATTCAGACAGGCTCACATGCATGTCTTTACTACTTTTTGAATAGTAGCTGTTTCGTAGCAGTTGCAGTGGCCACGGCTAGTTTGGGAAACTGTGGTGGAAATAAGCTGCAGGCCCCCAAATCCTCCCCATTCTTCCAACTCTCTGTACTGCGGATTGAATGTAATGTTTTCTCTAAGTGCCCTTTGAAGTGAATTCCAGACATGTCAGCTCACACACCGAAAGACAACATCTATGGTTTACGCTGAGTCAGATAATATGTTCATTTTAAAACATGCACTAATATGAGGTTACGTTTAAAATGTATTTGACAGGCCACAATGTGACGGTTACAGAATACACTAGCGTCTTTTATAATTTGGATATATTTTTGGTCAGTTTCTCTTGGCGCAGAATTTTCACAGTTTATTAAATGCAGTAAAGCTGTGCTGTGGTGAAGGTTTGGACCGAGTAAGTAAAATGTGTTCTCTGCACAGCTCTTTTGGCTGTCCTAGTCAGAAGTGCACCATATTCCCTTTAGAAAACCTTATTGAATCGCAACACGGTCCAGTCTGCCTTGCTCAGTCCAGATTCTGGCTCTCCGGTGCTTCCCTTCCCACCATCAGGAAGGGAAGCACAGATTTATAGGCCGGAGGGGCACTGATGCAATGCGGGGTTCCCGAGTTCATGTAGGGATTGAGGGAAATGAGGTAGCAGAACGGCGAAGGCAGCATTAAGGAGGGAAAAATAGATGTCAATTGCTTTTAGCAGAAATGAGTGTGGTTCTAGTAAGAGATAGAATACGTAAGAAATGTCAGAAAGCGCGGGAGAAAGAGGAAACAAACAGGTTGTCTGTTTCCAGTCAACCAAATGTCAAGAGTCATAGTTTAGTCAAGATGATATGATCAAGTCATGGTCACTGTGGATGGAACACCAAGACGGTAAATGTCATAAATGGCGGTGATGGACAACGTTATGGGCTATACGCGACACTTCACTGCCAGCTGTATTTACGTTTTACGGAAGTGGCCAAGTTGGGAGCGGGGACTCTTACACTTAGTCTTAGTTCTAACACTCTGCTAAATGTAGAAGCCAAATTGAAAGAATAATTTTATATGTTTTTTTCTTCAGACTATGCAGCCTTCATCCACACCATCAGGAGATGCATTGACTCGCCTCCCCAGCGCGGGGCAGCAGTGAGCTGTAGGGACATAGTCTGCAATTAAAAACACGAAGAAGAACAAATTCGGAACCGGAATGACGTCACTGACAGAAGGACGGGCTGTTTGGTTCAGGGTGTTGAGCTAGCGCAGGAAAGATGCTGACCAATTTCTCTAACGTGCTGAGGGTTTGTGCTCAGAGAAATGTAAGTACTTAGAATTTAAACGATGTCCGGTCTTAGTCAAGTGCTGCATTACAGTCTTTCTCTAAAACCTCTGACGGTTTACCAAAACAAGAGTGTCAACGCTGTTCTGACCTTGTGAGGCCGGGTGATAATTAGCCTGTTTGGCTAGCAAAGCTAAAGGTCTGCAAAAAATAAAAGCTGTGCATGACAGCTTCAACGATTTGGTTTGTGAATCCCGTGTGGCGTATTTTTTATGTAACGTAGGTTACAGTTTACGTATCATTAGTTTAACTCTTGTTTCATTGTAAGTTGTATGGGTTTTAGTGTCAGCCGTTTTATACTGATTTAGACAATGTTACTTATAACGTGCGTTCAAGTTGTTTTCATTGTCATTTAAGTTACACCTTTTGATGGTTCATCTCCATTAGTTGTCCTACTAAACTATATCCGTAGATATTTATTAATTATTATACGTCAGTCGATTTTGATAGACCAACCCTTTCAAAATCGTCAAGGTTGGTTGTCAGTTTAAGCCTTTTTTTATTAAAGATTTTCCATAATAGTCAGAAGATTAGCAGGGAGGTCCTTGAGGATTTGCTGAGACCTTAGAACTTGTGGTGCTGGTCGTAGTATCTGAATATAGTTGTGCTTTAGTAAAACATACTATGACAAGTGCAATGATGGGGATGGTTGACCGGCTTCTCTCTGTTGAGCAGATTCATATCTAAGAAACCGTGTTGTCTCATGAGCCCTTAAGTTGTTATATTATATGCAACTTAAATTCTTTGTTTGTGTTCTGTGTGGAGCAGTTATGCTCTTCTGATTAACTAATTAACTACTTATATATGACAACTTGCTACTTATTTTGTTAAATAGTTTTTTGTGGAGAATTGCGGGATTTTGCATCAATTAAACAAAGAAATAATGTATTGTTTTAACAATACTAAAAGTGAGAAGTCGTTTTGCCTCTAGAATTGAAAATATCTCCTTTTTTTTCCCCACGGCAGGGAGCTGCAGCGGTGGTGTCCGCACGCACATACGCCGACTTCACAACGCAGGCTACCTTTGAAATAAAGGTAAGCTTTGAACACAAAGTTGCTTTTTCAGATGAACTGCTCAAAGCCCAAGCATCATGTGTGCATGAAGGGTATTTTCTTCCCTTTAGAAATGTGACATCCACAAGCTGGATGAGGCTCCGGCCACTCAAGTGGTTATGACTCGGGATGAGGGGCTGAAGTACTACCGCGTCATGCAGACCATAAGGCGTATGGAGCTGAAGGCAGATCAGCTGTACAAGCAGAAGATCATCAGAGGATTCTGCCACTTGTATGACGGCCAGGTAGAGTGCACTTTAATTGTTCCTAAACTAGATACAGTAAAAAAAATATAGGAACCGTTTCTCTTCCATGTTATGGTACTAATTTCTTTTATTTTGCTACTCTGGAAAGAATAAAAATTGGCATTAAGATAGTCTGTTTTGAAAAGTAACTGGATGTTATATGTGTGTATAAAATATATATATATATATATATATATATATAAACTTTCAAACAGATTAATATTCTGTAAAAACATTTACTGCCAGCAACGTTTTACCCTGAATTTTATTATGAGAAATTCTTTTAATCCATCTCAATTTTACTCTTGACTATTGTTGTTATTTTCTCTTTGTAGGAAGCCTGTGCAGTTGGTATTGAAGCGGGAATTAACTTGACGGATCACCTGATCACTGCGTACCGCGCCCACGGCTACACCTACACCAGAGGAGGGACGGTGAAGGAGATCATGGCTGAGCTCACTGGTCAGTCTGCAATGCTGAGACATTTAGATTGAGATTTTTTATCTCCAATCACTGTTGATACACTGTTTTTTTTAATTTATTTACAGGCAGAAGAGGTGGAATTGCAAAGGGAAAAGGAGGCTCAATGCACATGTACACCAAAAACTTCTATGGAGGAAATGGAATTGTTGGAGCTCAGGTATACCATAGAAACAGTCTCTGCATGTCCTAACAGCATGTCAGTTTGATGTCCAATAACAGGTGTAGTCGATAGATCTGCTTTTATGGTTTATGGAAAATTCACAAACTAGAAATGTTATACAACAACAATATCTTGATGCATTGTTAACACTCACAGTTGTAGCGGCAACTGTTTTTGGTATTTATTTGGACTCCCAACTATTTGTTATTTCAGTCCCGACTCACGGATGCTTGCGTCATGCTTTGTATGGATGAGTTTGACTCTGCCCATCTGACAGACGCAACCTTTAAAGGAAGGAGAAGAATCCAATGGAGACCAGTCACATTGTGACGAGAGGTTCAGGATAGACAAACGCAGCCAAAACAAGCTTCCCCTATATTTCACCACGATGACGTCACCATCGCTTTTCCTAATGAGTATTTTCAACTAGAGGATCTGAAAGCAGCTGCACAAAAACACCCAGAGTGCTCTGAAATAAGACGCTGGGTGCAGCACTTTTTCTCCTTGAGAGGGTTACATGCACTCTCCTCAATGGAAAGAAATAATGGTGTTTTGACACACATGCATTAAGATCAACTGACCGCAGACATCTCTGAATTCTCCTCAGGTTCCTCTGGGGGCTGGTGTGGCTCTGGCCTGCCAGTATCAGGGCAATAATGAGCTGTCTGTCAGTCTCTATGGTGACGGCGCAGCCAACCAGGTACGTCACACTAACAGGTTGAAGTCCTAACTGTTGTATTACTCAATGGCATCGCCTAGACTGGACTTATTTTGAACGTAAGCTCAATAACGTGTACAAAACAAAACACCATCGTGTATTTACGAAAACGTTGCGTGTTTCACAGGGTCAGATTTTTGAAACCTACAATATGGCAGCACTTTGGAAGCTCCCCGCCATCTTCATCTGTGAGAACAACAGGTATGGCATGGGCACATCAGTGGAGAGATCTGCAGCCAGCACAGACTACTACAAGAGAGGAGACTACATTCCTGGACTCCGGGTACTGTTCTTACTCTTAATCAAATATTTAATTAGACGTTAGTATAATGTATTTCCGATAAAGGAGCTCATCGTGACACAAAGAGGTTTGAGGGAGTTGTTTTTGCGTCCAGGTGGACGGGATGGATGTTCTGTGTGTTCGGGAAGCCACCAAGTTTGCAGCGGATCACTGCCGGTCCGGAAAGGTGAGTTGAAAACCTTGAATTACATAAATTAGGATATTAAATTGTCAGTTAGTCAGTTATTTATGTCCTACCTTTCATCAGGGTCCCATGCTCATGGAGCTTCAGACCTACCGCTATCACGGACACAGCATGAGCGATCCTGGTGTCAGGTAAATAATCTGCTTCTGTCCATTTTAATTTATTCAAATTGGGGGTATTTGCTTTAATTACAGCACTGTTCTTAGTAGAATAATAATAATAATAATCCCCCATCTTATCTTCACTGTGCTGCTTCCCCTTGCTTCTGCCACGTTCCCATAGTGTACCCTCCTTCCCGCTGTACAAGATTTTCTTCAAATAATTGTGGTTGTGGTGAGCAAAGAAGAAATACTGTATTAGTGCATCGCCGGCTCCCCCACCGCCCCCCAAAGAATTCCGTATTAGTGCATCCCCACAACATCCCTGCACCAATCTCTCTCCTCTCAGCTACCGCACACGTGAGGAGATCCAGGAGGTCCGTGGGAAGAGTGACCCCATCTCCTTGTTGAAGGACCGCATGCTCAGCAACAACATGGCCAGCGTGGAGGAGCTCAAGGTAGCAAATATCTTCAGTTTGTTCAATGAATAAAAAGAAAGGCAGGCAAGAATACCAGAGCTATTGTCTGATATATGCTGTATGTACGTGCAATTAGCGATCAAGATCATCTTCTGGTCTCGCTGTGCCTGTAGGAGATCGACGTGTCGGTGAGGAAGGAGATCGAAGATGCTGCTCAGTTTGCCACCACGGACCCTGAACCCCCGCTGGAGGAACTTTGCAACCACATCTTTTACAACGATGCCGACCTGGAGGTGCGCGGCACCAACCCGTGGACGACGCTGAAGTCCGTTAGCTAAAGCTGTGGCGCCCGCTCTCTTCATCACGTCGTTCAACCAGTAATCTATGAGCTGCCCCTCGCAAAGATACACAAGCATCACACAGCGTGCGCTAAACTAGAGCCCCGGACCCACAGCAGGAACCATCAACGAGTACATTTATTTCAGTGCTGTACACTGGGGCCACATTCACAAAAAATGTTCCGAGGATAAAACAAAGGACACTCAACTGGATAATAATAAGTCGGCCCCATATTTATTTATCATTTTAGAAAAAGTAATAGCCATCCCACCACATTGTATAGCTTTTTTTTGATCTTTACTAATAACAATTTCTATCCCTGCATTGAAAGTAGATGCACCAAATGAGTGAGTGATCAATACAGGAGTAATTATTTTAATTTTAGTGTGAAGATCAATTAATTAAGCTTTTTTTAGGGAATATCGGTGCCTATTAAGCATCACGTCGGAAGGTATTGTCAATCTGGCCCCAAGTGAGTATATTAAGTAGAATCAAAATTTGCTTGTTTGATGGTTTTGTCTGGTCACTTTTGAGGTGGAATGAAGAAAAGTGTCCATTCATCACTGTTCATCTCATGAAGACACTGACCTGTAAAAAAACGGCTTTGTACTCTTTAGAATGAAGTGTACATGATAAATCATTCGGTTCGAGTTACCTACTTCTTGTCATTTTTTATGTAACCCCTTGTTACAAAGACACCATGAAAGGCAGCTGCCTAATTACTTTAGTTACAATCAACTTTCTCAAGAGGTCTCCAAATTTTGTCTTTCAAAATACTATAAGCAAGGGTGTCTTGCCAAACCGAAGGTGCCTGGCAGATCTTGTGTTGTTTGGAGGACGAACGTGTTCTTTTTGTCTTTGCGTCGCTCTCTAAGCCGAGCGGAAGCTGTTATTCATTTCCTGCTGTACGTGTGTGTAAATACTCTCCACAAGCTGGTAACTTACTTTGCAAAAAAAAATGGTGGATGTAAACATGATGGCTTTTAGTCAGACCGCATTCACCGAAGAAGCTTCACTGTTCGCATCAAGTTTCCAAATCAAAGTCATTGGGTTAAGTATTGTGGGTTAGTTAGCTGTATTGGCTTCTTAAAGATCTTATGCTATCGAACCACATCAGCAGGGGTACAATAATGGCTTGAATTCACACACATACAGGGAGATTTCTTCTTTTTTGTCAAGTACTTGTTAAATAAAAAGAGAAATAACTTTCACAGACAGGTCAAGTAGAAAAAACAACACCACTGTTGGCAGCAAGCTCCTATGCTACTGTTATGTCATTATATTCTTAAACGATGCTTTTAACCCCTTAAAGGGTAGAGGCAGGGCAGGGTATTTTCTTTGTACGGTGAACGGTATTTAATTAAATCAGAAGATGGGCTAAAGTTGTAAAATATTGATACAAGTGAGAATACCCACAGGCGGAGTATTTGTTACAGTAAACTGTTATGTCGCCGCAGGCCGACACACAAAACATTTAATGTGCGTGTCTCTGTAATAAAGACTGTAAGATACTGAATTTTTGTTCAAATTTTTGTTACGTCTTCATTCTTCATTTAATTAATGCCACCCTGTCACTTATAAGGAAACAGTTATAAGGTTACAGTTGTGAGTATCAAAATTGTTTGGTGAGCTCATTTGAATGTGATGTAATGTGGGGACAGATGTTTGGCTGACTGGTCATATTTTCATCACGGTTAAAGGTTAAAGTAACAGAAGAAAGTAACACCAACCATGAGCCCCGGACAAAAGAGTTCTAGGAGCTCCAGCAGAGGGCAGTAGTGCAACAACAAGGAGGAAAACTGCCGCAAAACCCGAAGGAAGAAGAAGAAGAACAAAAAAACAAGGGAAGGAAGAAGAAGGCAGGCTGCTATTTAAAAAAAAAAAAACCTTCCAAAGATTCGCCACACGTTCCCTCCGTCCAGCGGTGCAGCGCGCTCACAGCAGCCACGCGATGGACGTCCTCCGCGGCACGAAGAAGGACGCGTTCCGCGCGCTCTGCGGCGCCCTGCTGCTCCTCTGCAGCGCGTCCGCGCAGGAGCACAAGAACTCCCAGTGTCACAACTACGCGGGGGGACACGTCTATCCCGGGGAGGCTTTCCGAGTGCCGGTGTCCGACCATTCCCTTCACCTCAGCAAAGCCAAGAGTGAGTTTCCACCCGCGGGTGCAAAGCCGAGGTGCTCCTTTGCGTGAAAGAAAGTGCGCAGTGGGGATTGTTGCTCTTCTCCCGAGTGTGCGGCAGCTGTCAGGGCGACGCAACCCGTGGCCGTGTTTGATTTGTTTGTTTATTCATTAACACGTTTAAGAGTGTGTCTGTCCCTCGCACGCGAGGCCTGGCTTGGTGCTTGAGCAGGTGTTGGGTGTGTGTGTGTGCGCTTTTTTTAAGGACACGTCATACTATGAAATTCGTTCGATTGCGTCTCACGTGACCAATACTACTGATAACTTGGTAAACTAAGCGTCCGTGAAAACTCGAGTGCGCATGTGTGACTGCGTCAGAAACTAGCATACGTGCATATGTATGCTATTTAATTACTCTGCACAAGAAGTGCAAAGATGAACGATGTCAGATGGGGAAACTGGTATACAATAAAGAACAATGCTGAGCATCAAAACAAGAACAGAAGCTTTTCAAATCGAATAAAGGCATAAAAAGATTATAAAAAAGTGCAAAAGCTGTATTACTGAAACATATGGACATAATAAGGAAATGTGAATAAAAACATAATAAAGAATACAAAAAGATATGGAGGTGAATTTAAAAAGTAATATACAGCTTAGTTTAGAACACACTTAAAATAAAATAATTTTGGTTTGAGTACTTCTGTTGGACTAAAATCAACTTCTTTTAAAAAAAGATGATCAGTCATTTGTGTATCTCACACCTCCAATCCATGTATCTTTCCTCCCACCCAAGTTTCAAAGCCTGCGCCACACTGGGAAGGAACGGCCGTCATCAATGGTGAATTCAAGGAGACAAAACTGTCGGACTACAAAGGCAAATATCTCGTCTTCTTCTTCTATCCTCTGGACTTGTGAGTAACAACCGAGACGCCCCCCCCCCCGAAACATTATCGCTCCGCTCGTGTCGTCGCACAAACGAGATGCATCCTCTCCTCGTGTAAATGTGTTTGTTTTTTTTTGGTTCCCGTCTTCGGCAGCACGTTTGTCTGCCCCACTGAGATCATCGCTTTCAGCGACCGCGTGCACGAGTTCCAAGCCATCAACACCGAGGTGGTCGCCTGCTCCGTCGACTCCCAGTTCACCCATCTGGCCTGGTGAGGTCGCGTCCCCGTTTCAGACACAGGACACACTCGCAGAACGGCGAAACCTTAAAAAGTGGACTGATTCTGATTTCTTTATCAATAGGATTAATACGCCCAGAAAGCAGGGTGGACTCGGACCAATGAGAATACCTCTGTTGTCTGACCTCACGCACCAGATTTCAAAAGACTACGGAGTCTACCTGGAGGACCAGGGACACACACTGAGGTACGGTTTCTGCTTATCCACGACTTCTAGGGAATTTGCCCCAAAAGTTACAGGTAGGAAACCTCTTTGATCCGTCTCTCTCTCTCCCAGAGGACTCTTCATCATTGATGACAAAGGAACCCTGAGGCAGATCACCATGAACGATCTTCCGGTGGGGAGATCTGTGGACGAGACTCTGCGGCTGGTGCAGGCCTTCCAGTACACCGACAAACACGGAGAGGGTACGAGGAGCTCGTTTATACGGCAGCGCCAGGAATGACCAGCCGGTTTTCACTGTATCTCAGTAACAAAACAAACAAACAAAAAAATGTTTTAGCTCATTCTACTTGTGCCGTCTCTAATTGTGTCACTTTCTTCCAGTGTGCCCAGCCGGATGGAAGCCAGGCAGCGACACAGTGAGTATCGCCGAGAAGGATTCCTGGTCACTAGCTAGTGTGTTTCAGTGACTAATTGACTATTTCAAATGAATGTATGCAAGCATTTCCTGATCGATTCAGTGTGTTGCGTCGCAGGGGATTTTTTTTCTGTGGTGAACGGGAAGCGGGGCGAGTGCGTTGACCGGGATCTGCATTTGTAACAACCTTATTCACAGCATCCACGGAGTATATTTCTGTCTCATTGTGCGCTAATGACATTAATTATCTCCCACAGATCATTCCCGACCCTTCAGGCAAGCTGAAGTATTTTGACAAACTGAACTGATCTGCGTCCCTGTCGTTGGAGTGTGTGAAATCCATCACTTCAAATCCAAATAAAATTTCTTTTCATAGAAAAACACTGTACGGCAACTCCTGTTTTTTTTTTCATCTGACCAGGTGACCGTGCGAACTGGCAGTTCAAGATCAGTTTATGCTTTTAGACTTTATTAATGCAGAATGTTTCAAAGACTTTGTCACACTGCAAATGAACTGCTGTGATTCTGGGGAATTCACCCGGTGGCTGGCAGACGCTCACCAGGCACAACTAACGAAGAGTCGTCACACATCTTGGCGTACTTGCTGGACCGGTTATGGGGCCTTTTGAAACTCAACCTTTTTGAGAGGCTCAGCCAGCAAGTGTCCCTTCTCATTTTTATTTTTATTGGAGGTACAAACTATTAACTAAATATTATAGTAACGTGTTGTCAATAATGCGTTTTTTGATTATTTGACTGTCGCAATCGAAGGAAATTCCACCTCCAGAAAAGCCATTGTAGGGTTAAATGCAGAGATTACCCTTAATGTACCTTTCATACATTTCTTTTAGAACACACTTTACAATTCAAGAGTCTTATTCTTTAAGCAACACGTCAACACTTTTACTTTAACCCTCACTCGTGGGGTTTTCTTCTGGGACGCACTGTGATCTGCTTTGCCACGTACAACTTCACATATGACCTTTTGGATTGCAACGGTGTTCTATTTAAAACCATTTAAAATCTTACAGTTTAGTGGTGAACGTTTCATGAAGTGCTGTTTTATTATGAGGTTTACTGTGAATGAGATCTAGCAAAACGTCTTAGGGGCGTTTTTACACATACTCACAAAATCAGTGTTAATTCCCCTTTTCAGATGACTATTTTTAGCAGGTTTACATTTGCTGAAAGACGGTACTGAATACTTCATAGGTCCTTGTTTCTTCTTCCCCCTGTAGGCAGAAGTAAAGACCTGCATGTGCATTTTCTTATCAGAAAACAAAATCAAAAACTATAAAGATCTGTAAGTGAAGTGGAGCAGCTGGTCTCTCTGATAAGTATTTGCTTAAATTAACAGTTTACTTGCTTGTATAAACTGTTGGTAATGGTAATAATTTGGTTAGTAAATTGGCATTTAATCATTAAACTGTTGTCTTTGATGACTAAGTGGTTTCTGCTCATTTGAGTTAATGTGGATCGTTCCTGATCTGTGAATGTACACACGGGAAAGTATATGCTCGCTATACACTCAGTCCACTCGTGGTAAAATTCTTTCCAGACTTGAGAAAATGCCAAAATATGTGGTTGATACACCGTATTTTGCATTGCCGTTGACAATCCACCTCTATTTAAAAAAATAAATATTTTGAATTCAGATGAGTCCAGGAATGAGCCATTGGTTGTAGTACTACAAAAACCATATCCTCATGTGCGAGTGGTTTATATAAAGTGATGCAAAGGTCTGAGAACTTAAGTAAAGAGGGCAAAGATCAAAAAACTCCATTACAAGCAAAGGTCCTGTAAGTAAAAAATAGTCCTTTATAAAGTAAAAAAGTACAATCAGAAAAATGTATATGAAGTATTGCAATTAAAAACTCATTATCCAACAAAATGTTCCCCATGTATTATATATTGCAATATTTCATTATTACTACTATTTACTAAAATTTGAATTATTCCACATACTGAGTGTTTAATGTTTGATTTGAGATAAATGGGTTAAAGTTGGAAAAAGTGTTGTACGTTATTGCCTATATTGACATGTAAACTATAATGTATGAAGTTAACAAAACATTTAGGAATGTAGATTATTACGTTGTCATTTAATGTCCTTTTTTAACAATGGGGTCCGTTGTGAAGAAACAATTGGGTTTAAACCGCTTCTGTCGCTGCGTGGAAAACGAGTCAGCGGTTTGTTTAAATGTCGGATGCTCGGAGCCGGAGGGTCACAGTTTAATCACTTTTTTATTGTAAACCCTCCCGCTGAAACACACGTCTGCTGTTTGGAGAAAAAAAAAACCCGAAGCAGTCCTCGAGCCGTTATTAGCTACACGAACCTCCGGGCATGAACTAATTAAAATGAACACTACAGTGCACGTTTCGACGAACCCCGTCTGAACAGCCGTGCTCAGATTATGGCCTGTTTGCTGCCTGCCGGTGTGATTTCCACCACAACCCTTCCGCATTTTCCTGCTGCTATCGGGCTGTGACGTGTCGTGCTGACGGCGGCCTCGGAGCTGGAGGAGCGGGGGGCTGTAGCATGACAAGATCTGGCTCCAGACGCCCTGCTTGGCTTTCACCGGAGCTCCAGAAACAACCCGTAACCCCTCCTTCTCCGCCTCTCTCCGGCCCGCCCAAATAACACAAAATTCCCGACTGAATCCTGCCCGAGTCTGGGGGAACCAGGCGGCCCGGGAAGCCGAGGTTGCGGACGGAGGCCATCCCTGCAGCATACATCTGGTACGCGGATCGTCTTTGTTTTGCGCCCGGAGCTCCCGTTTGCGGAGTAATGTTTGCATGTGTCCGTGTCTCTTTGTTTTTGCATGCATGTGGTATTTTTATTTATTTATTCATTGTCACCGAGAGGCCGCAAAGGGTTGGGCCTTTTCTTCTCAGGCCCGGGCCTCAATGGAGGCCGTAATTGGGAATTCAGGCCTATCCGGTTAGCTAGCCAGCCTGCCTGAAGGAGATGGTATTTGTTGTCGCCAGTCGTCGTTGGGTAACGTAATTTTTTTAATTTAATTTAACTTATTGTGCATTACAGCCTTCAACATAGGCGCAATTGTCGTTACTCATGGCCGAAGGGTATTTTTTTAATCAACATAGAAATTAGCATTCGTCAAGACAGCAAGCTAACAAAATGGCGGAAGCTAACGACCGCCTATAATGGAAATCTGTTGTGGAAAACGAGTGTGTGTGTCTGTGTGTGTGTTTAGCAATCCTCGCGCTAGCAGGCTACTGCAGAGCTGCTTCAGTGTACAACTAACGTAACACCCCCCACTATTCTGTACTGTTTTGTGTTACTAACTACACGTCGGTGCAATATCCTGCACTTCAAAACGTGTTTTGTCCGCGTCAATCTGGACTGTGCGTGTGTTCAGTCCCAACGCCGCTCCAGTGGTCAGTTGAAGACATTACCGTTATCCTCAACCGCCTCGTCGGGGTTGGTTACAGTTTGACATGAATGAGTGGCTTAAGTCAGTCCGATCACAATTGGTGGGTTTTAATGTTTCGGCGGCATCTTTCCGCTCGCCGATGCACTGTCCGTGCGCCACATCGCCGCACGACCGCGGCATAATTTTCCACCGAAAGGTGTGTGTGTGTGGGGGGGGGCTTTCGGTGTGAATTGAATGGCACCGCGGCTGGATCGTCCACACCACTGTTTACATCTCTGCACGCGCCCCCACCCCTGCACCTTCCCCCGTGAGTGAGTGTGTGTGAGATCGAGAGATATTTTTGTCACGCGTTAAATCCTCTTTATCTTCATGATGAAGGTAACTTTGTAGCGTTGGCAACAATTGGACTGTTGGTCTAGTTTTGGTACCTTTTTGGTAGTGACATTTATGCTGCTGCATTCCAGTTGCTGTCCTTGCTGCAGACACAAGCTAACACAGGAAAACTTGTATAGTAAGGAACGAAGTTTGTCTCAGATGCCAGATTTATCCACAGGGCGTTGTTGTTGTTTTTATATATATATATCAGGTGACCTTAAGGTTTCTTTTTGTTTATGTGAACATGAGGGAAATGTTCATCGCACCAGCAGAATAGCTCACAATACCGTGGGATATTAAACCGAGCACTTACTATGGCTTCAACTCACAATAACCTAATAATACAATATGTACAATTTTATACAAAAGCATGTCTTTATTATGGAAGTATATTGAATACTAGGGCTGATTCAATGAATAGCTACTATAAAGGGTAAATGCCAGCTTTGCCACATTGCGTTTTCCTCCCTAAATAAGTTTTTGTTTTGAAATCCAGCTGCAATTCTTTTTAGAAATCTTATAGTGCCCCATATTTACGTTAGCAAGCAATCAGCAACATGTTTGATCATCTGTACCAGTTTTAAATAATATGTAAGGATTTAGTGACTGACTAATCTACGTTCTGATGAGTAACAGCAAGATAATGAATAACTTATCATTGGTCATCAGTGGTCACTTAACATCTGAACCTTTCTGTCATCTGCTTTCAGCTGTTTAGTAACAAATGCAGTGCGAGGACAATGGATGAGGATGTCACCAGGCTTACAATACATTCTGAAGAGCCTAAAATAATACTACACGGATTGGGTAATTAGCCCTGCTTGTATTGAATCGTGTGGTTTGGTGTGTGAGGTCACTGTAACACTCATGGTTCTTTTTCAGAAGTAGCATCCTTTTAATTAGCCAGATTGTTTGGTGTGATATATTATGGTTCTAATTCTGTCACAAGGAGATCCGTAACAACATCAAGCGTTCCATTTAAGACCTCCATACACACAGTCTTCTGAGGTAATCCTGCTTCATTCCAGATGAGGGTGGTGCCGGCGGGCAGGAGTTTGTTGTGGAGCTTCAAGAGACTGTGTTGGTGTCCGAAGGAGAGGGGGAAGGCATGGCCGTCCACAGGTTTGCCCCAGACGAGCTAGTCATCCAGGATGCTGTAGAGGACGTGGTCTCTGAGTATGTGCACTGCGATGAAGACGAAGACGTCGCAGTCGAAACCTGCGTGATGGCTCTTGACGGGGATGAGGAAGGTGTTGCCATGGGAGACATTCCTGATGATGGGCTGGACCCAGAGCAGCAGGAGGACGACCAAGATGGGTGTGGAGATTATCTAATGATATCCTGTAAGTTTGCATCTCTGCTGTGGTGGGATTACATTTAAATGTGCTATTGTTCCACTTGAAATCCTACTTGTTACACATGTGTTTTGGCATTTACCTGTCAGATCTCAAAAAGCTAAAAGGAACCAAAAAGCATTCAAGGCATGCAATTGCTGAAACAAACTATGAATGTCTTTTTTTTTAACTTTCTCACCAGATGTTGAAATGATGTAACTGCCGTGTCTCCCAAGTTGCATATTTAACCTTTACCTCTCTTATAGTGCCACTATTTCAGTTTTGTTGAATGTTCAGCTATCACACAGAAGCTCTTTCATACATTTTCTTTTTTTGTCACAAACGTCCAAATAGTGAACAGTTTTGATTTTATTTATTATTAATGAACCTGACCTACTTGTAAATTCATACTTGTGAATTCACAGTACATATTCTCATACTGGACTGGGTAATATTTATTGATTTGTCAAACAAGCCAGTACTTTTCCTAGAGTTCATTGATCTCCTGAATATATGTACTGAAATGGTGAAACTATAGCCAAGCTTTATTTTCATTAAACCTAAATTATTATGAAGTATTAAGCATTCATGTTGTCACATATAGACTAGTGTAGTCTAACACAGTCACCAGCTCATTGCTCGTATGATCTTGCACACTTTCATGTCTCTAATGAACTGTGATGTTTGTGTGTCCCTCGCTAGTGGACGAAGCGGGAAAAATGGTATCGGAGGATGGAACGGAGGTAACAGTGGAGGGAGCTGTAGAGGACCAAGAGGTTGAGAAGGATGAGGATGGCCAGGAAGTGATAAAGGTTTACATCTTCAAGGCTGATTCTGGGGAGGATGACATGGGTGAGTCGCTGTGACGCTTAAACCTCTACCTGGAATAACGAGGGACGGGATTATACCCTGAATACTAGCCAGTGTTCCCCCTACCATTTTTATATTAGGGGGCTGGGGCGCTAAATATTTTGAGAATTTAGAAGGTGTTTTAAATTCCGCAGGAGAATCGGTCGACGTCAGCGACGGTGACGCGGAGAGCGTGGCGCTGACCGAGTCTTCGGGCCAGACGCTCCGAGAAAAGATGGTCTACATGTCTGTGGGGGACTCTCATCACAACCAAGGAAACCATGGTGAGTCCCTCGAGCCGACGAGGGGCGGTGACTGTCATGAAACTGAACGTTGCTAGTTTTCTGGTTTTGTACATGTTGGGCTCATCTGCAGGTGGGTCCAAGGTGACTGATGAGGTTTATATGGAGGTGGTGGTAGGAGGCGAAGAGCCAGTAACTCACGACCGCTCGTATGACAGCGTGTCTCTAAGCAAGGACTTCATGCCTGTGGCCTGGGCAGCTGCTTATGGTCAGCAACCCTGTCTATTAAAATGTTTTTTTAAAAGCAACACTGGAAGCCTGTGCATCAACTACGTCTCTGCGTGGCTTGAGCTTTACAGATGCTGGTTTTGTTTTTTATTTTTTTTGTGTTCAAGACATTCTGTTGGTCTCACAGGTGCAGAGGACAGCGAGAGCTGTGAAAACCGAAACGGTGCAGCCAGCGCACTGCTGCACATCGACGAGTCTGACGGGGTGGACGAAGTGAGCAGACAGCGCAACAAGACCAAGAGGCGGTCGGAGCCTCGCCAGGTACAGACAGGTAAGAGCCGCGCTAAGCTCACGTATCTGGAAGTTGCCTTCCTAGGCCAGCTCTGAATGTAAATTACCCGTTACATGAAGAAATATCTTCTAACTGCTACAGTGTGGCTGTCCAGAGTTGTGTAGTTGCAGCAAAATAAGTAGTAAAGCTGCATTTTTTTTTTTCATTAGTGGGCACAGCCCATAAGGATTTTTTTGTTTTTGTTAAATTGCTGTTTCTTGTCATTGTTGTCCCCAGCCATCATCATCGGCCCCTACGGTCAGCCTCTGACCGTTTACCCCTGCATGCTCTGTGGTAAAAAGTTCAAGTCACGAGGCTTCCTGAAACGCCACACCAAGAATCACCACCAGGAGGTTCTGACCAGGAAAAAGTACCAATGTACGGACTGCGACTTCACCACTAACAAGAAAGCCAGCCTCCACAACCACATGGAGGTGCACGCTCTGAGCAGCAAGGCCCCCTTCGAGTGTGAAATGTGCGGCAAGGAGTTCCACCAGCAGGCGGCGTTGTTTTCTCACCGACTGCAGCACCACCATCGAGAGCCCAAGGGCCAGCAGCCGCCTGGGACGCCCAACAAGATGCACAAATGCAAGTTCTGTGACTATGAAACGGCCGAGCAGGGGCTCCTCAATCGCCACCTGCTGGCGGTCCACAGTAAAAGCTTCCCCCACATCTGCGTGGAATGCGGAAAAGGCTTCCGCCATCCCTCGGAGTTGAAGAAACACATGCGCACGCACACGGGCGAGAAGCCCTACTCCTGCCTTTACTGCGACTACAAGTCGGCCGACTCCTCTAATCTCAAGACTCACATCAAGACGAAGCATAGCAAAGAGATGCCGTACAAATGCGAGCGCTGTTTCCAGACCTTCGCCGAGGAGGAGGAGCTGATGCAGCACGGACTTACGCACGAGGAGAATAAGACCCACCTTTGTGCCCACTGTGACCACAAGAGCTCCAACTCCAGTGACCTGAAGCGCCATATCATCTCCGTTCACACCAAGGACTACCCACACAAATGTGCCATCTGTGGTAAAGGCTTCCACCGGCCGTCCGAGCTGAAGAAGCACTCGGTGTCCCACCGCACCAAGAAACTCCACCAGTGCCGCCACTGCAACTTCAAAATTGCCGACCCGTTTATTCTCAGTCGCCATATCTTGTCGGTCCACACAAAGGAGCCACAGGCCTCTCCCGAGAAGAGTGAGCCAAAGAGGACAGAGACGCACACTCCCGCCGCGACGCCCAAGAAGTCCACGCCGAGCTCGTCCAGCGCCGCAGCTGCCGCCGCCGCCGCCACCGCTGCCGGCCCGGCCGGCAGGGTGAGCGCGGCCAGCTTGGCCAGCAGTGTGACCGTGGTCATCGGCAAGGGACACAAAGAGAGGCGAATATACCAGTGTCAGTACTGCGACTACAGCACCGGGGACGCGTCGGGGTTCAAGCGGCACGTGATTTCCATTCACACTAAAGACTACCCGCACCGCTGCGAGATCTGTTCGAAGGGCTTCCGGCGTCCCTCGGAGAAGAACCAGCACATCCTGCGCCACCACAAAGACGGGGGGCAGGCGGAGTGACTCTGACTGGGCCAAATACTGTGCCACACACACACACACTCAAGGACAAAAGTAACCATCGCACCCCAATCTCTGCACCCTCAGCACGGCACAGCGCGCGCTGCACTTATAGTCCGTTCTGTTGTTTCTGCTCTTCTTTTGATCCTCAGCCCAATGTTTGTTCAGAAATGTATACACGTGTACATAACCGAGACGGCAACAGGACCCTTCTGTATGTAGACTTGCACCTTTAGCTGCATGTCCCTTTGCTGGTGACAGTGTGCATGGCAGATTGTTCAGATGTCTCTTTGTAGATATACAGTTTTTTTGTTGTTTTTTTGCAGGCAACAATCAGTTGTCAATCACTACGGTCCTAATTATTTGTCTCAAAACTGAAGTGTTATTTGCAAAACATTTTGCATTGTTTTGGTTAAAATGTACTTAAATCGAATTAGCACCCTGTTCCCAGTAGCACTTGCCGTCGATGAGCGCATCGAGTCGCGTGTGTATGTGTGATACGTGCGCGAATGAACGAGAGCGGAAGCGTGAATGTCGAACCAACATCTGTAGTGCTTCCTGGTGCTCCAACCCCACCACTTTTCGTTGTGTTGTTGAAAACACAAGGCTGGCCGCCGCAGAGGAAGGTACCGCTCTGTGCGCGACGGTGAAACCGTGCATGCGTCACAGCAGCGAACACTTGTATCACGATGCTCAGCGCTTGGTTATCACATAGCTGATATTTCAGTTTGAAGTCCGTATGGGCACTGTAAGCCGGACGGAACAAGCACAGGCGAAGCCCTGACTCGATGCCTGTAGAGGGAAATCTCATCAATTTGAAAAACTTTGTTTTCGCAATTCGTGCTGAAAACAAGTGGTTTCTGTGTCCATCAACAAACATGTTCCTCATATGAACTGGCAGGATATCTAAAACCTCCACAAACGTCAGCATAATAAAAGGCTGGGTTTAAATAAAAAAAGAAAAATAAAAGTTCACATCAGTTTCCCAATTCAACTCTGGCCTGAATAGGAATCTCCCAGCGTAACTGGTGCTGCTGGTATGAAACCATGATTGAACTCCATTTGGCCCTCCGATGTAGAAAGGGAAAATGTTTCTTTCTAGATGCAACTTCAGAAGACAGGTGCTGGTGATGTACTTGTACTTTGGCTTTTTACATTTTTGTTATCACCTGTGATTTATTCCTGTTTTTATATTTATTTCATTTACAAGTTGTTGTATAGTTAAGTGTAACTAGACTTCTATGGGACGTAAATTATTGTTTTGTATACAAATCTGTACAAAGCGTGTAGATGTAAACACTTGATAAAATGGAAATCTGAACTGTGTTGTTATGGATGTACTTCAACGTATTTGTTAAAAAAAGATAATAAAAGCAAAGTATTTTAACCATTTTGCCTTCTAATTGCCACCTTTTTAAATACCCCCTTATGGCCAGAAATGTTTTTTTTTTTTTTGTGTCACTTTGATATTTGACGTTCACCAAACACGTTGCAAGTGTACTAGTTTAAAGCCAATTGTGGTCTAATATGCAACTTGCATAAGTGTAATATTTAATAGAACCACAAACTGGACTGACGATCACTGAGATTAAACGTTTCATAGCTATCTATACAACTTTAAATATGTGAATGTGGATTTTTCTGTGGAAGGAACATCGCATACACAACATTACTCACTGCAGAGCATTTTAATATCTCAAAAGTCAGACAGCATTATTCAAAGAAAAAGATATTGTATTGAAACCAGGCTCTGCATCATGTTTCGTCGCGTTTGAAGCTTTTCTCCAGAAGTGAATCTCGATGTCAAATGATCATCACCATTTGAGGAAATCGGGGAGCGCTGTGACGACGATCAGGGGGCCGAACACTAGGCGTCGGAGCACTCCGCTGAAGACGGTGGAAAAGAACAGAGTAAGCACGAGGCCTCGCAAAAACATCTCTTCAGACAGAAAACATCTCATTTGATGTGGAACCGACCGTTTTTGGGAAGGAAAGCGATGTTTTCAGGCAGGACGCCGGTCTCCAGGGAGAACTGCCTGAACTTCTCCAGCAGATCGGCAGTGAGGTCCACGTCCCGTCCTGTCAGAAACGCAATCGTATCAACACCCGCCTCAGTATGCGCCGACACACGCTCAACACCGCATTCGTGGGCCAGAGAGTGGCGTCACGCCAACGTTACCGTAGAGTTTGTTGACGGCCATTGGATCGCTGTCCTTGCTCCTCATGGTGTGAATCAGGGCGTACTCGTCGTACTTCACGTCGACCATGCACATCTCATTCAGCTTCTTCCAGCCTGTCAAAGGGATGAAGGGCAAAAGAGATCATGTGAGATCATGTGATCGGCATTTCTGTATGTGTGTGTGTGTGTGTGTGTGTGTGTGCGTGTGCTCACTGGTGTACGTGAACTTCCCAGGCACCTCGGTCTTCTTAGCCAGGTTGTTCATTCTCCAGCAAGAGCCGTCAGAGCTGCAAAGCAAACCACAGGAAACGTGACGAACACCGTGCGGGAGTCTTTGACCTTTTGACCTTTCCCGCTTCCTCCCCTCCGCGCTCACTTGAGACTGGCGTAGGAAATGTCCAGGTCCCCATCAGCGGTCGGGGTCAACATGGCGGCGCCCATCTTCATGCTGGCTCTGCGGTTCACAAACCACTGGGCGTTGGTGGCGAATCCGATCAAGTACCACTTCCCCGCCACCTGTGGTCGCACAACCAGGCGAACGTTAGCAGCCTCTGGAGGAACGCTCGCTTGTCACGGCACGTTGGCACATTCAGCTTCGGCCGTACTTTCGCGTTGATCATCCGTCACTACAGAGACTTTCATATTTGTATGTAACGACAGCATCGGGGAAGCTGCCTCCTCGTTATTCCTGTTAAACGTCGCCTTGCTTATAGCAAAACATACGTACTCAACCACACAGCTGTGACGTGCAACAGTCCAGGTTGCACACTAGTTTACAACATCTGCCCAAGTTACATTCACCATCTCTCACTTATTTTTACATAAATCATGTGCATGCAATTTTGATCGATGGCCCCAAAGTCGCGTGTCTTACCTCCTGCAGGTTAAAGTCGGCCTGCGGAAAGACCTCAGAAGAGACCGCGAGGCAGCAGAGCAGAGCTCCCACCAGTGTGGGCAGGAAAGTCATCTCCGCTGGAGGAGAGTGTGGGCCGAGAGCTGTTGCCGAAGTTCTGCTGACGACCCTTTATATAGTGGAGAGTGAGAGTAGCTTTTTCCCCTCCCATGCAGCACGAGCACGCGCGCACACACAGACACACACTCACAGAAACCCCAGAGCTGTGATGCGTTCAAACAAGTGAAGCTCGTGAAGGCAGCTGCCTCTTCCATCGACCTGTGGAACACGTGGACGGCCTGCAGCAGAAACTTCAGAACCTGAAGAGGAGTTGGCCTCGAGGTGCCGTCTCGTCCGTCTCGTTTCTGCCTCGGGCATTGTTTTGATGATGCAAATTCCATTTTTGCAGCCTCACGTTTGTGAGCATCAGCTGTAATAACATAGAAAACCAAAAAGCCTTGCACAAAGAGGCGGCTGCCTTCTGGTGCTTTCCCTGGCCGAGACCACAGAATCAAATTCGCCGGTCAGCAGTTGGGACAGTAAAAACACGGAGAGGACACAAACGCCCTGGCAGATGAGTTTCCTAATCATTCATCACCATGGGGAGAATTCAAACGCGTTCCCCCACCGATGACCTGAACAAAACTCATGACTTGTTGTGTCCGCATGCGGCTCCCTCGCAGAAAAACAAAGAAACTCTCTCATATTGAATTTTAAGGATAAACAAGGCCAGTTTTTGTAGCTGTTTTGGTGCGTTTGATCATATCACACAATCTTCCATCAAAGGCACCAAAATAAAGCTGCAACTGCTGCTTCCAGCATCAATTATCAACTTCCAAAACTCTACCGTTAAAAGAGCAAACTCAACGTGCAGGTAAAAATAATATGGTGATCCAAAGCACCTAAATGGACCTTGAAACAAGGCAGTAAAATCAGCTGCTATCTTTCTGATAAGAAGTGTATCAGAAGTGTATCATGAAAAAGGTGATTCTGAATAATATTTACATGTACTTTTGATTCTTGTGCTTTGTTGAAGATCTTTTCGATACGTTGTGTGTCTTACTGTGACTTTTGTGTGAACTCTGCAGGGTTTGTCCTCGCTGCAAACACAAATCCAGTGGTGATGATGTGGAGATTTATTTTGTGCGATGTGCAGGCCGACACACGCTGCGATACGGAGAGTCTTCCTGCATACCATGCCAGTTTAAACAGGCGTGCCTTCCCCGAGAAAACAAATAAAAGTAAAGCTGCGAGCAGCGATGAACGGGCGTTTGCCTCCCCTTGCATGTCGGGGGCATCAGTCAGCCGGACACTGGGGCCTTGGGCCTGGGGCATGGAACCTGAGGCCTGGGGCAATGGACCTCGGACCTTGGGCATGAGACATGGGGTGATGAACCTGGGGCATAGAACCTGAGGCCTGGGGCAATGGACCTGGGCATTGGGGCATGGGACCCGGGTCCTGGGGCATGGAACCTGGGGCCTGGGTCGATGGACTTGGGACCTGGGGCATGGGTCATGGGGCATGGTCCAATATATTTGGGGCTTGGGGCAAGGGACCTGGAGCCTGGGGCATGGAACCTGAGTCCTGGGGCAATGGACTTGGGGCATGGGGCGTGGTGCAATAGAACTGGGGCTTGGGGCAAGGGACCTGGGGCGTGGGGCAATGGACCTGGGGCATGGAACCTGGGGCAATTGGCCAATGGACCTGGGGCTTAGGGCATGAGACCTGGGGGAATGGACCTGGGGCCTGGGGAATGGATCTTGAGGCCTGGGTCAATGGACCTGGGGCTTGGGGCGTGGGGCAATGTACTTAGGGCGTGGGGCATGGGGCATGGGGCGTGGTGCAATAGAACTGGGGCTTGGGGCAAGGGACCTGGAGCCTGGGGCATGGAACCTGGGGCCTGGGGAATGGATCTTGAGGCCTGGGTCAATGGACCTGGGGCTTGGGGCATGGGGCAATGTACTTAGGGTGTGGGGCATGGGGCATGTGGCGTGGGGCAATGGACCTGGGGCCTGGGCAATGGACCTGGCCTCTGGGGAATGGATCCTGAGGCCTGGGGCATGGGGCAATGTACTTAGGGCGTAGGGCATGGGGCATGTGGCGTGGGGCAATGGACCTGGGGCCTGGGGCCCGGGCAAAAAATAAAATAAGGCAAAAATAATACAAAAGAAACAAAGAGTCCATTTACTATAAACTGTACCAGATTTTTAAAACTATTTTAAATTTAAAAATGAACATAATATGTATGTAATGATCCTACAATAGCCTCAAACTGACTCCCAACACAACTGTAGTGAGAGCTTTGCTTGTTTTTGACGTTGGTGTGGTATCGCCAGCTGCTGTCTGACTTGGAGTGGAGTCCAGTGTGATAAAGTAGGTGTGAGGGCCTCTTCTGCACTCAGCAGCTCATGTTACCTCGGTCTGGGGCGGGGCGGAGCGAGCAGACGGGTAATAGTGTGATAATGAGTTCACGCTGTGAGACATCGTTCAGTTATTACAACGTGGGAATACCACACATTATTCATAAATCGTCACTAACTGACAGTGAGGATGGTGGCTTGTTATTTCCCCATTCAGCTGTCGGAAACGGGTTCTCCCACTTGGTTGTTTGTATTTACTCCCTGAATGAAATTGAACTCAACTTTATTCTTGGAATTCTTGCCTCAGCAGTCAGAAAATTGAGAATTTTCTCCCACATCATCTGACATTCCATTCATAATGTTTTGACTCCCTCAACTACAAAGAAAAGTACACATCGTCACAGAGGAAATATGACCGCAGATTTCTTTAACGGCACATTGCCCAAATCCGTCACAGTCCATATCTGCTTCAAGCATACCTCACATATCAGACACACATCTCACACATGAGAGTACATACTGTACAGAAAAACAAGATGAGAATATCAGAAATTCACTTAAAGATTAGAACCAGGACACGGAAATAAGGAACAGCAACGAGGAATAAAGGGCTTGGTTTAAGTAACGTCAAGCGTTTATTAACGTTCTCAATCTGTTGTTTAGATAGAAAGGAGCCAAAAGACATTAGATGCGTTGTTTTCTTCTTTATAGTCCTTCTTTGGGACATCGTAGTTTCACTGCTGCATCATTTTCTGACTGTGATAAGTTGCGAGGAAACTGCAGCACTTCATTCAGATTCCTATTGGCTTGTTACATATTGTCCCAGTGAGGAGCGGCCGTGGTCGAGGGAGGTAAAAGGAGAGGCAGCTTCCTCTTAAAATGCTTAGACCGGCCTGCAGATGTCCTCAGACCGTACTCCCGCCTCAATGTTATGAGCTGATAAACTCAGGGATTTAAAAAAAGAGACACGGGTTTGAACTTAATTGATTAATTGATAACTATCTGTTATCAATCAAGCCAATTAAGTCATGGAGTGAAGAGATCACATACTTCTGTTTGCTGTTTATTGAGCTATACAAGAGAAAATAATTACTTATACACATGAAATGTTAGAAGTTATGGACAGTGGCCATCATCTTAATATACATTAATTGTATAGGAACGTGATCATTTACAGGAACAAACCTTGCAGGTCTTAATATGTGTAGGTCAGCACAGGCTAAAAGGAGAACTACTGGCAACAGACAGCAGTGGAGAGCAAGCATTACATTAGAAAAAAAAATCAATAACTCTGAACAAAGCAGAGAAGAATATGAAGTTCTTCTTCATCAGTTATGACTCACAGGGGTCAGATGCATCGCTCCATCCGTCTGTGCCACATTTGCGTGTCTGTTTTGTGTCATCTAATGCTGAATAAACAGGTTTCACCAAAGTGCTGGGGGGAATTTTAATCAGGAGAGACTTCTGAATATTTAACAATGATGCATTAAACATGCATAAACGTTTAATGTGCAAAGTTCTCCATCCAGCCGTAGGACAGACCAGGGGCCTGAGATGCTGCTGAGATGAGGCATCATGTGCTTCCCCTGTTTGGAGGTGTCGGGGGGGGGTGTGGGGGGGGGTCGGTTGCCTTTGTGCTTGCTGAAATGACGTCTGACAGCAACAGAAAGGAGAACAGCTCTTAACGTTAGGCAGCAACGATGCGATTGGCATACGGAAACGGTGCCCTCGTTTGGTTGGCTGGTGCTCAACGAGCCCGCCCCCAATCAGCTGATGGCGCACCCAGAGGGAGACAGGAGGCCCCTGGGAAAGGCACCGGCTTCTCCAGCCTTCCTGACTGAATTTAGGCCACGCTTCATTTCTCTCTGCTTGACTCAGACGATCTTCAGGGGGGCCTCCAAAGAAGGTACCTGAGATACCGGAGCCAAGAGCTTGCTGCTGTTCTTCTATTGGTTAATCGGCACACGGTTCCTTTAATAAATTGTGCGACAACTTTGAAAACAATCATGAATTAGTAGACTCCATGTAGGCTGCATCAGCACCGTGGAGTCGAAATTGTGTTTTCAGTTTGGTATAAAGAGGCTTGAATGGAAAAAGCAAGACATGAGCTGATCATTTCTAAGCAATGCCCCGGATGTCGTTCTTCATGCTGTTCAAACAGTCCGTTGTCAGGATGTGAGCACAGAGTACAGAGGCAAGCTACACTAAGTCAGGGAGGCTGGAGCGAGGAGCAACCGAGGCGTCCGTCATGGTGAGAAACTCAACCCAGTTGTGATAGAAGCCGCGTGAAAACTCCCCCGTGTCGACGGCGAGTCCCCACAGGCGCCTGCGGCCCGTTTTGTTCCTCAGAGCCAGCTGGGCCTCCCGCTCCGTCACGTTGAAGCTGATGTTCGCGACCTGCACCACCAACAGGTAAATGAGTCCACACGTGACGATGCTGCTGTACCAAGCACAAGTGAAGCAAAGGGCCATGCTGTGGGAATAAAGATAACCAAGACGTGTAATAAGAGACAAGAGAACGGAAAATAAAACCCAATCCAGATGGGCGTATATGCTGCAAATCTATATTACCTGGACTGACTGTAGACGCCGGGGCAGTAGAGGAGAGCCGTCATCAGATGCTGCCGAGGACAGAGGCTGCGGAGCACCACGCTGATGCCGTACAGCGAGGTGGACAGGAACACACACAGGGTCAGCAGGAAACTGCGATGGTTCGCCTGTCCAACACAGCTGTTTATCCTAAAGCACCTCAGCACACACAGACGTGATACAGAGACACAACACAACAATCCAGTTCAGAGACTGAAGCAGCAGCAACGATGCCTGATCCAGGGCGATTTACACTGTGTGTAAAATGATGCAAAAGCAAGGTTTTAAAGCTTACACGTGAAAGACTTTCGCATTATTCCCGGTCGTATTAAAGAAGCTGTTTAGCTCTCTATTCAGGGGTGGCCTCGTTCTCCTGGTAGCTCGGAAATGGTGCGTCTTTGGGGGCTTGGACCCTAGTGTAAGTGCTGACAGGTCTAGTTTAAGTCTATAATTGAAAAGGTTCTCCACCGTCTCTGGATTTTCTCTTGAATAGCCGGGATATTGTTTCTGCAAAGTGCTTAAATGTCAGTATTGAGTGCTTTGGGCACCTCAGTCGATCATCCACGTCCATAGAACGGACTCTGTGAAATAGTGCAGCTGAATTTGCTGATGGTTGTGTAATCAGATGGTCTAATCTATTATTTCAACCCGCCGTAGTTTCTCTGCCCTCTGCTCAGAAAACAGGAGAAAAGTTGAGCTTTTGCTGATGATGTAATTCCTGTTGTGCGGAAACACGGCAGTTACATAATCAACCTTCCATTTTCATGATCACGCTCTGCTGTGGATAAGAAGTATAAATAACTTCAAAGTTGATTCACCGGCCCGGCGCAAGAACTATAAATACACATGTTATTTCGGACCCACCAGATGCAGTGGTGGTCCAGGCGCTGGACACATGACCCGCAGGTTCGGCAGTGTCCGGCCCGCGGGGGGCGCGTTATTTTGCACACAGGACAGGTGCTCCATTTTGCCGCCAGGGCCTCTTCAGCTGAGGACGCTGCCGACGGGATGGACCCGTGAGCGCGCGTGGGTGTCTCGCCGGCCTCCTGGCGACGACCCTGCGCTCCCTGCAGCTCGGCGCTCACCAGGCCCGGGCCTCTCTTGGTGTGGACGAGGCACCCTACGGTGAGGATCACCCCTGCGGTCACGGCGCACTGCTGCGGCCGGCCGACGTCCCCGCGGGGTAGAATCTCTGCCACGAAGAGGTAGTACATGTAGAACAGGGAGAAGAGAGCCAGGGTGAGGAAGAAGAGGGTGCGCGTCTTCTTTCGGTGCGTGGCGTAGTAGTACCACAGCACCAGGCCGGGCAGAGCCGTCAGGATGAGGACGCCCAGCAGGTAGTGCAGCGCCGCCACCCGCAGCAGGAGAGGCAGCAGCACCAGGACGGGGATCATGGAGATCTCCAGTTTGTCAGTGATGGCGCCGCGAAAGGGAGGCCCACATCCGCCTTCACGGGGTCTTTCTCTCAGCCACCTGTAGAGGATGGAGGTCATCGAGTTGCTTCTTTTCAGAGATGGATTTATTATTTGTTCTTGGGCTTGTGCTGATACATTTTTTGAATGCACTCTAGCATCCAATTATCATGCTGCTTTCACATAATAAGTAGTAAGGGAGCTGCTCTTTCAAACTTAAGATTGACATTGTTGCTGTAATAGCAGAGAGAGTTCGTATTGGACGCCATTTTTATCGCGTAGCCGAAGGTGTTACTTTGAAATAGATACTGAACTTCTCTTGGCTTATTTTACTTTCTAGTTCAGCACTTTTTCTCCGGTCCTTCATACCTGTTGAAGGCTCCATCCAGATCCTCGCAGTCACAGCAACATCCGTACTGGTCGATGTCACACTCACAGCAACACATCGGATCGTCCGGCTCTGGAGGCCTTAACTTCTCCCATTTCATGATGACGTTTATAAGCTGTCATTTCAACACAAAGGGCCATCAATTTACACGCAGGGCTGTTAGGGGATGAACAACAAAACATTGGTGAAGAGAACGATTAAATAATGAACAACTACGACAAATCCTCATCGTTTTTTTTTATTGATTTCTGTAGTTTGTTATAATCTGCGGTTTGTATCCAAACACACACACGCCTCAAAATGCCGTATTACACAGGCCACAGGGACTCTTACTGGACTCTGTTTCCTCCTACAAGATCTTCTGTTTGTTATAGGAATGAATGATGTCCAAAATCAGAGGCGTCTCAGTTCCCAAGAGCTTCCAATGTAATTTGTTGAAACAAGGCCACAGCGTCCACAGAGACAAACTATCTGGGTCGGTTCTCAACACTCAGAGACGTTCTCGAGTTGTTGTCCATGTGAGGAATTATTTTATTTTGTCATACAGAGCTTGATCCAAATCTACACAGAAATAAGCAGAATATGTATTAAGAATAGAAAGACAATTCATATATTTCAGTCAAGGCTTTTTTTTGTTCACCTTATCTCAATTTCCTAAAATAACTGCATACTATTTAGTATTGATGACCACAATAACTTGCACTTGGCACAATTAAATCTTTTCTCCCTTAACTTACCTTAAGCGTCCTCAAGAAAACCACAAAACCATCAACACGTGTGAGCTGTAAAGTCAGATTCACGCTCCACGTGAAAGTTATGGGATCTTCAGCGAAGGATTGATGATAAAAGACGACTCTTTGTCACTCAGCTCCGTCTGCAAATGACTGCGGAGGAAAAATGCAGCCTACTTTCTCCTCATCTGTCTTGAATTGGCATGTTTCCCCCGGGAGGCCTTTTCATTTCTTTGGATTCCCCCGGTGGAAATGTCCCAACGGACGGCAACCTGGACTCCTCCTGGGGCGAGCTCGCTATCTCCCCCGGATGTCATCGGACAGCTTCCATCAGTTCTGCTCTTTGAAGTGTGAGCACATGGCTTGGTAAATATAGGTGGCACCTCAACCGATGGGGGGTGGGGGGGGGGGCAGAACGCCAGGAGCCCGTCACGCCTCTCCCCACGAGCCGGACCGCGGCGTGCAGGAGAGAACATGACAGGCACTCGTAGATGAGAGAAGCGAGAGCGAGGATCCAGAGGGCAGCCGCACCCTCTGGGATCACATTTCCTCCCACTATAGCAACCCGACCGAGACGCCGTGTGTGTGTGTGTGTGTGTGTGTGTGATCAAAGGGATGTATTTAGATTACACTCTCTGTGTGATATTCGTGACATCATTACAACGGTGACAACGCGACAAGCCGTCTCTGCGGGGAAGCTGCCCCCCTGCAGAGGGGGGGTCAACCTTGTACACCGCTGCTACATTACATCAGTGAACAGTTGACCTGTGAAAAATCTAAAACAATGCAGCTTTTTCAAAGTGATCCGTCAGAAGTGACGGCTCAGAGAATTATGGGAAAGCACACTGGTCAATAATTACATGGAGAATTGTTTAACCTCCAGTTCAGTTAATATTACACACACACACACTTCCTGCTGATTACGCGTTACTAAGAACAAAGAGAGAGATGCAGGTCCTTCGTAAACCACTGGCAAAAGGATCCTGAGACGTCTCTTACCGCGCGAGTCTGAATCAATGCAGGAAAGAAGCGATGTTGCACTCGCGGGTTTATGCGTCCATTAGTCTTGATGGAGGCCGGAACCCGAGACAGCGACTGTAATCTGTTTTGGAGGAATTAATGGCGGGAGCGAGGGTGAACTAAGAGCACGTGCTGGAGATAACACACCGGCTAATGTTTCTTTATATCCTCCACTTGCGTTTTCCCAGTTGAAGCCCTTCACAGTCATCTCTTCCTTTGAGTCACTGGGTCCAAACACCCTGGAACAGCTGCCAGCGTCCAAGCAGTTGGGATTACATCATGTTTATTTGTTTGATTACATCATGTTTATTTGTTTTGATTATCAAGTGGACAATACTTAGTATCACAGGGTTTCATCCCTATCCTGCTGTAGTGTTCACTTTACTCTAAATAGGACCGTATTTAACGAGATAAACGCCATGCTGTATTAAAGAAGACTAAAGCCAGCGATCGAGACCAAACAGCCACGTTGACAGTGTTCACTGAGCTGAATGTGAAGAATTCACATTCAATTTCTCAGTTGCTGTTGATCCATTTTTTGGGCTCAACCACCTCCAGTTCTGCTGAGGCAGAAAAGTGGATTTTTTAAAAGTTTAGATTTGATTATTTGATTTAGTTAAGAATATTAAAAATGTTGATAAAACATATAGAGATGCTTAAAATAAATCGTAACACCCATCAAGTTTAAAACTATGTGACACAGTAAAACACTCTGGTACACCATGTACTCGACCTTCATACACGAGTCTGTGCAGTGTGTCAAAGGTCGTCTCCTCACTTCTTTAAAGCTCTTGAACACACATTAATTCCTGACTGTCTCCTTGCAGCATTCGCCCAACGCGTGAGCGCCACCTGGAGGTCGGAGTCTTCCACTGAACATCGGTGTGCTCATCAGTTTCAAAGCTAAAAGTAAACATTTGTACGTCTCTGTCAGTTAAAGAAGTGCAAATACATTTGGTTGAAAGACTACTATTTTAACTAAATGTATTTGTACTCTGTTCTATGCAGCAGCCAATCAGCAGAGTGGCGTTTAATTTACACAGTAAAGAACATTCTGGAGACCAGAGTGACTCTACAGTGAATCTTACAGTAACAACAGACCTCACTAGTTTGTTTTTAAACATTTATTTCAGGAGACACCAACGTATCACAAATATAATAGAGAGACATCTGATACAACACAAATCTAACAGACTCATTCATCCACACGTTTGCAAATAAAAGTATCTTGTCCACAACATTGATATCACACTTAAGAGGTAAGAGGTGGACGAATGCCTTTAACCCCCCTCCCCCTCCCCCCCCACCCGATATGCAGTGCATCTGTCCCTTTGCCTTTGTGTAGGATTGGTATTATACTCTTAAATATATTGATCACTTTCACATCTGGGGAAAAAAAAGAAACATCCCTGTCCACTCTTTGAAGCAGCCATTGTTTAAGTGCAACACCTGATGGGTGGCCCCTGATTTTAACCACATGTGGTCGCGCCGCTACACGCACGCCGCTACACGCACGCCGCTACACGCAAGCCGCTACACGCAAGCCGCTACACGCAAGCCGCTAACCGTAGTCTCACGTCGAGGATTCCATTACTGCATTTTTGAAGTAGTCAAAAAATCAACAAAAACGGAAAAATTGTGCCAGGAATGTTTTTAGGGGACGTAAACAACAAGGAATAAAAGGGAGTTGACATTAAGAACACGGGCCATTCAATCCGCACTATGTTGCACTGCACTGGTGGGGGGGGGGGGTCGTCGGATACTTGGGAGCGGAACCGACGGCTCGGCGATTCACTCCTCCAGGGTCCTGAAGGCGTTCTGCATGTCCTCCAGCAGCTGGGCGAATTCGGCTTTGATCTTCACTTCGCCGTCCTTAACGGGGTCCTAAAGAGTCCGTTGGGCACAAGTTATTCGTCTCGGCGGATAAACGCTCGTCACAGACGTGTAGAAACGTATGAATGTAAACAGCGAGATGGGGAGCGGTCGTACCTTGAACTTCATGGAGCTGATTTTGTACAGCATCTCTCCCATGTGCTCCTTGATCATCGCCCAGGTGATTTTGTTGTCGCTCTGTGACGTGGACTCCACCGCGTGTCGGGCCATGTCGTAAAAAGAGATCATGTTTGAGAGGATGCCGACCGTCTTGTAGAAGGGGCAGAACCTGCATGCAGGGAGGAGAGAACGTGTGAAGCCTACGGGCCGTCTGGGAGGGATAATACATTTTATCCATGTTTCAATGGAAATCCCTTAAAACACACATTCATTCCAAAGCTGTGTAGTTTCTGTATCTGACGACTATATTTTCTCATGTCCCCGAACTGCCTGTAGGGGACGTAAACAGTGCTTATTTCTTTCTCTTGGTAGATGCTTTGTGATGGACAAAAGGTTCCGTCTTCACCTGTCGTAGGGGGTGTAACCGTTCTGCTGCAGGAAGTCATCCTTAATGAGCTTTGCAACTTCTAGAGTGATCTTATCGGTCTCGGCCAGAGACGCCTGTGAGCGAAACAAGAGCAGAGGAAGAGGATCGGTCACATGCATTCTTTCAGAGTCGTTGATTAACCAGCTTTAGCATGCACCATTAACTAGAGCTCTACAGAACCCACATTTCACTACTAAACGCAGCAAGAAACTGGCAGTAGAAATGGTGTTCATTTGGAGAAAAGACTAGAAATGATTTTCGGGTGGTAACCATGTTAAATTATCTTGAACCTCACCTTGCCTACAAGCTGCACAATCTCAGCCAGGTCCTCCTCCTCCTGGAGAATCTCTTTGGCTTTTGTACGCAGAGGAACAAACTCAGGGAAATGTTTGTCATAATATTCATCCAGAGCTCGTGTGTACTTGCTGTAGCTAATCAGCCAGTTTACTGAAGGGAAGTGCTTTCTCTGAGCCAGCTTCTTGTCCAATCCCCAGAACACCTTCAAAAAGAGAAAAGAAGATTGACGCACGGCAAGAATGAAAAAGGATATATATATATATATATTGACCGCAAGATTAAATATAAGGAATCCAGAGCTGAAGAGGAAATACTCCTTGCTCACCTGAACAATGCCTAATGTGGCTGAGGTGACAGGGTCAGAGAAATCTCCACCAGGGGGTGACACACTAACACGGATACACAGTAAAAGAAGAGTCAGTATAATAATTGATATTTCACCTTGCGAGCATAGGTTTGTTTTTGTTACCCCCCCAAAAAAGGAACTAAACTCACTTCATTGTGTCTGAGAGAAATAACTGCTGAGCAGGTAGAGCATAACATTTCTAACCCTCGTTCTTTTAACGCACCACAAGTTTGGATTTAAAATCGCATAACAGATACTTGGGAAACAAAATTTCCGCCGCTGGCGTTAAAGTCGACTCACGCTCCCACGATGCTGACGCTGCCTTCCCTCTCTGGATTTCCCAGGCACTTCACACGTCCGGCGCGCTCGTAGAAGGAGGCGAGCCTGGCACCGAGGTAAGCAGGATACCCGCTGTCTGCACAAACACACACACACACACACACACACTCAAGGTCTCACGCCGTCCCCATACCAATGCATCAAATCGATTGCATCCATTGTGAACTTACCAGCGGGCATTTCGGCCAATCTTCCGGAGATTTCTCTCAGAGCTTCGGCCCATCGAGACGTCGAGTCGGCCATCATGCTCACATGATAGCCCATATCTCTGAAGTATTCGGACAGCGTGATCCCTGCAGGGCGACAGTAGGTGGAGAGAGGCATCAGCTTACGGAGTCGGGCCGCTTGTCCGCTCGGTCCGTTCTCGGGATGCAAATCTCAGGCTAATCACTTGCACTCAAGCTCAAACAACGAGACTGTTCTCTAAAAGCGCGAAGGGTTGGTACCTGTGTAGATGGAGGCCTCTCTGGCAGCCACAGGCATGTTGGATGTATTTGCAACCAGCGCGGTTCTCTTCATGATGCTCTCGGTCTTTCCATCAACCTCCATAGTAAGCTGTTGGGCGAGAGCAGTGTCGCATTAACTCATTTTTTTCTATATCTAAAATTGTTATAATGTATCTTTACTGTATTCGTATTTAAAAAGTAAATAAAAAAACACATGTATGGCAAATATCTTTACCTCGGGGAAGTCCCGCAGCACTTCAGACATTTCATTTCCACGCTCTCCGCAGCCCACGTAGACAATGACGTCGCTGTTGGAATACTTGGACAGCGACTGCGAGATCACCGTCTTCCCGCAGCCGAAGGCGCCGGGTATGGCGGTGGTGCCGCCCTGCACGCATCTGTACGGCACAAAGGTCACGCGGTTTCATGTGAGGCCAACGGATTTTACATCTAAATAATATAAGTAGTTCCACATGTGTGAAAACTCATTTTTTATAAAAGATTAAAATGGAGGCTAAAGACGCTCCAATTGGACCACTCACGGGAAAAGTGCGTCCAGAACTCTCTGACCCGTCAACAGCGGATGGTTGGCAGGTAGCTTCTCAGTGACTGGGCGAATCTGTCGCACCGGCCAGACCTGCATCATGGTGAACTTCTCCTTCACGCTTTCAAACTCCAGCTCCAGAACCACGTCCTGAACGCGGCGAGATTATAAAATTAGTCCCACAAAAACTGGACCTGTTTTTTTTTTGTACCTGGACAAACACTCACAGAAATGTCGTAGTTTCCCGGTGGGGCCAGGTAGGTGACGGTGCCTCGGTTGCGCGGTGGAAGCATCAGCTTGTGCTTTATGAGAGAGTTTTCGAACACCATGCCGTAGATATCGCCACCTGTCACGTGACTGCCGACCTGGAGAGGAGAACACGGGCAATTAAGTCGGAATTTCTCCAAAAAGGACGGACACCTCACTCGGACTATTTTTCTCACCCGAAGACTCTGCCCGGGGTTGAATTCCCATTTCAGGTCTCTGTTAAGAGCCCCGATGTTTACTCCCCTTGGGATATAGATGCTCTGAGTGAGGTCATTGATGTCCTTCAGCGGACGCTGGATGCCGTCAAAGATGGAGCCCATGATTCCCGGCCCGAGCTCCACAGAGAGGGGTTTCCCCGTCCGGAGGACAGGGTCACCGACGGACACACCGGCTGTGGCATCAGGTTAAGGTAAACTCACACTGTGTGAAGTGGCTCTAAAATGTGTCTCTCGTAACGTTCATTATGTCCGTCTAGGTTCGGAGTAGCTCATGGTCGTGATTTGTTCACACGCTGGTAGGTCACGTGGCGGCGGAAAAGGATACAAGTCTCCTCGTAGACCTGGATCGTTGCCATGTCTCCCTCTAAACGGATGATTTCTCCCACCAGCTCACTGTGTCCCACGCGAACCAGCTCGTACATGGCTGCTCCCGCCATCGCCGTCGCCGTCACCACTGTCAGAGAAACGTATCCGTTATAAGATGCATATTGTAGAAAAAAGAACCACAGGTCGGTATTTCAAAATATGCTGTTCACCTGCTGCTGAAATGTACTGTCATTTAAAAAAATGAAATCCTACAATGAACGAATTGTATTTCTATATATCGATTTAAAATAAAAAGGGCAACAAAGCAGACCTGGTCCAGAAACTCCATGTACGTATCCGAACTCGCTTTCTCGCTCCTCGTCCTGGATCTTGGGAAGGTTTGAGGTATCCATCTTGATAGTTTATGTCCTGAAAAAAGAAAACAGAAAAGAGGAACTAGAATGAGACACGGATACTCAATGCCAATTCAAACGGAATGAACTCAGCAGACACATCTTTAAACGCGCTGCTGCGTCTCACCCAAGACAACAATAACAAGGTTATTTACTGTGCAGAGAAGTCAGGCTACTTTTAACCTAAATTTGATTAAATTCAAGATGACAGTTGTTTATCCAGGCCTGACAGATCCGCAGCGCGGTGCGCCACAAAATGAAAAAAAGCACCAAGTCAGCGGAAGGTCAAACGTTAACCCCGTTGAGTCATTTCTCTTTGGGTTAGAGACAAGCTTACGTTTGTCCCCGCGGTCCACGGCCGAGGACGTGCTAGCTAGACAGAACGCGTCGCGACGGGTTGTTTTCAGACACGTTAACGTTCAGGGCAAAGCTGATTAGGTGTGTGCGTGTGTGTGTGTGCGCGCGCGCTCCGGGCTCCTAGCTTAGCAAACACAAGCTATCCTCCTCCTCCTCGTCATCATCACCACGTAAAGGTTACGCTGAGCCGACGATAACTCGCGTGACACTCGGTCCAAGAAGAGCAGAAGACGTCGGACTGTGTTAACCGCTTATATGACACAGTTACTCGACGTGTCTTACCGTGTGTTAATTTGTAATGTTGGTGCTCCAGGATTGACTGTAACGTAGCAGGCTGAGGCGGGATGGGGGAGCTTCGCTGTGTTAATCACCTGCCAGGCACCGGACTGTCACGGGAAGAAAACATTCTCCATTGTGGCTCCGCCGGTTTCCCCTGAACTCGCTCTGCTGGATGACGACGGAGCCAAAATGGCGTCTGACACGCAACAGTTACCCGAAGATAAGTTCCGCCTTTCTAAACCCCACACTGGGCGCGTTACTGACCTCTGCTGGATGCCAATGAACGATTCATAAATAAAACAACAACAACATGTTTGCAAATCCATCCTTATTTCCGCTAGTTTTGTTTTTTTCACCGACCTAATAGCCGCACACGCTATAACTACATTATAACATGTAATAACAGCAGAGCACATGGTGATTTATACTTGTATTCAATCATTGAGCACATCTCTGTTGGGATCTTTAGCAATAAACTGTGTTTTTAACATATTGAAAAATTCACCAACAGCTAATATGAGACAATAAAAGTCAGATGCCGATTGGCGTCTCAAGAAATGCCTGCCATGTTCACACTCATGCGGTTAATCTTCATCTCAATTCAACTTTCATCTCAATTCAACTTTATTTTAGACACATACTCATATTACAAAAATACCAAAGCTCCCGCATAATAATTCAAACACTATGATTCCGTATACTATCCAGGTTAAACTGTAAATACAGCCCCTACAGAATCATTGTGCCTGGAACGACAGTTTAAGTTAAATTAGAGGAAGATGAGGGAGAAGAAGAAAATGGTAAATGAAGAGATAATCGCAACATGATTTTCTGGCTAATAGTTAAGCTTTTTAATGATATGTTAACATATCCAAAGAAACATCACAATAAATAATGATTTAATGGCAGAACAAAACTATTCAGACCGGTCATGAGACCCTACTACACATAAAGTGGGTAGTGGAATGGTCACAGATTGAGGTAGCAATTAAAAATCGTTGTGTGGAATTACCTGTCAAACATTCACTTAGTTTAGGGAAGGGAACATTTGGTCCTAAATATGATCACAGATGTGTGGTTTCATAAAGTGATGAAACTACATACTAAAGACCATGAAAGTTGTACTTCATATACTTCATAGTAGGTATTTTCCATAATAGACATTTTGAATTGTCAAAGTAGAAAAAGTACAGGTGCTACTTATAAATTCATTGATGGCTGTGTTTCTGTTCAGGAAAGTGTGACAGTGTGACAAAGAGCCAATGGCAGGATCTTGAAACCGAAGCACCGTAATGGAATTTCAGCCAATCATTTTATTATTTATACGTTGGCTTCGCCTACTGTAACGTCAGAATTTTTAAGTGAAAAAGGCCTAGAACTGGTTTGGGGTCTACTGCATATTTCATCACTGTGTACGGAGTGTTCAAGGTGTCAGTTTACTAGGCGACGACTTTTTACTAGAATGCACAGTTCAGATTGGCCAAATGAGAAAAACATAAGATGTGACACACTTGCTATGTGGATTCCACTAGGTGGAGCCCACCAGAGGGATTTACAGTTTTTCTCTTGTGTGCACTGGAGATCCCGCTGAAGAGTTTTAGTGGCCATCAGTCCGACCACTCGTTCTCCTCCAGCTCGGAGTCCTCATCGGAGTCGGTGAACTCCACCGCGATGCGCCGGGACAGGATGGTGGCCACGTCGTTCCCCACCGGCTTGTTCTGCTGCTCCTGCTGCTCCTGCACCTTCTTCAGCTGGATGCCTGAGGAGGGCACAGCGAGGCCACATGTTGATCGCCTGTCACCATACGGGTCACGCGCACGTGTCCGATGACAAGAGCCCAAACCGCGCCCAACTCACCCATGCGGATGGCGTACAGCAGGTCGCTCCTCCCGTCCCGCGCGGCTTTAGCCTCGCCTGTTCGGCCTCCGCCGTGTCCTGCAGGGTGTGAGGACGCGGCGGGGGGAGGGAGGGGCGGAGGTGGAGGGAACATGTGCGACCCGGGAGGAGGCACAGGTGGGAGCGGGCAGCCCGGGCCTACGTGCAGGACTCCGTTATGGGATGCCGCCCCCGGTGGGAAACCAAAGGCCGTCTGCGCTGAGGGGATGGGTGGGCCCGGGGCGGAAGACGGGGGAGAGCTGGTTCGACAATGAAAGAAAGAGGATTACGTTTGCGGTGGAAAAGAGAGATATTATCTCTAATTCCTTCTCTCATTATGTAACAAAAACCTACTGGTAATCCGCAGGTGGGCGCGTTGGAGCGCTCGCTCGGCCTGCAGGCGGGGGCTCTGCTGCTGTGGCACAGGTCACTCTCCTATAGTCGAGATCGATGCTTTGGTATTCGTGCTCCACCGGTGGGGAGGGATGTGCGTAACCGCAGGACTTGGCGTGATTACGAGCAGCCTGGGCGGGCACTGGGGGGACGGGGTATCCCAGGAGGTCAGGCCTGGATAAAAAAAAATGTAAAAAAAGGAGAGGGCCTCACGCATCCAGATGGTGGATTTGTTGTTATGAAACAGAAATTCAAGCTATGCGCAAATGAGACATTTCTATTTGGGCCACAAGGTTATACTCATAATAGGATCTACCCCGCCTAGAAAAGTACATTTTATATTTCATTCCTCCTTTTTTTTGTCTTTGTCTCTGTGTTCGAGATTATGTTTTGATCACACAATTTCTGCATGTAGCATATTTTTATCTGTTATTGGGTCACTTGTGACCTTTCTTTAATATTTAAAACTGAACATTGACAGTGACGTAACGATAGAGAGATAAATAACATGTAACGTCAAGAGGAAAATTCATATTATATCCAACTATTTACAGTATCACTATTCAATATTTTTCACTTTGGACAGTCAATATAAAACAAAACATTTAATTTGTAAACATTTAATCAGTTTGTGACATTTCAAATGTCTGCATCTCTACTTCCGGTCACAAAATGAGCACGGACCTGCCGTCCGGTGAGAGCGAGCCCTCAGATGATGCTCCTCCGCGAAGACTCTGCGGATGGCGGCGGTCCGGACGAAGCTCTTTGTCGAGCGCCATCATGTTCCACTCCTGCCTGCGGTTTCGGGCCTTTCTCACCTTCTTGACTTCGCGCTGAAGGGTGCTGCTTTCCACGCATCTCTTTTGTTCCTGGGAAAGACGGACGAAAGGGTCGGGGGTAAAAAAAGAGATGGAAAACCCTCTCGCCAGATAGATGCACACGGACAAAGCAGTGGGTAAAGGTGAGCGCTCACCCTTTGCCTCCTCCTTTCTCTCCTCTTGTCCTCCGTGTCCTGAAGCATCTTCTCCTTCCACAGGTCGAAAAAGTACGACGGGTCTGAGTAGAACTTCATGGCGTCGGTGGAATCCTCCCTGATGTGTAAAAATGATAATGAGACGACTGAAAAATGCTCACTGATCAGATGCTGAGGGCTTTTAATGTTTTTTTTTTAGTGACGCCTGCGGCACCTGAAGGCGGTGAGGTCGCCGAGTGGAGGAGGCCGGTCGCTGCTGTCGTGCATCTGAGCCACCGAGCTCGGAGTGCTGCCTTTGGACAAAACCTGCTGGTCCTGGACGGGCGAGCTCCGGAAGGCCTTCCTCAGGTTGATCTCCTGCAGAGACACTGCGAGACAGGCGCTAGGAGTCAATCGCAACGCACGTGAGGATGAAAAACCAGTGATTTAATGGTCTGGACGACCTCCAGGGAACTGACCCTCCTCCACGCTGGAGTCAAGCTGGGTGACCTTGACGGCCAAGCGGTCTATGCGGTCCTGCAGCGAGTTGGCGCGCACGTAAAAGGTGTTGGCCTCGTTAAAAAGCTCCCCGAAAACATTTTCTGCATGGTTGCCTGCAAAAAAAAAAGGGGGCAGGGAACCATTAGTGGAGGTAGAGAAGCCGTTAATACACAGAGAGGTGTTTCAAACCAGAATAAGCACAGCGTATTGAACAAAAAGGACAATATGTCTTATGTTTGTATTATATATTATATTACTCTGGATTATAAACACTAGGTGTTTGGTCCCCATAGACGCAACAGCATTAACGGCACCCGTCAAACCGCTCTGATCCACTTATTGTGGCATCTATCATTAGGCTGCCTGTGTTTGTGCCTTCGCTCACTCTCTCTCCATCTTATCTGCCCTTACAAAGCCTCACGGTAAGCTGTAAGCTCCTTTAAGTCCAGGCAGACACATATACACGTATGTGCGCACGCACGCACACACACACACACACACACCAGAGCATTAATGAGCCAGATGTCCAGGAGTAAATTCGCTTCCCAAAATTGTGTTTCCCTTTCACATTTGACTTCAGTGCGCACACAGTAGCACTTAAAACACAGGTGAATGATTGTATAGACATCGTCCTTTATGATTTACAAATCAAACCCTCTCTGCTTCTGTACTATTGGGCTGATTTGAATGTAGGTTATACAGTAGATGTCGGAATTGTCTAGTGTTGGATAATAATGTACGTGCACTTAAACAGATGATACATTATTTGTGTTTAATGTTTTTTAAGTTAAACATCTTGTGTTCTTTATAGTTTCCCCTTCTGTGATTCACGTTAAAGAAGCATCTGAACGTGCCGCGGTACAAACTAAACACGAGTAACTGTGATCTTACTCAGACTACTGAGCTGGCGAATGATAGCGGACAGCGTGTTGTTGGTGACACATTCCAGCTCGCTGCCGATCCCATCAGGCACCGCACCTTGGCACAGGTGCCGAGGCTGAATGTTTCTCTTGAGCAAAGGCATGACCTCCTCTCACATCTCGTCCACAGCACCTGCTGGGGGACAGAGGACGGCTCGTTGTACGTCAACACCATAAGCATGAAGCTATACGTCAAGTGGGTCAAACAAGGTGTGTAAGTGCGTTCATGTTATTAAACTGAGCGATGACACGTTGAATCCAGGTTACTGATACAGGATCTTTGATGCTTTCCAGCATTGCTGCATACTAATAATTTCAGAGGCGGATTATACAAATAAAATATAGAAATAGGATTCTTTTTTTTTTTTTAACCACTGCTGTAATTTTCAATTTGATCCCACTAAAATTAACACGTGACCCTGCAAGCTGAAATTATTTTTGTTTTGATTATATTAGTTTTAAGGAATTAAAGGAAGTGTATTTGACAGCTTCAAAATGAAACCTCTCCTGCTTTTGGGGACATTTGCCTTTGGATGTCACAATTTATCACCACCTATCAAAGTGGTACGCCTATTGTTATTGGCCTTTTTTAAAAAAAACATTGCACAAGCTCATCACAGCTGTTTTCAGTGTGACTACAGATGTGGCAGTTTTTCCATTGAATTTGCAAGTCACTTTACACGCCCGAATTAAATAAACTCGACCCACCCAAACAAGAGGTTGGGTGATTGCCAGTAATTACAGATTGAGAAGAGCCAGCACACCAGTAACAAGAAGAACAAGCCTGGATGTTTGATGATATATGGAGCTGCGTCACCGGGAACAACAAAATGAAGTTCACATTGAGAATTTTAACAAATATTAAGCCCAATATAAAGTCCTACATTTTGGGTTTACTTTTTCAAATGATTAAAACTATTAGCCTGGATTAGCCTGGACAATAAGGGATATATTTTACAAGCAAATCAAGGGCTTTAGATCTTTACACAGGCCAAACCTACTTCCGCTGAGTATGTGAGTCCGTTAACAAAATAATCAAGATCCTCACCCAAAACATACTCTTTGAATGGCATAATTACTGCCAGTATTAAAACGGAATTTATGAATATGCAAAACCATCATTACAATGTATTGTTTTCCACACAATTCCCTTGCTGGGGGTGTTGGGGGGGGGCTCTCTGAAGCGGGCTTTCAAACGTCAGACAGCAGGTAACTCAATCACACGGGCGCGTAAAAGCAACGGACCTGTAATAAGTCAGCGACACGTCGTCCTACCATAGAGGTGGGCGAGCTGGTCTGGAGCCCTGGACGTGCGTTTGTTTCCCACGTCAGCACGCCGCGATGGAGCGGTAACGGTCGGTCCCGTGCAGTTCCGTCCGAGTTGAGCCGACCCTCGGCCGGCCCGCTGCAGCCGTGCGCTGGACGTTGGCTTCCGTCATCTCTGCATGGCTGAGTTCACTCTGAAAACAAATCTCTCCGGTCCAAATCACAGCTTGAGCCTCGGGGGATTTGTCTAGCAGATTTACGCCAGTCATCCAATCACAGCCATCAAGCCGGCCGTATGACATCCAGTGTTTCCTGTGCGGATGTATTAATGCTATTTTTTATTTTTTTTCGAAAGTCATTTGCGGCCTTCTATGAATTGGATATTGACACAGCTATTTCCAACTATTAATAGTAACAACTGCTTCAAAGCTGAAACAGCCCCTTAATATGGAAGTCTGAAAATCTATTAATTTGTGCCAGACATAAAACACATTTAATTTATATACATTTGTAACTTGGAATAAACGTGAAAAGAGCTTTAGCCTTTGATTTTTTCTTTTTCTCACAGATGGCATCATCTGGATTGCAGGACGGACTGGTGTAACCCAGATACGAGGGCTTAAATCTTAATAAATAGAACAACCTGATATTATGGCTCGTAATGAGTATCGCTTTACATGTGTGTTCCTTTTCTTTAGCCTTTTGTTTTGATGCTTTTGATGGTTTTATGTGACACACTTTGAGTTGCCTGGTTGTTGGAATGTGCTCCACAAATAAACCTTCTGGCCTTGCTGCTTTCACAGAGACATTGTTGATTTCAGGCGACCTTCATTTACACGGCACTTCTCACATTAGTTGCAAGGTGCCTTATAGAAAGGAGAAAGTGGGGGAATAGAGGGGGGGCACAGAAGACGAAAACAGGATGCACACAACCCACAAAGTTAGAAAATGAAGAAAAGTTAAAGGTATAAACTGATTGGGCTTATGTGAGACATTTATCCCATCCTATGTTACGTGCAGGATATTAAGTAAAGTGAAAAAAAGAAGAGCATTTTACCATTGGATTGTAGCTTCAAAGCTTTTCATTTTAACGTACAGTCTCAGAACAAAACTGACGCATCGCCGAATGTCAGCGTCACGTTCGTCACGGAACAAAAAACACTTTCTCCATCTCTGTCTTTTCTTGCAGGGACGCTCAATGTCGTCGGTTCGCTGCTGAGCAGTGGGAGCGCGGCGTTTCCCCCGAGGGGTCTTTTATATTTTTCTACAGTGCCATAATCTCTTGTCCAGCTCAGAAGTATTAACCCCAATACAGTACTTACCCTCCCCATTATCACCATCATTGACCTCGCTGGTATCACACCACCGGCTTACCCACTTACTGCACACTGGCCCAAAACACTAACACCTCTATCATCCGTCACACGCAGACTGCCTCTCCTCCGATATTTGTCCCGCTATTATGGCTTTCTAGTCCTACTCCATACGGATCACTGCCAATGCCTCGGCAGTTATTACGCAGTGAGTGAGCCTCACTGAACACTGAGCCGTGTCACCGGGCCTCAGTGTGAATCCTCGGATTCATTTGGCGATGTCTGATTGTATCCAAAGGAAGTGTTGTGTATTTTGTTTTATTTAGATGGAGGGTACCTTTTGAGGAGATGCCCTTGCAGAATGGGAATGAGCAAACAAGTACCCACGAGTGAAGACGTTATTCAGGATCCCTTCATTTGATGTAACCATGTCTGGCATTAATTATTGAAATTCTTCACTCCGGTCTTTGGAGTTAGCTCACCTTGAAGGCCGGCCTCAGTTCAGTTAAAGTTTAGTTGACTTGTCACAAAGAGTACGTGTTTGTCTTCTCTGGCTTTGCAGTGAGCTCTACAAAGTTTAAACCTGTTTTTTTTTTTATTATAATCTCATTTGTTACTGATTAACAGTATAGATTGCAATATGTGAAGGGACGTTTGGAGTATTCATTTGAAATTGATCCATAATCAGCACCCAGCAGCATCCTCTGTTTTTATCCGTCCTTTGGGATTCACCCGACTTAATGGAAATACTAAATTGTTGGCGAAAAGGAAATTTACCTCAAAAATGACACCGGTCCGTAGTATTTACCTCGTCTGTTAATGTGTCGTTAGGTGGGAATACAGTATAAGTCATCTGTGGCTCACTTCTCTTTTCGCGTGGTGCCATCTCTTGGTTGTTGTTGGTACAGCCCGAGTTGATGAGCAGTTGATCTGTGGGTCGCACGCCGTGTGCTATTAGATGATTGTATTGACTAACTATGTCATTAAGCAAAGCTGTGAGCAGCCTGTTAGGATTCATACCCCGACAACATCTTGTGGTGTTTGGATATATGACTGAATCCATTGCTAGCTTTCTTTCTGCAGCCCTCATAGTTTGAGAGCTTCTCATCTTTGTGGCTTTAAAGGTTTATCATTAAACCTTGAGGCTCATTAATCTGAGCTGACAATATTGATGTTGATGATAATGCAATGTCCTCTCCCCAACTTTTTGGGGTAACACATCTATTATTTTGGTGTTTTGTTTATCACTTCAGTCTAGTCAACTTATTTAAATAATTAATCACAACTGCGTCTGGAATTTTGTTTTATATGCACCTACATTTTTCAAATAATTTTCTATTGTAATAATACATAATAAAATAGAACCGCTTCTCTTCTGCATTAACAAATCATTCTAATTCACAATAACGTGTTATTCTGAAGCCATCATCAAATGATTTTCCAACTGTTTTCTTCTCATCTTGTTTACAATGGGCCTTTACGAAACACAAAACCTTACATTTTCCCATAGCGGAGCGCAGCACATCCCACGACAGTGGGAAAGATAATCAGCCGGAGCTTAAGGCCGTATCAAAAGCCTCACAGTTCCTTAAGCAGCCGCCTTGAGAGGGGGTGACTCTTAGAATGCCTCAGCTTGTTTGTCTCATGGTTTAAGTGGTGCACATAGCCATGGAAAGATCATTAAATCACTGTTTTACCACTTGGCTTAATCCCCACAACAAAAGGGGAAGATACAAAAAAGTAAATGGAGAGAAAAAAGTGGTGGGCGAGATTAAGCAGAAGCTTGATGGATCCAAACTGACGGCTCTGTTTCCCAGCGTTGCCAAGGGGAGTTAAGAATCTTGATTCCACATCTCTCAGGCTGACGAATCGGCTGCTGATCGGACGTTCCCCGTTACCCCTGCAGTGGCCAGCCGCGCTCGTAGTGTCCGCCGCTGTGGCCATCTGCCGGATTAACCAGCAGGATATATTTTTATAGAGAGCATCCTATTCATATCCTGCCTGCAAAGGTTTACATTAAGGTTGAACTCGGGTGCACTTACAATGGCAGATGAAGTAAGCCCTGTCCTTCTTACAGCACCCCTCCCCATCTTCTCACTGTTTGGGAGACTGATGGCACCGAGTTGAAAGGGGGCTGCTTTCGCCGTGGCATGAAAGAGGATCTCATGCGATGCCACTGTCTGCCGCGGATTTTCGTTTTCACGCGCTGACAATAAAAGTGGTGCCCGGCATGAAAAGAAAAACATTTGTATGTGCCAAGTGCAATTGTTTCTTCTAATAGGCGTCAACAGGCCAACTTCTCTGTGTTACCATACAGGTGAACTCATTCCTGGGAAAATGTTTTTTTCCTTTCTCAGCCTCGTAGGCGCGATGGCGTCCCCCTTTTTCCTCGGCCTAACGGGATTAGTCGTGCCAGTGCTACCCCGGCTGTCACGGTACTGTCTACTTCCCATCTCTCCTCTGGGCCTCTAATGTGATTAACCCATTCCCTGTGGTCCAAATGGTTCTGGAGGGTGGGTAGAGGAGAGGGGGGGAGTGGGGGAGAAGGGGAGCGGAGGAGGGGCACCTCCCTGGCATGTTCCTCCCCATGCCTGACTCGCCGCCGTTGGCACCTTTGGTGAGGCAGGAAGGGCCGAGGTCGAAGGTCGGTTAGGGTGTGGAGACGGGTGCAAGTGGCTGAGGAAAGAATCCGTGTACTCGGACAGTTTAAGTTACCGTCGAAGCCTTTTCTAAAATGTGACTAATAATTGTCTTAAACTCTTCACGATGGATCCACGCGGCTATCTGCACATCTAATCACCATCATCTCACTTCACCAGCCCGACTCCAATCACCATCCATTCAAACGGGAAAATCAGTTCAGGCTGATTTGTATTAAGTCTTTTGCTTTCACAGAAATCAGCCCTGAATATTTACCGCTCGCTTAAGCGGAGACAATAATGATTGCCTACACCCGTCATCTTGTCGAACGTCAGTGTTGTTGGGCTGCGCCTGTTTAACACATATTTCACGCTCCTTTTCGACTCATCTGCAGCAAGACTTCTCCAGGGCATCTGCAGCACGCAGAGGACCACATGCGCTTCGCCACCGCTCAGAGAGAGAGAGAGAGAGGCCTCCGGAACCAAGAGGCCAACGACAAAACCCGCAGCTGAATTCACCTTTACAGTGGCAAACACATGTCGCTTCACATCTTTGTATGTGCGGTGATGTACAGCGTGCTGCGGCTTCTCGGTATAATGAGGAACGTTCATTAACATGTGCATGTAAACTGTTTATTCGGAGAAGGGAAATGTCGTGTTTGTTATTTGGAGAGGTCCGACTAGTGTTCAAAAATTGAAACTAATGTATTGCAATTGACGTGTTTAACCCCTTCAAAGGAGATTTGTGTGTAAAATAAGCAGAAAGCAACATTTATCCAGCCAATATAATATTAGCTTAACTGATTTCAACCCTTTTTTGTATGTCGACTGGGAGCAAATGTTCCCTCGCACCCTGTTTTGTGAAAGCCAAGAAAAGCGCGGGTCCCTGTCCAACAGCATCCCCCCGTCATGCTGTGCTCAGCAGCGCTTCACGTGAGCGCACAGCTTTGGTCTGGCGACGGCACAGAGAATTAGGCGTCTTAATTAAGTTTTTTTACAACTCTGCATGCGCTGTTCATTTGCGAGACAAAGGGCTTGAGCGGAGGGGGGAGAATGGGGGGGGGGGGGGGATCCTTAAACAGCTGCCTGTCCTGAAACAAAACCCAAATTTAACACGATGATCCACGTTGCGAAGGAATGTGCAGACTCCCCCCCCCCCCCCTCTGTAAGACTGTGTCTGTGACATTTTCAGTCTGTGCATGTACCTATATTCAGTTTCCATATTTACATTTTAGACTGGAAAGAGCTGCGAGAAAACAATTCGACATTGTGGCTGAAAGACAATACACTGCACGAGGGGGTCGCGCCCCTTGTGAGGAGATTTGGTGGGTTTCCAATCCTGACATCCAACCCATCACCATGTAATAGAAGGTGACACTTATTGTATTAGCAGAGGGCTAATGAGTGTCTAAAAGCCTGTGTGACTGTGTGCGCCGAGGAATCTCATCGTGTGTGTTGGGCGGCAGGAAGAAAAGGACGGTATCTCCGCAAAGTAGACGAGGCCACAGAGTGCAGCCACGCGAGGCCTCCGGCTCTCGGACTGTAATGGAGATATAAAGAGGGGAGAACGAGCGGCCTGCTTCATTTGAAGGCCCGATTGTAGATCGGTGCAGCCAGGTACGCTTTGGTACCGTTTGTGTTCACACAGTCACAAAGCAAACAACGCGCTGCTTTCGTCTGATCAAAATGTCACTTTAAAGAACCTGGAAGAGCCTCCGTGCTTTCGGGCTTGGGTGTGAAATCGTGGGTTTCCTGAGCGCATGAGCCAAACTGTTAACCTAATCCGGTCTCTAAGGACTGACAAATTAAATGTGTGTTCCTCTCAGGAGGCAGCGGTTGCTGTGAGTC